TTTGGAAGCCAAATGTGATAGTCACGAATTGATATTTAAGTCACACGTTGATGCATACATCATGTGTGTACATTAACTGTCGAATACATGCCAACTTACATTTATATAAATATCCGAAATTAACTCAAATCATCAATTCTCGAAACGGTTTATTTTTTAACCTGGTGAATTTAATGTTTCATTTTGATTCATAATTATGGTATCGGATTTGAGTTTGATATAAGTCGAGGCTTAAACAAAGCAATAAAATTACGTGAAACCTTTTGTGAAAATTCGAACGATTTTTCAAGAATCCTCCTTCAAAGTGATATCAAAGTGCTCCCCGGGAGTGGAAATTTCGTCTTGTGTAATCAAAATAATAGAGCGGGTGGTTTGAATTTTTGTTTGAGTTTGTAGTTTACATCTATAAATTGAAAAACATATCGCCTAATTGAGAGGTACATGCATATTTTGGCGATCTATCATTATAAAGGGCTAAATATTGTGCAAAAACAGGAGTTGACACGCTTACATTTGAAAATGAAATTTCCTACATAATCGTCGACTCATGTTTAAAAGTCATGAAAACAAGGTTGAACACAAAACATTGACCCAGTTACTGTCTATTCAGCATGGGTTCACTAAGGGAAATATTATTAATGACTTAAATCGTTTACACTTAAGTTGTATTCCAAGAAACTTATCAATTTAGAAATGCAAATTGTTCAATTTTGTTTTTCAATTATAAAAAATGGCACCTGTAGGGAACAACGTTTTCAAAATTTTTTAAAACGGAGATATTTACTTATGCAACATTCATTGGCATGTGTCAGGGAATAAATAGGAAGAATATGCATTTGATTCTATATCTTGTTCCTGAAGGAGTTTGTTAAGGAGCGGTATATCTTAACGTACTTTTATCATCCCGAACTCAAACATTTCAAATACTTATTTCGAGAACGCTTTGTTGAGAATTGATTCGAGATGTACTCAAAATTAGTGCGTTAAAATGTGTATTATCATCTAAAAAAACACCTCACAAATTATTTTGGAAATCAAAGATGTACGATTTTTGAGATTTTTATTTTCGAATGTTGACTTAGTTACTTGGCTTGACTGAGTAAACCTTTTGAGATATTAACACTTTAGTAAAGCCATATTCATAGTGGTTTATAATGGCAGCCAATGGAGATTTTCCAAAATTCAAATGTCAATATCTTTGGAACTGGGCAAAAGAAAAAATTTAACCCTTCTTATTTTGAAGACAATCATATAATTGTAACATAGTGGGAATATGGGCTTTATTACTCTAGAACTGTTCTGCAGGGGGTCTTGAGAAGATTGATAAATTAACATGGGGCTCAATGTAAATGTGCAGAATCTTCGAGGGCTGCTATTATCAACTGGGGCCACTTTCCAATACCACTTCGTTAGATATCGAATATATATGTATCAATGATACTTCTGTCAAAAAATTGTGCTTTATATATAGCAAGTGCAATTCTAGGGTTTTATTGTCCTAACTGATCCCACTATTCATATTATTTCATGAAATGAATTACAGTGTTAGGTTGATGGCTTTGGAATTATAATCTAAATATGAATATTTTAAAATAATTTTACGGTTGGTTGCAAAGTTTCTGAACTTTAGCCAACTGAAAATTGATATATGAAACTTAAGTTTTTTACTTAGGCGGGTATTAACGTTTAAAGGAGACATTAGGCCGTATTTCTCTAATTGTCCCCAGGTCCGTGTGCACGTCATAACAATAACATTTAAAAATAAATTTGATATTTATTGGCAAAATGAATAAGCGGAGGATATCGTATACTCCGGGCGGAGGATATCGTGACGATATACTCCGGAAAACCCAATATGCGGAGGATATTGTGACGATATACTCCGCTTGTTGATTTCCCACCAAATTGACTCTATTTGGCACGAAATTCATTTTGCAATGATATTATACATTAAATACACTACTTTTTAGTGTAGGATAATATAAACAAGAATAATATAAGAACATCCTATGATTTTTTTCAGAACATCACTTTAATCTACTCGGTGATATAGGTATATGCACTCGTTCGCTTGCTCTCTCGTGCAGATATCAATATCACCTGGTAGATAAAAATGATATTCCTCAAAATCATAGGATATCCTATAAATATCCAATTATTTTGGGTGATATCATTTTTATCGACGAGTTCATATCAAATATCAACACGAGTGAGAGAAGCAATTGAGTGTTAATTGATATGTACGACGCAATAAATATATATCATTCAAAATTATCTGATATTGGGTTCATCCCATTATTACAGTAAAAATCTAAAAAATCCAAATTCGGATATGCAGCTGATAAACGATTTTCTGGAAAATGTCTCACGAATCCCCATAATATCCGAATTATTACTGAGACACAATGATCGTGGGATAAATGTAATGGTTATACTGGAATAATGGAATGACCAAGGACGTCTATGAGTGAATTTCGAAATCTCTTTAATATCTGACCATTTTTAGAGATTTTTAGTTTTGACGGATTTTAATTTTTTATCTATAGATGTCAGGGTGGTCTAATCAGTCAGATATATTGTACATTGATTTCATTGACTGTATATTTCTTATCATAATCTTTATGAATGCGTGTACAAGCTTCCATTTGGGGAAGTAATCGGTGACATTCAGCAATAAATATAGACAGTGGAGAGTTTGTATTGATCATGAGCAATGCATATAAAATCGAAACGGCAACCTGTACGTATAAATCGCCCTATACAAATGCATGTAGTTTCTCACATAAACAATCGTTCGGTTACAGTGTTTAGTCCGTTACAAAGACTACACACCACCATAGCTTTTTGACATATCTTTGAGGTAAAATCCTTCTCATTTTGATGCAAAAAAGGCCGCTGGAGGAGGGCACACTAACCATAAAGGATATTATGAAAATATAGATAAATTTCATCCAAAATAGTTGAGAGTAGGTGAGTTAACGTAACTTTGAATGATCTTTCCAATGGTATATCACATTAGGTACCATCTATTAAGGTTTTGGCTGTAGAGGGGGGGGGACGGGACTTATTTGACACCCTGTATATACAGTATATAACTGACTTTCTATGATACATATTTCCAATAAACTCGTTTTATAAGATATTTGGACCTAAAACATGTGACATACATAATTTTCTTCAAAACGCGTTATACTGTGCATCAAAATCAAAAATAGGAAACAACACCCTAGGGGAATGAAGCAGCAACAATTCATTGAGTCTTGGGCTTAAATTCTTTTCATACGTTGCAAAATATTTTTACAAAATCACCTAAAAGATAGAAAAACACTAAAAGAACATACTTTTCATTTCCTTGAGTAAACGTGAATTAAATTCGCTTTTCGGGAGCTGAACCGGGATGGATATAGCTCGTATCCATTCCGGTCCCGGACCATGGCGATAACTCCCTAGATATACTAGTACTAGATAGTAATATTGCATAAAATGTGCAAAAATACGGAATGGGAGCTTCATCTTAAATTACTTTAAAAATTCGAAAATTGAAATTCAAGAAAATCAAAATAATTTGCGTGTTGGAAATAGCTTGCAGTTTGTCCATGTGAAATGTCATCATGATTCAAAAAGGGGAAAGTGTTTAAAACAAGTTTTAAAGTTTGTGACCAATTAGTGTGTGGTGAACTCTCTATTACCTAGAACGTGAACATATTCAAATACACAGTAGACTGTCTGGTCATTTATAACTTGATATGTAAGTGCCCCAGACAGCCCCATAAAAGAAGCCATAGATGATATATGTCCTTAGCATTTTTCGTTTGATGAAACGTGATTGACTAAAATAAAAAGAAATGCAACATTGACGAAAACTGATTCAACCCCATATTTGGAAGTTTGTTCAACAAGGTTATTCTAGAAGTTCAATAAATAGGTTCTTTCAGCCGATACAACAGGTTCATATTTCAAACCTTATGAAACCGTCAGACATGTCATCATGATCACGCACTCTGACATTGCGTTCATTGACTTTGTTTAGAATGTTTTTTTATTCATGCAAACAAGGGACAATTCAGTGCTCGAGTTGATTGCCGATCCAGGGCATTCGACTCTATTAGACCCGCTAATAAGGACATTTTTTTACTTTAGTTAAAAGTGAACTAAAATGTTGTGAAAAATTCCTGCCATACTTACCAATAAACCCGAGCGTCTAATTCCCTACTTGACTGATGATTTTCATTTTACATCGCTTAAATTCTGAACAATGCATCATATCCTGGTTGACGGTTTGTGTGCGAAATGTATAAGGCTGATGCCTAATGCGCAGAGGATTCATGATTGAGAAATTATTTGCATTATGGCTAATCATTTCAACATGACAGCCATTACTCAAAGAACCAGTTGATTTATTAGATTCCGATTTTAGATGCCGATGTCTTAAGGACACGTAGGACTCTACCCGGAACGAATCAATTCAAAATGGCTGACATTTTCATGGAAATTGTATTTTTAATGACTTGAATTTTATAATATAGGATTTGGTCTAATTTTACAAGCTAATGTCGTTAAGGTAAATGACCTCTGTTTAAGTAAGAATTTTCAAAACGGACCCTCATTTCAAAATGGGCTCCATTTATTGTTAAAAATGTAGAATTAAAAATGGCTCCCTATGTAATGTTTTTCATAATTCAAATTCCAGTTGTCAGATTTTTAAGCTTTTATGTGTAGATGCGATATCGGCATTGTATCCTGGTCAAAAAGGAATACCTAGCTTATTAATTCAAAATGGCCGCTCTTTCAAGGTTTGATATTTTCCGATACGCAAACACCAGTTATCGGATTTGGTTAAACTTTTATTGACTAATGCCTTTAAATGGTTATACTCAGAAAGCATGTATAACATGGCGTCGAGGCATTATTGGCATAGTTTCAGTTTATAGATTATTATTTCTTTTTCTAGTTTAGTCTTCTCGTGAAAATTCTTCGAGTTTTATATTATTTCATTTTAGATGATGCGCAGTCTTGTTTTTTCCTTGTGTATGGGCCTGGTATTTGGAGCCCCTCAATTGCAGTATGAGTCAGAGGGCCCTGATAGTTGCTGTGCGCCTGCGCAATGGGAAGCTGATTTTGATCAGACCACGGTCCTTGAGCCACAAGCGTCCACTCCTAACGCTAAGACGCAAGTGTTAAAACAAGTTGGCCATATTTGGTTTGACGCCCCAAATAATAGAAAGGCATATCGCATTTACCAAAAGGTCAGTAGTATTTCTTAAATCACTTCTGAAATGCTATTTCCTCTCTATATATAATCTATCATTGGAGCTCTTAGAAGCCCATTAATTCATTCACATATGTACATTCTCCTGTCTCAACAAAGTTGTTCTGAATCAGCTATGTCCCTATTTTCACATATTTATGATTGAAGATTGTAAATCGTATGCACTTGTGTTGTTTGGACATGTTCCATAAAATTGAGGCATACAAAATATGAATAAATGTTGAATGAGCCTGTAACTTTTGAATATTTCTAAAATTTATTTGTCTAGGTTGCTGGGGAAAATATGGTTCATATCAACGTGGTAGCTGACTACAATAAGAAGTTGAAATATTTTATCAACCCTGAGAAGGAGACGTGCTACACTGAACCAACCCCAACCAAGGAACTCCCAAGATGTTTGAACGTGTCGGATCCGAACGTCAAATATTTGAAATCACTCACCATTGGGCTAGACCTCAAGGTCAACTTGTGGGAGCAAAAGATTAACACCAAACAGCTACAGGCGACATATGATTACCTGTTCACGCCGGACAAATGTATCCTTGTTGAATTCTCATCCTATGGAGCGATTTTGATTCAAGGTAAGGAATCATTGATAAAAGTAGAGTCACGAATAACGTTAGTAATTATTAATAAACATAAGGAATTAGCTTATTTCAGGATACCTTATTTTAAATTTACAAATTCTGAACTTTTACAACTAAGACAAGTGTCTCAAAGTGTCTTAATAGAGCGATTTCGCTTAAAGGCCCCATGTAAAGTTTAAACCACTTTGGCTTATATTGTAGTCTTACCCAATGTTATCAAAGTGTGATATGTGAAACTTTTTTTTTTAATTTCAAAAAGTGGTTTTTGATAGACTTTTTCTTCCAAAATTTGTGAATTTATTTAAAACCAACTTTTAGAGGTCACCCATATCTTCTAATTAGCCACAATTCATACCAATGCATAGCATACATCCTCCCATGTTTTTTGCCGAAAAAATTAAGAAAATCAGTTGATAAACAAGCGAGAAATGAACTTATCAGTGCATGAAAATGGTTCTGAGAAAAATGCATTTCAAAATTTTAGTTCTCATAGAAACCAATGGTACAATGAGATCCATCCTTGCTGCAAGGGTATTTTACAAGTATATACCCTTGCTTCTCTCTATTCAATTGTTGGGCTTGAGCAAACAAACTGGACATTAAACAATGTTAGCCTACACAACATACCTTAAGAGAACTACTACACACAGTGTACAAGGGTAATTAAAATCCTGTTGAACAGTCTACAAAGCTGTCTTTATACTACAGCAGTATGCCCTTACATATCTTACAACTTAGAAGTTTGTTATATGTAACAAAAAATCATAGGATTTATACAAATATTAGCTTAAGAATAAAACATCATCCGTAGAACATTCTATAGTATGTCCAAAATTAAAATATTTAACCATTTCACGAAAAAGAAAAAGAATACTGCAGAAATATGGTGGTTTGGAGAGACACAAATGGTAAGATTATTCATAAGTTCCAGGAAAGGAGACATGTAATTGGACAATTTGCACAACGCATTTTCTGTGCATTTTCTGCGTTGACCACTAGGAAACTCATCTTATATAAGGCCCCAAGAATGAAACTACCTAGGCTTGAGTGAAGGGCTGAATTTAGGCATAAATGAAGTCCTTTGAAGAAGGATGAATGAGATCTAAAACATAATTTATTCTTCCTTTTAACCTGGTTAGACAATCAACATTGTTTTTTTATGAAAGTCTAGCATATTTAGAAAAGATTGACATCGAAAAAAAAATTCAATTTTTTTCAAAAAGTTTTTGTTACCTTAGTGACATCACTAATGTTTCAAAATATTTTTGATAAGCTAAAACATTGAAGTGGCCCATAAAATATGACATTTTATTATTGAAATAGTGTGTCTTTTGTTCAATCTCTGCATTGGTGTTAAAAATATAATCTTTCTTGAAATGCATTAAGAAATATTTGATGATTAAGAAATTTCAACTTATTTTGAAAAATGGCGGGAAATTTGAATATTTGAGAAATGAAATGCTCACAACTTTTTTTTCAAAAATTTTTTTTTGTTCAAAAATCTCTAAAATCACTTTTTAAGTCCTGACAAATAGTAAATGAATGATAAAAAAATATCTTCAAACTTTAGACGGGGACTTTAACGTTTTTAGCACAACATATCTAAAATCTGACATCCGAAACGCATTCAAAAGATTTATGCGTAGCATTTCAATTAAAACGAGATGCGGCTGCGTATACATTTTAGCTTTAACACGTTGTGCGAAACCTCTCTAATAAAGCCCAATTTTAACCTTTATTTACAGGTCAAGCGACCAACAGGATAGAATCCAGTGTGACGTCTGGTGTGTCACTTAAACTCCGTGACACCGATATCTTTGACATCCCCAGTTACTGCAACACTAATTGGTTTCAAAAAGAGGACATGCCTTTTGTATCAGAGCCATCGTTTTAAAAATTCAGAACTGAACATATCTTAAAGGGAGTAGAAGGCTTTGAGAGAACGCAATGTTGTAATCAAGATTTTCAAAAAGCTTACATATTCCCCATTCAATCCTAATTCTATATACTGGAAGAAGGATTAGAATACCTAAGAATTTTCATTGTAGATTTAAATCGAAGCAATTTTTTAATTCATTAGATTTGAAAAGTACGTCTGATTTTGCCAGATGCATTAAAAATTAAAGGACGATTCTGAAACAAGATTTTCAAAACATACTTTGAGTTCGTCTCTCTCCTTCTATTTTCTTTAGCAGATATGGTTAAGGCCGAATCGGAGATCAAGCGTGTGACAAAATTGCTAACATACAACATGTAACACTGATCTACTTATGTACTCTTTACCATCACAAAAATAGTATCTCCCAAAGTAATGTCACCTCTAATCAAGCTTTGAAGCTATTGAAGAAATGATACAGCCTAAATTTTCTAGATTTTTGGAATGTTGCTCGCTAGGTCCGATTCCGCCTTTAATCAAAAGTTTCGAAATAAAAATAAGTATCAAGATAATACTCATGAAAAGCTATTGAGCATTTAGCAAGGTGCAACTTCAATGCGGGTCTGTAACTTCAGTCTGACAAATCTTGGAAGAGCAGATCCCATTGAACTAAACTCTAATCACTCTCCATCATGCCACTTTCCATAAGGCATCGCCTTTTAAAAGGAAAAATCTGTTACTAAGCTATCTCAATAATTAGATATCTTCTGAAAGAGGTATCCATTTTGAAAACAGCAGCCATCTGCAAATTCATCCTTGAGCAGAGTCAATACCTTGAAGTTATTGAGCCCTTTAAAGTCTCTCAGGAAAAAAAAAATTTACAATTTAAATCAAATGCCGCATTTATGTTTGCTCAGGAAAAACATTAAAATTTGAATCAAACCCAACGACGGGCATTCATGTTATCAAAGACTGTAATGTGAATGGCGCCCAATTTGAGATCAGTATCAAAAATGGAAAATTCTTCGTAGGCAGAGGTCCTATCCCCATAAGGCACCAGCCTATAAAATTTGAACAAAACCTAAAAGCCTCTGTATTTGAGATATTAGATGTTATCTGTTTTTGTGAGAAAACGGCAGCCATTTAGAATTTAGCAGCTACCTTGAAATATGAACTAAATCCAACTGGTACTTGACTTATCAAAAGTTATATTTTTACAAAAAATAACAGTCATTTTGAAGTGAGCGACCATATCAAATATTGTACCTAAATATGTATCAACCTATAAAATTTGGAACAAACATTGATTCTAGACAATCCCCATTTTAAAATATTTGAGACATTCCTATCACGTGTTCAATGTCATCTTTCACTTATCTTTTTCATAGTACCGTTGTCGATCAACTTTCACACATAGCTAGACATGCTGTATCACATTCCAGCCAATCAAAGCACAGTAGAATGATATAAGCAGTGCAATATAATATGTATTTTATATTTTACAACATATGATGAAATTGAATACCTCGTCAATTTCTTAATTCAAGGTGGCTGTTGAATGAAAACTGTATATAATATCATATAGATTAGTCGAGCAGGTGCTTATGCAGGTCAAAATTTTGACATTCGAAACGTTTCTGGACGAGTTTCTTTTTTAGTGATATTGCGCAAATCTGTTGCAGCGTGTGAAAAGAATTCAAGTACATGACTTTAAATATGTGGTTTCTTAAAATCGTCCATAATAAATTGAGTCATGAATTGAATCCTTTATTAACTGCAACATATTCTAATATAGATTAATGCTTACATTGAAGTAAAAAAACTAAAAGGAAATGATAGTTTGATTCTGGTTCTAAACAAGTACATTTAGCAAGCGACTTATTGCACAAGCTTTTTGCATCTAAAACGGAGATGATATAGCAATTATTATATCACTGTCATATTCCTCACTTTCCAATTGGTCCATGTTCTACAGGTGACTAAAAAAATAACAAGCCATATTCAACAGAAGTAACGTGACTTCCGTTGAATATCAAATGATATTAACCATCACGACTTAGTCCAGTGTAATTTCAATTGTATATATCCTCGGGAGTACATTGTTATGATTATTATACATCAGTAACTGTTTTTCCGTTAATATGAGTGAGGAATATAACACTGAACAATAAATCACATATTTAATTCTATTTCCGGTGAATACCTGCAACACCTTCACAAGATGATATTCTACTAGCCCTTCCGGCTTCGTGGAATATCACTTGTGAAAGATGCACATGTATTCACCTCAATAGAATTAATTATTTGTATAATATTCATGTTAACCGTAAGAAGAATGGTCTGAATACTGTCAATGCGTTTGCAATAGTGACTATAATGATTAGTATGTTCACTACGCTGTCATTCGCAAATTTAACTGCCGGCTGTCGGCTGACGATTTGCCGGCTGTTTCATTTCAATCTCATTTAAATATGAATAAACAGAAGCAGGTACTATTCAAATTTTGATAAGTTGGACATAAAATAGCGGTAAAATGGGTCTTCGATTATTGTACAATACTCAGATCATTTTTAAAAATAAATATATTGTTTATATTTAACACAAAAACACTTTTTTGTTGCATGGTTAGCTGAACAGATAACGCTACAAGTTCCATCATATAAAAACTTTAATAAAATACAGGGTGACACAAAAATACACTTTCATGAGCGTTATAAGATTTTCTCTAAATGTCAGACACACCTGGATTCTATGGGTAAAGTAATTGGCAACCCTAACACATTCCCCCAAAGAAATGGCCCTGATCTTTGTTGTGATCTCTATCTTCAGGTGTTCTATGGTTTTCTATGGGGGTTTGTTACATACAAATGATCCTTCAAGTACCCCCAGAGATAAGAAATCTTGCGGGTTTATGTCAGGCGAATGTGGTCAATAATTTTGCCAGTAACTTGTAACCATCATAAAAGTCCACATAATTGATCTTGTCATCTGAAACTTCTTGTAGAGTTGCTCCATGAAGTTTAGTTTGAATGTGGAAAAGACGAAGTCAGGAATCATAATATAGACAAAAAAGTTATTCAACTTGAGGTGGGTGGCACTTTTTGTGTCACCCTGTATCAGTAAAACTACACATTAAATCAAGATTTATATTTAAGAGAACTTATACGTGAACGTATAGAATTATGATCATATTAGGAATTTATCAGTCTCCAATCGCAGTATTTTCTTACTCGATTGAATACAGAGGCATAAAGGAATATAGTTGTATTGGTCCATTGGAAAAACAACTAAAAAGCAGATAATAATCTCCATGGTCACAATATTACATGTTCACGTTCTAGTGTAACTTAACTTCCTTTACATATTGGTCCTCCCCCATCTTATAAAGTAATATCATTCGATTTGGATGCAATCATGTAGGCTCTAAATGCTTATGTAGTCTGATTCATCAGCCCTCTATTATTATGGTCAAACACTATGTGATGTTTCATTTCCTAGTGAAAAAATTATCAATTAATAAAAACTTCAATATTCAAGATGATTTAACAAACAAATGAAAAACTTCATGTATAGGTACTATACGAGGGGTGATCCAAAAGTCTTGGACGCCCTGCTTAATTTTTGGATCACTTTGTATTGCTATCACAGGACAATATACTGACTTATCCTATGCCAAGTAAAGTTTTAGGGAGATAAGTTGGTAAGATATATCCCGTATCCTGATTTTGAGGTTTCCATATCCAGAACCTCCATATCTCCCGCCATATCTCCCGCTTCGGTGCATATCTTCCCGCTTCCGGTAATGCAATAAAATGACTTTGCATATGAATGATTTGTTTATTTTTACACCTTGTACTATTGAAATGGCCATATGCCCCTGAAAACTCTACTTGGTATAGGATAAAGCAGTTATGTACGGTCGGTTTTGATATTGGGTTCATCCCTCGTGAGATATGCACATCTTCCTTCGGTCCCTACGGTCCCTCAGGTAGATATGCATATCTCCCTCTGGATAAACCCCATATCCAAAACCTCCCAGTACATAACCTTTATATACATAGACAACAGCAGAAAACGAATGGATTGTCTGGATCAAGTCCTAGTTCAGTGGTACTGCACTAATTACGCTGTTTCAGAAACGAATCCGTTTCGGTAACAGGATGGCTACGGTTCCAGCGGAAAGTTCGGTAAGATTTTACCTTTTCCTTGATTTCTCGAGATATATAGCATAAACCATCCCAATATTTTCGGCATTAACACGTATGAGCATCATAAGTTTCTGGAAATCCAAATGATTTCGCAAAAAATGGTTGGATGACAGAATCTTCGTATAACGGAACTTCAAAATCGTTTGCACTTTTAACCCATTCCGTTTACATGATAATAGCAGTGAAGTTTTAAATCGATGATTCTGTTGTCTTCTGATTTATTAAGTTGTTCGCAAACGTGTGGACATTCATAAACACATGATACTGACACGTTTGAGAGGAAAATGTTGTCGAAATTCTGCCAACAACTCGTGAAATAAGGAAAACTCGTACCTTCGAGGTTCCGACATTCTGTTACCGAAACGTATCCATTTTGATACTGCAGTGTTACCAGTGTAGTTTTATGCTTATCTTTAATGTATAGATGTCGTACTAATCTGATATCACTTGACTTTAATAAGATTTAACCCACAGATTCCAACGATTCATCTACACGGTGTCTATCTGGTCCCCGCATATCGCGAGCAAGTTCCCACTGACATCGCGAGCATTGAGCTCATTAAAATATAGTTATAGTCGTTGCCCTGCAATTGAAATAGCCACTGTACGATATAAATGAAGTAAGTAATAAATACTCAATAAAGTTGTACTTAGTTTCACTTACTAAAGTTTCATAGACAATTTTATATTTCAATTTTATCATATCTCTCAAGGCCCCTCTACTAACATGAGCTCATTGATTGCGATGTCAGCGAGGCCTGGATAGTCCCCGTGATCTAGGTTTAGTGATTTCGGTGTAACTATGTTGGCTGGAATCCCTCCATTCCTTCTTTTAGTTTACTAATGGAGAGGTTAGGATTCATTCGGGAGAACTTGAACCTAAAAGTGATTATGGTCCCAATGATTTGTTGCTCATTGGTTTAAACGTTACAACTTTTCCCCTCAGCCTTTATATACTCAATCGGGCAAATACAGTGCTAACTTAACCTCCCGTCCAGGACGTCTACGAGCAGTCAAAGTCTTAGAGAAAACTTTTACACTCTCAGACGTAGACTGCCCCTAGACGCCGACTGGATTTTTTTAAATTAGAGATAGGAAGACGGACTTATTATTGGATGTAGCAAATATTTGAATAGGTAAACATTTCCAAAATTTCACCACAGGATAAACCCTCAATACAGGACATCAGCCCTCAACACTAAACATCAGCCCTCGCCACAAGCAACCACCCCTCAGCACTAGATATCAGCCCTCAGCACAGGACATCAGCCCTCGGCACAAGCAACCACCCCTCAGCACGAGATATCAGTCCTCAGCACAGGACAACAGCCCTCGGCACAAGAAACCACCCCTCAGCGCGAGATATCAGCCCTCAGCAACACAGGACATCAGCCCTCGGCAAGAAACCACCCCTCAGCACGAGATATCAGCCCTCAGCACAGGACATCAGCCATCGGCACAAGAAACCACCCTTCAGCACGAGATAGCAGCCCTCAGAACTCAACATAAACCCTCGGCATTCTCGGGCAAATTAAATCAGCGTGAATTAGGTTTTTGTTTTATAATTTGTCTCACAATTAACTTGTTTCCCATAAAGTACATGCAAGGTAACATTACATTGTTTTGCTTTTGTATTGTTGATGAATGATGGATTATGCTGGCTTAGTGTCTACCACAATAATGATATAATATCTGTGACAATATGGTATTATAAATCTTATTTCTTGCTCATTCCTGTTTGTAGATTTCTCATTAAAACTTACGCTGCCATTTTCAGGTGGCTTTCCAGTACAATATTCATATTTGCATTTTCTGCCAAGTTTAAAATGTTAAGCTAATTCCATTATGTTACAAATAGGGGAAAATGTATTTATTTTACTAGAACACCAAGTTGATTGTATTATTCCAGTCCTACATGACCAAGCAGAAATATGTTGTCTACATGTATATTGTACTAATAAAGTAAGGAGTTTCCGAATCAAGTTAAAGATAGAAAAATGCTTGTTTTGTAAGAATACAGACACAGTACATGTATATTCGAAAATACGTGTATTTGAAGTGTGATGGCATCACTGTTACTTTTCTAAAAGTTAAAGGTAGGTATAAACAATCAAACATTTCTGCTCCTTTGAAAAAACACGATGATTCATGGATACGGGGATAATGGTCATCACGTGACCTTTGTTTTTGGTATCGCGCGAACTAGTTCTCGATTTAGACAGAAAATATATAATTTTTAGCAAGAAAAACAGAAATCGTAGATTTAATTTTTTCTAGCTTCTATATTTCAATTTACTCTCATCTGGACAAAGCCAGGATGACAAAACAAAGGGCGTGTTTTAATTTCACCGTTTCTCTCGATCTTTTCTCGATACTGCTTAAAAAATGATTTATGCAATAAAAATGGCAAGGCTTTAAAGAAATTAAAAGAAATTAACTAGTTAAGTTGCTCGGGATATTGTTCAGTATTTTAGCGGAAAAACTCGAGGGTTTGTAGGATTTTTAAAACCCGTTCAAGCCTTTACTTTTTTCTTGCGATTTTTTCACAGAATGGATAAATATTAGTTGATATACTTAATCCACGGTGTTGAGTCCTGCCGTGCTTATGGATTGTATCTCAGTCATATATCCAAAACGAAAAGGTATGGCTGAAAATTCAACTTTATTTGAAAAACAGGGTCTGATGTGAAGTATACAATTTATATTCTTCTGTTTTAATCAAGAACTAACTCGCGCTACATCACAAATAAAGGCCACACGATGGCTATCTCCGTGATCATATAAATGTTTTTATATATCTTTTCCGTGATGGATAAATAGTGGAAGTTGATCATAACACCAGAGACAATTACATATAAGAGAATATTTATAATTGATGATACAGTAGCAGGACATCTGTTTTGAGGGTAACTCTTTAGTTAAAGGTCATATGTTGTACTACCGAAAGCTAAACGTTTAAATCTGAACGTTCATTTAACGTTATAATTACAAGTGATTTCTACCTATTAAATAATGTGTTACCCTTTGACACAGTACAGTAATATTGGTAATTAATATAAATTAAGACCATTAAATTCTACATTAAATATCAATATTATGTTTTGCTATCTTAATGATGTAATTATTCTTATATTTTACAAACATAAAAGTAAACAGTAGAGATATGAATAACATAAGTAGCAGATTACCTCTTTGAAAAATCATTGAAAATCATAATTATTATTCAATCATAAATACACTATATAATCATGCACCTGCTCTAAACTCTAAACGTGTACATATCCGCGTGCAATCACAGTGTCAAGACAGGAAATAATAAGCAAAGTATGAGAAAATGAATCTAATTACAGTATGATTTTAAAACTTTAGGAGCAGTCAGTGAGGCTAATTGTATTGTTTGACAACAGTCACGCCAGAAGTTACGAAAATTACAAACAAAAGGAATGAGAAATTAGCTTATTTCCCCAAAACTGTCAAACATTTCGACACTTTACTTAACTGTAAGGCTTTATATTGAGAATCGACTACTAGTGCTTCACAGTCATAAGTTTTCAACAATTTTCAATTTATAAAATACATAAGTGAACTGCTCTCGGATTTGCTTCATTTGTTCATGATGGACTCCGGTAACTATGACAATGATACCAAGACTTCATGCTGTCCAATCATTTCCAGAAAAAGGCGAAAATCTTTCCCCTTAGGGATGACATGGAGACGCATATCGACGGGTGATGATGATGCGTTCAGTGCAAAACGCCGCTTGGTTGAGAAAAATGGCGATCGCAACATCATACAGACTGATATCCACCGGCGAGGACATAGTTATCTGGCGGACATCTTCGTTACCCTGGTGGATGCACAATGGAGGTTTATACTCCTTATGTTTCTTGGTGGATTTATATTATCATGGATGATATTTGCGCTATTGTGGTGGCTTATTCTGCTCGTTCGTGGTGACTTTTACCATATTGGTGATGAGAACTGGACACCGTGTGTGGACGAGGTGGTTGATTTCCCAACGGCCTTGTTATTTAGTATTGAGACTCAACATACAATCGGATACGGCAGCAGGGCAACTACATCTAAATGCCCTGAAGCAATCATCCTCATGATGCTTCAGTCAGTTGGAGGGACACTTATGACGGCTATTCTTACCGGCATTGTCTTCTCCAAGATTCAGCGTCCAAAGCGACGTTCTCACACGTTAATCTTCAGTAAGAACGCCGTCATCTGCATGCGTGAAGGCAACTTGTGTTTACTCTTTCGTGTTGGTGATATGAGGCGCGAGCATATGATTGGGACGCAAATCAGGGCGATAAAAGTTAAGAAAGGTGTCACAAAAGAGGGCGAGGTCCTTCCATTATTTGAACAGGACGTTCCCTTCCATGTACCATCCAACGGTGTCCTTTTCCTGGTATGGCCTACGATGGCCTGTCATATAATCGACAAGAGCAGTCCATTCTTTAACATCTCTGAGGATGCTCTTAAACGTGAGAAGTTTGAGCTTATTGTCATCATGGAAGGAACTATAGAATCCACGGGAATGACAACCCAGGTCAGAACATCGTACCTTCCCTCTGAAATTCTTTGGGGGCACCGTTTCAGACGCCTTACCATGTATCAAAAAGACACTGGCGAGTATCAAATACGATATAACAATTTCCATTCTTCAGTTCCTGTTGATACACCATCCTGTTGTGCAAGAGAGATGATCGAAGATCCCAATAGCGCCCTTAATTTGATGCCCTATCAGTCAGACTATGAAGAAACAATCCCTCCGCAACATTCGTCAATCCATCCTCCAATTCCAAATTTTAACAGAGGTGTAAGCTTCAAAGATACAGTCCATGAGGTCAATGATTTCAACTTTGAAGATGATGATACTTTGACAAAAACTAATGAAAATGATCAGCTGATTCTACAAACCAATACACTTGAAACAACGCCTTTAGTTGATGCAAGCAAAGATACAACAAGCAAAGATACAACAAGTAAAGATACAACGATGAATGAACAAACAGATTCTCCAATTAACGATGAACTGACCCAGGTGAAAAGGAAAGAAGATTCAGACAAACCATGGATCATAAAGTGCTCAAATGGCAATAAAGTGTTCATGGTTGAGAAAGCCAGAGATGACACTGACCAACCAAATCTATGTGGTACCCAAACAGTGGAATAAAGAATAGAAACCCAATAGTTGGCAGCAGTAAAATGGGAATCCAAACAAACATTGCAAGATCCAGTAAATGACGGCGTCAATTTGGACAGGACTCTTCATTATCTAGACACACTAAATGTCAAATTAACTGCCAAAAACAAATATGTGGAAACACAATCCTCACTGAAAGACTCGATGAGACTCGATATCAGAGTCCATTCAGGGTTGAATAGGGTAAAGAAATTAACTTTTCATTTGTGTGATATGTGCGCATTAAGAATGTAACAATCTGGGATGTAATCCGAAATTCTTTTTCCTCGGAAATGATATATTCCCTGAAATTGCATCCTCCAGTCACAGGACTTCAAACTCCAGAATATATTCTTTCTTTGTTACCCCCTGCGATAAGCAGTTAGCATTTCCCCAATTAACATACTCAGAGCAGGGGGAAGACGGAGGTACGAATGCTGGATACCTGCTTAGGAGGATGCTGAAATTGTTATAACTCAGTTTAGCATTTAATCATCTATTGAAGGCGGAATCAGATCTAGCAAGATACTAACTACTATATTTGATGAGCTAAAATATTTTATAGCCTAATAAATTTATAATGTACTAGCCAGTATATTAGATTTCTGTTTTTATGGTTAACTTATAATTTCAATGTCCACATATGGGGCAATATTGTCAGGCTAGGCGCGTCTACAGGCCTGTCAACTTGGGAACACCTAACATGAGTGACTTGGAAATGTTGAACACCTCACAGGTATTTTTGCTTGACAATTACCAGGTAAAATGCGTATTTGCGTGACATTTTCTGTCACGCAAAATTAACTGGCGTGACTTCAAATTCTTCAGTAAATGCGTGACAAATACGCAAATTGCGGGACAGTTGACAGGCCTGCGTCTATTCACCTGTATCTGTATACCTGTCCGTCCGTACGTCCAGCAGTTTTCTCCAAAACCGCTAATATCACTTTCTTTGCTAAAATGCTAGAATTCTTGTCTGCACAGTTATTTTTAAAACTTTAACATCTTCAATTCACATCATTCTACATCTGGTTAGTTTTAAGACATGTTAGCTCAGTTATGACAGCCATTTCACCCCATGCAGACAGACCGCTTAAAATAACATTCGCATGATGTGAGACGACATTCGGCAGGAAACAAAAACATTTTGTCACCGATGTAGCCACGGAGTAAATTTCGTAATTGCACGAATTTCGTGCATTAAAGCACGATTGGCATTGTCATTGCATGAGCTGGTTCATTTTCTCTGCGAATAAGCAGCTTTTCAGTTAAAAAATAATTGGTCAATTTTATGCCACGTAAGTTTACCAGTTACCCTTTTACCAGTTTCAGTGATTTCTGGGCATTTTCAAATGTTTGAATCACTAACAGGGGCGTAGCCAGCTTTCAGTCAGGCGTCAGGGGTGGGGGTTGCGATTGCAAAAAATCGGTTTTCAGTAAGGGGGAGTGCGATCGTGGCTTAAACAAGCCTTTGTTTTGAATTTTACGAAATTTGATGCAACTTCCTTCAAAACTGAGCTAGAAACTTCATATAAAAAGCATTCTTAGAGATTTCTGGGCACTTTCAAAATGTTTAAGAGGGGGAGTTGTTTGTAGAATAAATTGGAGGAGTTTTTCATGTATTTCGCTTATTTTTTTCACCTAACCCTTTGAAACATATTATTAACTATATATATAAGATTGCACCATATAATCCCTAAAAATATCTGTCATTTTGAAGGATTATCTACCCAGGTATTTTTATTTTTCAAACTTCAGAGGGCTGGGAATGATTGATAATCAACGCCTTTGAATAATGTAAATGCTATTTTAAATAGTAGTTTCATGTATGCCGAATAATTTCTCAAATTGTGTAAACTGAACCACGGACGTCAAGTACGTTTCTGGCGAAAGCTGGAGCATAGATTGTTTAGAGGACTGGAAACAAGATGGCAGTCTATTTCAATTCTGCCAGCTCGTTTTGGCCTATTTATCACTATTGACTCAGTTGTTCATCTTAGTTTTACTTACCTTAGATGCTTAGTAATCTATTTAGTATAATATTGTTTCCAAAATTATTGTCATTTGCGAAAATTAGTACTAAAAGTACTTTGAACAGGTCAGCTGCCATTTGCTTGGCTGATCGTACCACAAAAACAGTGAAATCATTTTAAAAATACCAATAAAACTTTAAAATTGAGGCAGATGCGATACGATAAGACTCCATTAATACAGATATACAGGTTACAGTCACCAAGATGTGCTAATTTCAGGCGAGATTCGGGAAATAAAAAGGAAGGTCATTCTTGTTTCCAGTCCTCTAAATAACCTATGCTCCGGCTTTCGCCAGAAACGTACTTGACGTCCGTGAACTGAACACAATCTCTAATCACTTGAACATTCTCTTGAATTTCCCACGTAAATCCAAATGGTGTGGTTCCAAGCAGATTTTGAAATAACAGGAAGGTAAATCTTTAGTACAGACCCTATTGGGTTGCGATATAAAAAAAACAGGTATAAAAATTGAAAAAATCTAAATTTCCAAGAGTGAGAAAAAATAAGCAAAATATTTTTTCATTTGGGGAGCAAAATTGATTTAGATTTTTTCAATTTTTTTTTTGGGGGGGAGGGGTGCCAGAGGTGGCCCAATCCCTCTAAAAAATTCCAAATTTTAAGATGCTAAGTGGTGAATTTCTGGGCACTTTCATTGTGTATGGGTCAATTAGAAAAGAAATTGAAAACAGTCCAATCCCTCTGGGAAATCTTACAATTTTAAGACTCTCTTCTGGGCACTTTCTTGAAGTGGTATTAGTCACTGACGGATCCAGAAATTAACAAGGGGGGGGGGATCTTGAGTTAGACAGAAAAGTTCTGCTTTTGCACGGAAATTTTTTTCAAACCAAAAGTTTGGCCCAAATTTTGAAAGATTAGGGCCCATTAGTAGTTTGGCCCTAAGTTCTAAAAAGGCAAAATTATGCGCAAAAGGCCCATTTTTGACCCCCTGCAAAATTTTTGGGCCATACTTTTTTTTTAGTGATCTGCAAGTGTGAGTCAATTGAAAAAGTAGGCTAACGTAAGTTATTTAGGGGGAATACCAGAGGGAAAGCAAGGCCCGCGGGTAGGCCCCTTCCCCCTAAAACAATATTTTACTATTTCAATGTGCTATTTCATATCTTTCCGATACAATACTATGATTAAAATCATTTCAGAATTTTTCTGACTATGTCTCAATTTTTAGAGTGCTATTTAGTAACTTTTGGGCACTTTTCAAATATTTCTTCTACATTTTGGGGGGGGGGGTGTGCGCCAGAGGACGGTGCTGCCGTACCCATTATTCTTGTGAATGTTATGATAAGGATACAGGTTCACACTGGCGGATCTGGGGGGAGCGGGGGGGGGGGGGGAGGGGGCTGGACCCAGAAAAACAATTGGGCCTGTAAAAAATTTTGATCCAAAAAAGGCCTTAAGGCCCCAAAAATTGGGCCTTTTTGGCTAATACTGGGCCTTTAAAGGCTTTATTTTTAATTTCAGGCCAAATTTTCAAGAAAATGGACCTCAAAATTTCAAAATTTGGGTCCACTTTGGGATTTTAGGGGCCCAAAATTTTTTTCTCTGACCTCAAATTTGCGCCTCCCCCCCCCCCTCTTGTTTGTTCCCAGATCCGCCACTGGGTTCATGAGTATCACCGATGGGCTTTAAATTAGAACCCTGGGCTTCTGGTCCTGGGCCATGATCTAGGTCAATATGGATTCCCCTTGGAATTCCCCCTTGGGATTTCCCCACGGGAATTCCGCATTATGCGCACGCGCAGCTAATGCCCAAAAATGGCGGAGAAGGCAAATTTCCGAAATATTTTGCAAATTTGCTAAACTATTGAAAAAATGCCCAAGAAATATTCCATACAGTATTCTGCTTCATCTGATTTAAGTCTTAAGGGATCCAGGGTCATATTGAGAGCACAAAAGCAGCGGTTGAGGGATGCTACGCGAGTAAAATTATGCTTTGCTTGAAAAGTGGATGGAACTGAAGCAGCTTCATTGCAATTTAGGAATGAAGAATTGCAGGCCTGGAGAATAGAGTTAATATTTCAATTATTTGCTTGTAACTATTGAAAAAATGTCCAGGAAAACTCCCAAACAGGGCTCTACCTCACTTGACTTAAGTAGTGAAGAAGCAAAGGCCATATTAAAAACCCACCAAAGGCGGTTAAGAGAGGATAAAAAAGTGAATCTAGGCTCTGCACATGAAAAATGGATGGTACTTAAAGAAAAAGTTAAAATGAAATCGCATGGAGATGTGGCATTATTTTTGTTAAACTTGTAAGTATTTATCTGAGTGTTCAGAAATTTGAATTGCTTCCAAGCATAGTGCTTTCAGGTTGCTTAGCAGCCATTTGAAAGTGGGGGGTTTGTGTAAAAAACTGGGTGACTGGGTAGCCATGTGACCGGGTACCTAACGTTCCTAGCAGGGTTATCAACTTACATAACTTCCAGTATTGGTCAAATAGTGTCTTACTCAAGTCTCTAGCTTACAGCTAGATGTACTTCATTGATTTCGTATGTACTCGTATTTCGTATGTAAAAATTGCTACACGCACATAGAAATCATTTTTCATAAATTTTATAAATATTTTTAAGAATATTAATTATATTTAGGATGAAGCGTTGCTTGTCTGGATTTAGATATTTCAAAATTTCTTTTCGGAGTTTGACACATGGTGAAATTTACTCGCTGTAGCTAAAAAATGGCTTCCGGTTCCGGACGTGAAAAATGGAGGAAACTTTGAAATTATTCTCGCTTAAAGAAATCAAATATAACGATAGATTCCGACAGAGATGTGTGCTGATGTTTCTCAAATCTATACATAGAGGTATATTTTATATTATTATGCCGTATTTACTGTGCGTGTGACACAATGATTTACAATATTTACAATACCAAGGCAGCTCAATCTTTCTACTCAAAGCCGGAATATAGAGAAGGCTTTGGACTGTAGCAAATAGCGTCCATATTTCGATATAGCCGTTATCATGGCCTTAAATATAACGAAATAAGAGGAGGAAGGGGAGATTTCTACTAGAAATTAAACAAATGTGAAAGAATATTCCCATGCGTATATTGAAACAATAATTGCCATTTATCTGCCATTTAATGTAAGATGACGTTAGTCATGTTAGTTGCTATGCTTTATTGGCTACGAGTGAGTGATTGACAGGATGTTGATGATTGATTCCTATGATGGTGATTTCTACTAGATATTAAACAAATCTGGAAGATATACACACGTATTTTGAAATGTTAATAGTTGAATGTTTTTTATCTGTCAATTAACGTACGATGTATGACTTATGGCGTTGGTTGCTTATTTTATTGCCTGAGTGATTGACAGGGTATCGATGATGATTTGTTTTGCTGGTTGGTTGGTTTATTGGTAGATTAGTTTGTTGCTTGGTTATTTGGTTGTTTGCTTGATTGGTTGGATGGCTTGTCCGTTGAGTTGGAGGCCAGCTGGATGGTTGGTTGCTTGGATTTTCAGTGGCATGTTTTAGGCCATTCAATGAAAAAAATCCCAACCCTGCTAGGATTGTTATGTACCTGGTCACCCAAATACCTGGTCACCCAATCACCCGTTTTTTTACACAAACCCTGTAAGGTGGACAAACATACAGTAAAATCTTTGATGTTTGTAAGTATTTCAGAGTGTTAAGTATAATGTGCAGCAAAGCTCTGGCCTTTTGTAATTAAGGGAGTTTCAGCCATGTTGATTTTTCAGAAAATAACATCGCAGATAAGCATTATTAAAATATAAGAGGACACAGAAATGATAACTAACCTACAAAACAAAATAAAAATATACAAAAGTTAGGCAGGGCTCTCACCAGCAAATATTTAAATAAAAGCCTGGCGAGAGCCCTGTTAGAATAAATATAAATGTTTCTAATTTTTCTAAAAACTTTTTCAATATGGTCCTTTAATTGCTTATTTTTCAAATTCAAAGTACTAACAAACATTTAAAATTTTACTGTACAAGGAAAGCGCCTCTATGGAATAGTGCGTAGTAAATTGACTAGACCATAATGTCTATTGTAACATATCTAACACTAAACTGGTGTACAGTAAAATGGACTTTCCAATATTTGCTTGAATTACACCAAAAAAAACACTAAAAGCGCCTAAGTGGAAAGCACATTACAAAATCACCATTCTGATTCCACCAATATTTCTAACGCACCTTTTGTGCACTTTTAATGATGTCCGGCAGATGTGTACATGAACTGAATAATGTATTGTATTCCTCTAGCATCTTAGACAAACTGAAATGCCATTCGACTAACTTATTTGAAAAACTTAAGGAAATAAAATAAAAAAGATGTTCATATTCCCCGAAGATAACACTAGATTTCTACCTGACTACAAACATCCATTTTTATACATATCTATACATCTTACATCTTAATGTGTCTTATTTCGTTAAGGCAAACCTTGAAAAAACCTCTGTAAGGCAATATACAAAAACTGATTGGTATTACACTACACTCCTTATAAATAAATAATTATAATAAAGCACCTTATGATTTAAGGTGTTTTTTAATGACTAGGGTTCTTGGAGTTTTGGAAAAGCAGCTTTGTAAATTGACAATTGTTATTACACCTAATTTTCAAACTGGGTTAAAACCTTTGGCAACTTTCTAAAATGCCTGTGCTTATTGTCCCACAGAACTAAGTTCCTAGGGTTAAAGTGAAACCGTCTGTCCATTTATTCTTTCATTCCTCCATCCTTTCGTTTGTGTGTCCAGGCAATATCTCAAATACCAGTTTAGCAATTTGATTCAAATTTATAGGTTTATGCCTTATGGGTGTAAAACTTTTGTTCGAGAAGGAATTTTTGATATGGCATTGGCAGCTCAGCTTAAAATGGCCACAATATTCATACAAAATCCTCAATTGTACTTTGAAAAGGTTTGCACACTCAAATGTACTATGAAAAGGTTTGCAGTGTTTGACCCTCAAATGCAATATGAAAATGTTTGACCCTCAAATGCACCATGAAAATGTTTGCACTCACATCGGGAGGATCTTGAATGTAGATGGTGACATTTTTGCTAACGCATTGATGTTTATTGTTATTACAGTTATGAAAAGTGGGAGAAAAAGGTAGAACCGGAAACATCTCAAGAGTCAGACCTTAAACCAATAGCTGGATGGAACATTCCAATAGAAAAGGAGTATGATTTAACAAGGTATGGAATTATCATTTTGTTTTTGGCCACTTCAGTCTTGAAAAAGTCCTGTAAATGTAAATATATATCCAAATATCCCTTCTAGTTTTAAGCCTCTAAATGTGAATGCTTTAGTAATTTGGTAATTTAAAAAAAAATTCAACTGCTATTCTGACATTTTCGCTAGTTGTGTTTAGATGAGACAAGTTTTACTACAGTGTACTCTGCATATTGCAACTTGCTAAACATTTAAACATTTCCTAACATTGCAGCCATGAGATTGCCTTGCCTTTTCATTGCTGGTATCTAGTTTGTAAATGCATGCAATAATGTAACGTAAATTACTTTTATTTAGCACCCTCTATCTTAGCAAAATGACTGGCTAAAGATACTGAGATAACTCCAGGGAACTTTTATGAGTCTTTTGATGAAACAATTTTACAAAATCATGTCTATTGTAAATTAGTGTAGAATGAAAATTGACACAGGGAATTCATTAGCATTAGGCAACAGTCAATTTCACAAAATTGCCTGTTGTTTTTAAGAACCTTTTCATTTTTCATGTTAAATTCATGATTTCCATTATTTTGCCTGTTATTTTCATTAATTTAGCCTGTCGGAGAAATTCAAGTGAAACCCCTGTGATAGCTTAAGTGATTCATGTTTATTTCTTCAGGAAGCAGAGTAGTGAACTACAGAATTTGGGGAAACTTGCTGTCAAATTTAGTGACATTTCATCAAAATTAACAACATTGAGAAAAGACACAAAATCTGCAGATATTATTTTCCTCATTAAAGATGGTGCTGAAGTAACTGCTCACAAAACAATACTTTCTCTTTTTAGTAAAGCATTGCCAGAGAATGTTGTTAGAAAGTGTATTAATCCAATACTCAGTGATGCAACACAATGTGGTCTCGATGGTTTCCTTGATTTAGTATATGGCCTTGGAGTGACACTTTCACATGAAAACTTTGATGATATATTACATGTTGCTGAAGTTCTCAAAGCAGATAAAGTGATTGCCAGACTTAAATCAGTACAACATAAAATAGCTGCACCCAAAATTGATGAACGAACTAGAACTAAAGAGGAAAACAATTGTATTAATGTAAAACAGGACATTGATAATGAGCAAATGGATAATAATGCTCTTGATATTACTGAAGAACTTTGTGATAATGGTGTCATAGAACATGAAACCATTGATGTGATAAATCAGGAACATGATGTTGTCTCTGAAGGCTATGGTGCATGTGAAACATCACACCTGGAAACCGAGGACAAATTTGATCTTGCAAAACTGAAAAAAGAAAAGATTGGTGGCAAAGATGATAATCAAACAGTAACTATTGAACAATATGAGGAAAAATCACCACATAAATTGCAAGATGAAGCCATGGAGATTCAGGACTATGAGACAGAGTCTAATGATGTGAATACCAAAGTCGTGGATGATACCAGTGCTGTAGATATGATACCAAATTCAAATGATACCAGCAATATTGGTGATGTATTAAAGGGACATGAAATAAAGACTGAATTCAGGGACAGCAGTGACTCAGCAGAGGAGTACGATGACGAACATGATGATGAATATGATGAGTATAATATTGAGGAGGATGATTCTGATAGTGATATTCTATCTACTGATTCAGGGAGTGAGTACTCCTTCAGAGATGATAAAAAGGACTTGGACTGGACACCAGACTTTGAGCAAACCTCTAGTTCCATTAAAACTAGGAGTAAGAAAACAGCAGAAACAGATATTATTTCACCTAATGATGATACTTCATCAGATGATTCGGGTGACAATGACAGTCACACTAGAAAGCATGCCAAAAAGACTAAAACTAAAACCAATGGAAATAAGGGACAGTCTAAAGCAAAGCCTCGTAAAACATGGCGTGAAAAATACAGTAAGTTGCCTGTTGTGCATTCATACGAGAGGAAAATTGGTAAATTAAATCAAAATCTTCAAGGTTACTAATTTGTATATATAATTACTATACTAGTACAACAGTGTAGATTTTATCAATTCAGACAAACTTTTATGGATTGATTTTGAAATTTTCAAAGATCTAGATTCTAGACACACGTTTTTTGACATGCTTGGTAATATAGGATGTCCATTTTGGGTTTTCCCTGTGTATAAATCAGAGGAAAATCATTGATAAACAGGATAATCAGCCTTTTTAGCAGCAGGTAATAATGGCCTATGATCTGTTTGCTAATTCAACCGAGTTAAACTTTATTTATGATTGTTACAATGGCATAAAAAATGATATTTTACATGTTTTGTTGACTTATGTATGGGTTGTTAGTTAAATCAACTTCAAAATGATTGATTAATTTATGAAAATCAATAGGTTAATCCGATATCTGATAGCCGAAAGTTACATTCCTGAATAAGTCTGAGTAACTTAACAACTTAGTAACTGACTTACGAGTATGAAATTTGATTTTCTGTACAAATTAATCTTTATCACTGTGTGAGCACAGGGCATGGGCTCTTTTTTTAATACTATTGGCTGGATGTTGATACATGCCTATAGCCATGTGTGAATATTTCTGTTTTCAGTTGATCAAGCCATTGGAGAATTCAAATGCCCTAACTGCCAGAATATTCTAGAGACAAAGTTCAAGCTGAGAGAACATGTTGATGCCAAACATAACCAGTTCATGTGCCCATTATGTGACCAGTGCTTCAACACCAATGAGGAAAGAGATCTACACAGATCAGCTCATTACAGTAGGTTTAGAACATAATATGACCCTTCACAAAAGTAAAATGTAATCTAATACACTCATATGCCAAATCACCCTATACAGAGTGTGTTTTACGAAAACAAGCAGTGCTGATATTATGTGCTCAATGTGCGGATATTGACGGTCATTTTTGAATTTGAATTTGTGATATTTCATAAACTAGGGCATGTTGGGTACTCAATTATAGTCATTCATTTGTAGAGGATACCAAGTAAAAGGGAAATTTTGTCTATATTTGTGTTCTTCAATTTTTATTGACGCACTAAGCATTCATTCTTGCTCCAAAGCAAAGAATTTGAAATTGCTGCTTTAAAAATTAAAAAAAAATGAAAACATTTATCAAATATGTGCTACCTCGAATCAAGCGGTGCGGATATCCTCACCTTTTTGGTTAGCTTCAGATATCTACACCGTTTGTTTAGAGGTAGCACATTTTTGTTTAATGTTTTGTATAAAATCACTCAGACACCTTTCTACTTTCAAAATGCAAATATAATTTGTATCGTTAGGTCATCTCGATCACCAATATTGAATAAAGGCTGTTTACGATGGGAAACAGCTTCAGTTATTTTCTTTTGGAGAGACTATTATTGCTTGATGTGTCGCTATAGAATGAACCACACACCTATTTACACAATTTCCTTTTTAAAAGGGAACCTATACATATGTATGAATATACTCGAGTACCAAACTGTCCAAACATTGCCTTAGTTGGTGAAATATCATGAAATCAAATTCAAAAGTTATCATTAACATCCACACCTTACGCACATTATATCTGCACCGCTTGTTTTCGGATAGCACAGTCTGCATAGAGTGCAAATAAGCCCAATCTATGCCCTTGACAAATACAATAAAATACAATTACATGCATGACATGTTACATACACTGTGCTCAGCATTCTCCACAGGATTTTTTCTCAAGTGGGTGAAAAATTCACATTTTCATGATTTTCCTCATTTTTAAGGTGAGTGCAATCTCAGGTGGGTGCTGCGCCCATTTGCTTGAGTGCTTGGGAGAGCACTGATACTATATCTAGTACTGAATTAATCTAAATCACTGTGTGAAGATTAATTAGAAGCATTTAAAATCGAATTCTAGGCAGAATTTGCATCAAATGGAATCTTTATGCACCAACTATGGAGATTTTATAAATGATGATTAATCAATTACTAGTAATATACAGGTTTATGTCATTTATTTGTCTGATATTTGGTTTAAATATGGTTTGTTTATTTATGTTGATTTGTTAGATTTAAAAAAAATAGGTAGGGTGAAGAATATGTCAATGTCGTTTCATCATGCCCCAGAAAGTAATCAAACTGCAATAAACATGTATACTGCAATAATAATTATATATTCTATCAATCAGAATTCCTTTAAGGCTTATAGTACTCTTGCAAACTATATTTACTTTCAGGATTCAAGAACAGTGATTCATCAATGGGGGATTTCTTCTGTGATATATGTGACGTACAATTTTCTTCAAAACATATTTACCTTTTACATATGCTTCAACCAGGACACATAAAGAAAAGACGTTCTACAAAGTTATGTATACAATGTGAAACATGGATACCTGATACAGGTTTTAAGAAGCATCTTTCATCTAAGCATGACTTCTCAGTTACGCAGTGTTACATATGTAAGGAAAAATTACCAGTAAGAATTAAAAGAAAAAAAAATCAATTGAATTCAGCAGCTGAAATGCAGAGACATCTTTATGAGAAACACAAACAACGTAATTATAATTGTGAATTTTGTGATCATACTTCTTTCACTTTGTTCTATTTGAGGAAGCACATCGTAAATACACATCATCGTTGGAAGATTCAACAATGCAAATTATGCACCTTCACATGTGGAGCTAATCACCAAATGCAAACCCATATGAGGAAAAACCATAAATTGGGTGCATCATGGGTCTGCAATAAGTGTGGTGACACCTTTGAATCATATAAAATGAAAATGGCACATAAAGCAAGAATGCACCCTACTTTGATGACTTGTGAGTATTGCGGTAAAGAACTTGACCGCAAAAATATGGACCAGCATGTTCGAATACATACTGGGCATAAGCCTTACATCTGTGAACATTGTGGAGTGAAATTCGCACAGAAAAATTCTCTCAATTGGCATATGTCGTCCAAACATTCTCACTTAAACGAAGAAAAAAATATTTCTAAAAAACTCAAATCAACTGGAAAGAAGAAAAAGAGTAAAAGTTAAGGTTAATATTTGTTGTATTTGTCATATATTCTCTTAGAGGAGAAGCTATAATATGGGATTGAAATCAATCCTTTAGACGTTGACATTAATATTTTAACACGGCTGGCTGGCAGGAATGGTATTCAGTTGTCAAAATGTTACATGTATTTTATAGGTAAACATTGAATTGAAATAATTATAGAATAAAGTGGAACTTTCATTTCAAGGTGTATGTTCACTCAGTGATCACCTATTATTACAAGTGTGTGAGTAATGACTCGACAAGATCCGCAAAATTCAAAATGTCAAGGAAAGGTTTGTTTGTTTCTCTTTCCTTTACCACTGTAATATTATTTTAACTACAAATGGTATTCCATATGCTGCATATGAGACTCATTATTCATTCATCAAAAACAACCCTGTAGTTGATGCAAGCAAAGATACAACGATGAATGAACAAACAGATTCTCCAATGAACGATGAACTGACCCAGATGAAAGGGAAAGAAGATTCAGACAAACCATGGATCATAAAGTGCTCAAATGGAGCACTTCAGAGGGCTGGGAATCATTGATAATCAACGCTGTTGAAATATAAATTTATGCTTTTTTAAAAGGTTTCATGTAGGAACTTATGCCAATAAAATCATGTATGCCAATAAAATTGTGTATGAGTCAATTAGAAAAGAAATTGAAAAATCACAAATGCCTGAAGGGAACCAAAGGGTGGTCACCTCCCTCTAATTTTTATTTTTTTATATTTTATGGGCCGATTTTACAGTTTATATACATATTTGCGTTGTTACAACATTTTTGGTTGAAAAAATGCATTGCGTTGTGGGTCCACGGTGACCGTTGGGATTGTTGGTGGTGCTCAAAATGAGGAGAGGTTTATCGATAAGAAAATGCTTTGTCCAGAAATTCAGTGAATGATATAATTATTGAAGAATTTTCGTTTTTGTTACAAAGTTGATGACCGAAGGTTAGAGTATTTGCCTTGTTTGCTTGAGAGAGAGACTTGAACCTAATTTTTGGATATTCACGGGATATTTTATTGGAAAGTATAGTATAATCATCTGTGTTAGGGGGGCATCTGAAGAGAAAATGGTTTAATGTTTCTGATTCCATTTCACATATACATAAAGGGGAATGTACAGAAGTAAAGTTATGGGAATGGAGCTGCGCCTTAAAAACTAGGTTACATCTGACATATTCTCACGATGACTAGTTAAATGTAATGAAAAACACGTAATTGTAGAGTTCGGTAGTGAGTATGATGCAATTCTATGTTAAAAAATAGAGATTGTTTGATGTTAAGGGGAGGTTATTCCATTCATTCATGCTTTTGAAAACACATGACCTTGATTTGATAAGGGTTTGCTTCCTAGGAAGGATGTATGCAAGCTTGTTGCGGAGTGTGCGACTATTGTCTGGACGATGGAATTTACTGAATATATCGGCTAAGTAATTTGGGGAAGTTCCATTTGTTACTGCATACATTAAATTCATTAGGCGGTGACATTTTCTTGTTTCGAGGGGTAGCCAGTTTAAGCATTTGAGAACTTTCATGGAGCTGGACCCATGAATCGCACCAGTAATAATAGTTCCAGCTGTTTATATAGCCTATTAGAGAATCTAAGGATTTCAATTTATTCATATTCGCACAGCCGTAGATTATGTCGCAATATTCAAAATGTGGGCGTATATAGGTATTAAAGATTGTTAAAAGATGAATTCCATTTAGTTTTGATTTTAGGGCTTTGGGAGGATTTATTAATTTGTCAATTCGCATTATAATTCCATTTATGTGATTCTCAAATTTCAGGGTTTCATCTAATATGAGCCCAAGGTGTTTATGATGATTGTATTTTGGGACAAACTTGTTTTATATTTCCTAAATGAAGGGGATAAATATTTTCAAGTGTTGACCTTCCCTGAAGAATAATATGGGCACTTTTAGTTGCATTAAAGTTGAGTTGCCATAAATTTGACCAGTGTCTTTTATTATCCATGTCCACTTGCAGGGATGTCATTTTTTCGATTAAATTATCTTGTTATATGGACAGTAAATTGACGTGTCATCGGCATAAAGAAAAGGTAAGTTCGCTAATCTATCAGGCATGTCATTTATATACGAGGGGTGATCAGGAATTTCTGGACCGTTGGCTCTATTTTTGCCATTTTTTATCCTTTCTTACTGATTTTTTCACATAATATAACCCAAATAAATAGCATCACATCATGAAAATTTCATTGTTCTATGACATCATTATCCCATTATTTTTGTTACCATGGTAATCGGTGACGCGACAAGGTGGAGCTCAGAAAAATACCAAATTTGAAAATCAACAGTACAATGTAGTTTTATATTACATTTTTTGACACTGAATTCATTGCTGAATATGTTACAAACATCCTCAAATAGGTCGTACTATATCATTAAGTATATTCATCAATGTTCATAATAACTGGCATTATTCTTCTATCAATTCTAATCCTCCAAAGTAGTTACCAGCATTTTGTAAGCATTTGTTATGCCTTTTCACCTATTCCTGAAAGACGTGATACAGGCCGTCTTTGCCTACAAAATGTGATTGTTTCCATCGGCTGTGGCCTTGTACCACACGCACCGTATTCCCAATGCCGTGTACCACATGCACCGTATTCCCCAGACTTAGCTGACTGTGATTTCTATCTTTTCCCAACAGTGAAGACAAAATTATGAGGTATCCACTTTGAGGCCAGTAATGAGATCATTCAGGAATTCACACACCACGTCTTTCAGGACTGGGTGAAAAGGCATAACAAATGCTTACAAAGTACTGGTAACTACTTTGAAGTATTATAAATGATGGAAGAATAATGACAGATGCACATTAATGAATATACTTAATGAAATAATACAACCTAGACAGTATGTCACATATTCAGCAATGAATAGTGTCCAAACATCATATAAAAAATTACTGTTGTTTTTCAAATTTGGTATTTTTTCATATTACTGTTGTTTTTCAAATTTGGTATTTTTTCTGAGCTCCACCTTGTCGCGTCACCGGTTAGCATGGTAACAAAAATAATATGATAATGATGGCATAGAACAATGAAATCTTCGTGAGGTGATCCTATATATTTGGGTTATATTATGTGAAAAAATCAGTAAGAAAGGATAAAAAATGGCAAAAATAGAGCCAACGGTCCAGAAATTCCTGATCACCCCTCGTATAATAAAAACATAAGGGGATCAAGTATCGACCCTTGGGGTATGCCGGCATTAATGTTCTGATCTTCTGAGTAGTTGGATTCATGTCTATCGACCAAAATTCGTACTTTTCTGTTCCGGTAAGATAGGATGATAAAAGATCGATTGTCTCCGTACCAAAGCCATAGCTTTTTAATTTTGTAATGATATATTTACGAGGCATTGTATCGAGGCTGCAGAAATATTTAAAAATATGCCAGATACTTGATCACCGTTTTCCATGCACGAGGTTATGTAATCAATGATTGCAATCAACTGTCGTTCGCAGCTGTGCCCTGGGAGAAAACCACTTTGGAGATTGTATAAAGTATTGTTATCTAGACAGTGTTGAAAAAGGCAATTAAAATCAGATTTCGTTTTTATGGACTGGTATGATGTTACCGTACCTAGTTTCCAAGATGTTGGGAATGTATTGCCTGACTGTATTTTATTAACGAGATTTGAAAGGATTCTTGATAGTTCAGGAGCAGCTATTTTCAAATTTGTTAATAATTACGTCTGGTCCGAGTGCTTTTAATACCTCTATCAAGCTTCAGATTTCATCAGTAAACCATTAGTCCATGGTATGAAATCTCTAGGACGTCTAATAAAGGAGCTGGTAGCACACTATAGCGCAGCGATATTTGACCTAACATTAGCATACCTACATATGTCCCCTAATAATTTTTATTATAACCGTTTAATATACTTCCGGCTTTAAGGCTGAATTATGCCTGCCATTAACAGAGGTCAAAAAAATTCCAAAAAATAAACTTCCAAACTTTCACAATTTGGAGTACACAATGCAATAGCAAATAATAAAATATGATTTTAAGTATATGATTTAGGTTTCTAAGCTAAAAGTTTGAGGTTATTTTTCTTATCAATACCAAAAGATTATGTCATCAGTGTATCGACATTTTGTATTGTTTCTCGGGTATTAATAAGATAAATGCTACAAATGAATCATTTTTATGTTAGAATGACAAAGGCTTAAATTATGCTAGGTTTTCACAAAATGGGTCTCAATACGTTTTAAGATATGAACTTTTATTCAGCGGTGAACATTATCAATAAAGGTGGGCCTATTGCTCTTCCTTGACTAATTGCGACTACAGCTAAAATTTTATTTCTCGTAGTTAGATATAGCTCAGTTGCTTATGAAACAACCATCAAGACTTGGTCGAATTCATGAATAATTGAGAAAAATCGTTATCATTATCTTCCTAAAATTTGATTATACCCTTCGGTAAGGTCAAAGAAGAAACAACCATCAGAAAACTTGATGATAGCCACAACTAACGTCGAGGAAGAATTTTAAGGCGTTCGACTGCATATAACTCTAATTGATTATTAGACATGCCCTTGGAATATATGAACATGCAAATACCTCTGTAACATCGCCGGAATGAGATATGAATCTTACCTATTTGTTATTGTATTATGTTTTATAAAACATCGACAATAATTTGTTGTTAGACCCTTTACGATTATATGGAAAAATTCTGGTAATAAAATGTTTTAACTGGTAAGAAAACAAATACGTTCCGAATCAAAAAAAATTATCTAAATATTCCATACAATTTTGTTGAATCGGCTTAGCTCATATTTGAAAAATCAAACAAAATCTGAAAAACACACTTGTGTTATTACACTAATTAAACACCGACATCTACAGTAAAATCATAGTAATTTTGACATTATGATATTCAATTTTTTTGTTCGTATGCTTAGAATAACAGTCTGTGTCTTATAATATGTATAAAAGTTCGAATCAAAATATTTACGTTTTTTGACCCCTTGTGATGAAATACATTTTTCGACCCGAAAGCCGGAAGTTTTTTCAGCAAATGGTATTTTAAAAGAATCAAGACATATACACCTTCATAAATATTGCTTCAAATGTTGCTGCGCTATAGTGTGCTACGGATCCTTCATATTCGGAAGTCATACCATGGACTACATGGTTGATCATTGCTTTTAATTTTTAGAACTGTGGTTATGAGGGAATCAATTTCATTGGTGTTTTCAAAATTTTCAGGCCCAATGTCCTGGCAGATAATATCTTTACAAGCTTTATTGTAATCCCATACCTTTCTATAATGCGGGGGTCTTTAATCATGTTAATACACGGTGCCCATGTCAAGCTGCGCGCCTACTTAGGCGCGCAGTTTGTTTCGATCACAAACTGCGTGCCTAACAACATTGCATCATTTAAGTTGGAGTCTGAATTTTGAATCGTAATTTAAAGACATTAATCCTGCATTGTTTTCTTGTTCAATGCGTTCATTCTGTGGCGAATATACGAATCTTGCAAATACTAGCAAAAAGTATGTGCAAATGAATCTAAGTTTTAAAACATAAGCAGATTAATGGCATTTCCGTCACTGATTTAACGGGAGTTTATACGTAAATCGATCTAGCACTTTAAACATAAATGACAAATACTTTAGACTCGTTTTATATTTAATTCCTTACGCATTTATCATGTATAATTCAAAATATTTCGAGATAGAAAACAGATAATCAGGAGATTAAAAAGAAATAAAGCACAAACTGCGCGCCTATTTTAGCCAGAAATTACAAACTGTGCGCATACACTCTAAAAACTACATACTATCATTGGAATTTCTGCAGAGGCACGTGTAGGTGTTTTTCATATAGCTTTGGAATTTTTGCTTTATCGTCAGATTTTATGAGATTTTCATATTGAAAGTCAAAATGTATAATAGAAGTGACAATTAAGTTTGGAACGAAAAAACTTTTATTTTCAGATCACCATCTTGGTGGATGGACTCTCATAGTGTTTCAGTTATGGGGTTCTACTATTAGACACATATGTGCCTTACATATGGCGCTTACGTTTTCTAATTATACAAAACAAGCTTGGATAGGCAAGCAATTTGGAAATATTAGGCACGCAGTTTGGGAAATACATGTGAATAACACTTAAAAATGTTTTAAACTATATCGTGCTATGATTTTATGTTAGTCTCAGGTGTTACCAACTGGTGGCAGGACATTTTGAGATTGTGCTTGGTTAGGATTTTCTGTAGTCAAAAGATCTATGCAGGTGCTACTCCTGGCCATTATTCTAGTCGGTTCATCAATGATCTGAGTAAGATAAGAAGATATTAGGTAATTTTGTAATTCAGTACCAGCTGAGTTTTCAACGTCATTTTCCCACCAAACGGGATTTCTCGCATTAAAGTCACCATTTATTAAAGTCATTTTGCGACTTAATCACGTGTTTAAACATTTGAAACTGTCGTAGCAAACGTCCCTCTAAATCATTTTACTATTTCAAAGTGCTATGTCCAATCCCTCGAGCAAATCTTACAATTTCAGGATTCTATTAGGTGATTTCTGGGCACTCTTGAAGTGGTATGAATCACTGGCGGATCAAAAAATTAACAAGAGGGAGGAAAAATCTCCACTCTTGCACGGACATTTTTGTATAAACCAAAAAGTGGGCCAAAATTTTGAAGAATTAAGGCCCATTTGCTAGTAATTTGGCCTAAAAAGGACTAAAAAGGCCAAATTATGCGCATATGGCTCCTTTTTAGCCCCTACAACATTTTAGGGCCCTATAATTTAAAGGGGCAATAAGGACTGTAGAGAGAAAATTCGAATGTTTTTATTTTTCTGAGCTATCTAGAGGCTGACGGTAATTCCGGTTATACGGTTTCGGTACGGAATTGAGTATTTACCGGTATTGAAATTATTAACCGGTTAACCGACGATAATCCCCGGGGAAATAAAAGACACGTCGTTTTTTAATCATTTCGTTTAATGTCCACTTTCACGATGCGTACATTTACATAGACATTTAGATGTCCACGTTTGGCAGTTCAGGTGTGATTTCCATTTTTAGCAGTTTAGGTGTGATGTCCATGTTTGGTAGTTCGGGTGTAGTAGCTTCATACTCAGATTTGGTTGTAATTATGTTTGGCAGTTCCGGTGTAGTTGTAGTGTCAACGTCAGATCCAGAAACTGAATTATGTTTGTAATAGTCATTTACGAACAACAAGGCATTGACAACCTCAGGTTGAAGTCGTGCCCATTTGGAAGTGATGGTGTTGCCAGCTGCATTGAACTGACGTTCACTTGACACGGATGACGCAGGAATAGCATGATATGTTTCAGCCACACTCGCCATATCAGGATATTTTCCTCCGTTTACTTTCCAGAACTCAAGACAGTCAATAAACTTGGATGCTGATGACAAATATCTGTCCAATTAGCCTAATTACCGGGAGTTTTGGGTTTTGTTAAAATCTATTTTATCTACCCCACCCCATGTAAACTGCACGTCGCTTGCTATTGATACAGTTGAGAAATGGTTTGAAATGTGTAATAGTTAAAACTAAAAATACATCTTGATTCGTAAGATAGTCACATACTACAGGGTGGTCAAAAAATGGAAACCCTGCATTTTCCTTATACTAGTATCTTTGTCACTTTAAAGAATTACTCCCTGATATTTCAGACATTTGTACATCATTCAATTTCCTACTACCCTACCATATTTCATGAACATCAGACTGATAGTAACAATTTTACAGCACTTTGAATAACATGCTTCAGATTTGGCCATCATCGCGCTGTAGACAAAACAGCACAGTTATCAATGACCCGAATGCATTCCTCAGCAGGTATGGCCTGAATGACACAGATGGTCTCAGTTTTGAGGTTTGCAATTGTCCTGAGGTCATTCTCATATACCCTGTCTCAGCCATATCCCCACAGGTAGGGACATTTTAGACGATGAGTACAGGTCTCCCCACAACGCAATAGTGGCCACTAGGCATGTTCTTTAAAGTATACTGTAACATTGTGACTATCAATATGATGGTCTTGAAATAAGGTAGGCTGGTAGAAAATTGAATAATGTACAAAAGTATAAAATATCACTTATTTATTAAAATGACAAAGATATGAGAAAAATGGTATTAGGGTTTCCATTTTTTTGACCACCCTGTATTTCGTGAAGTTCATCAGTATGGGTTCAAATCGGTCTTGCACCATGTATATGCATATAGACTTGCTAAAGCTACGGAAAGAGTTAGGAACAAAGTGGGGTTTGGCAGCGCATTGGCATTTTATCTTACATACTTTTACCGGTATTTCGGTAACGGTACGGTTATTAGTGTGACGGTTACTGGTACTGGTTTTCAGTACCGTTGCGACCTCTAGAGCTATCAGTTCAGGCAATATTTGGCCATCTTCTTTGACATAACCATTTGCTGTATGTACCATTACTGTATGGATAAAGTATCAATTTTAGCAGAAGAAGTCACATTCAGTTCAAAGCTTCTATATAAAGGGAGTCCCACTTTTAGATTTTTAAGATTCACCACATTTCAAGAGGAATATCAGCTGAAATAATATTCACCCAATGGGTTTCTTTGTAGATAATGAAAATATATGTTAGTTTTGATGAAATATCCAAATTAATATATTTTGTCACTGATCGATGATCGTCAGTTGAATGTCCCCCCCCCCTGCACTAATCGTTGCACCTTTAAGTAAAGTAAATTCAGGGGGAATGCAAGAGGGAAAGCAATTAGGCCGGGAGGCACCCTCCCCCTGAAACATTTTCCTATTTCAATCCCGGATTGTGATATCTCGGGACTTAACGTGGCTAATACAATATTATCATAAAAATGATTTCAAATATTTTTTCTACATTTTTGGGGGGTGGAGTGCCAGAAGCGGTGCTGTCGTACCCATCATTCTTGTGAATGGGGGGGTTGCAGGGGCGGATCTGGGAACCAACAAGGGGGGGGGGGCAAACTTTTGGGTAGAGAAAAAAACTTCCGCGCTTGTGGGGAAAAAATTTTTGGGCCCCTAAAACCAAAATTTGGGTCCAACGATGCCCATTTTCTTCAAAATTTGGCCTTAATTTAAAAATAAGGCCTTAGAAGGCCCATTTATGACCAAAAAGGCACACTTTTTGGGGCCACAAAGCCCCTGGCCCCCCCCCCCAGATCCGCCAGTGGGGTGATTATAAGCATAGATTCACTGTAGTTGCCCGTAGCCAGCTTTTACCTAGTATGTATCCAACAGACTGACTAGAAGTCAGTCTGTTATGATGTACTACTTTCCTGTGGAAATTGCAGTGAAATTTTTTGCACAAAATTATCAATTAGAGGAACCATTTCTTCAATAAAATAAACATTTCAAAATTTCAATTAAATAGTACAGTAGTAAGGAACAATTAAATGCAATAAAAAGTAACACAGCATATTGTCAAGTGGAAATAAAGCTAGATGAAGTAAAAATGTGCAAATTAATTTTACCTAATCGGCCATTTTGAATAGCACTTCCTATGTAAACAAATATTTAGGATTGCCAAAGTTTAACATAGTTACCTTATAGTCTGAATATAATTCAGACTAAATAGGATATAGTCTAAGCTTTTACCAAGGGAGAGCTTTTTCACAATTTTCGGGCTAAAAATGCGAAAAATTCTCAGAATGGTGAAAAACTGCATGATTTTGAAAGAATTTCTGGCCAGGGGGTGAGCTTCCGCTCCCCCAGCTCCCCCTCTGGCTACGAGCCTGCAGGGTTCATGATTATCTGAACTGTGGGCCATGATCTAGGTCGACCCTGATCTAGGTCAGTAGCTAGGGATTCCCCTTGGGATTTCCCGATGGGAATTCCGCACAAGGCGCATGCGCAATTGATGCCAAAAAATGGCGGTGAAGCAAATTTGCTAAATATTTTGGAAATTTACTAAACTATTGAAAAAATGCCCAAGAAGTCTTCCATACAGGATTCTGCTTCATTTGATTTAAGTCTTAAGGAAGCCAGGGCCATATTGAGAGCAGAAAAGCAGCGGTTGAGGGATGCTACGCGAGTGAAATTATGCTCTGCTTTTGAAAAGTGGATGGAACTGAAAGAGAAAACGCAAATGAAAACACACGAGGATGTGGCATTATATTTGTTACACATGTAAGTTAAGCTAAATGTTCAGAAATTTGAAAAGTATAAGTGAATAGTACAGGTGAAAATAGTACGAAAGTGATCACTAAAAGGTCTAGTGGCCCCAAGGCACAGGCCCAGAAAGATTCAGGCTCACCCAAGGGAAAGATCAATACCCGGTGATTTCAGCGGGAAGTGGCGTTTCGTTCAGTGGATGAGCTGCGCGCGCACGCATAAATGTGATTATCCAATATAATTAGGGGAGGGCTATTTGAAATAGTTTTTGGTCTCAGGCACGACCCAGGGCTGTTGTCTTAAGGACATTTCGTTGAAAATGAGCCATTCGGCTGATAATTGGTAAGAGTTTGCGATCTTATAATGTATAACTGTTACTCAGACACATATTTTGACACGATTCTGTTGGAAATAAGCTTTGAACCGAGAGATATTCACGATTGATATGCACATTTTTGATTGTGCCATTGCTTTTCCATTGCACAATCCATGTATTGATAGAAGAAACATTAATAATGCAGATTGGTTTACCTTCAATACATGGCAGACACTACATATCGGTCTATTAATACCAGTTTGTGCCTTAAATAGTTTTATATTTCCATCCACGGCCTGGAGCCTGGGTGTGTTTGTCTCTTATGTGTATGCTTGTGCATGGACTTCTAATCACTAGCAGAATTTAACATGATGCAAACTCAACATTATAACTCATGCTGTAACATTTTGACTTCGCTGGAAAACAATAGGAATTATTTTTCTTGCCAATCAATCATGAATCACAATCAAAATTTCAGAATGAGCAATCAGGCAATGATCCAAATCAAGTGTATAACATTATATGATATTCAGCAAGAAGTCCGGTAGAAATACAGAATATTTAAACATCAAAGCTGAAAGTTAAAAGCTAATCTGTCAATTTTCTGTCTGCAAAAGAGCGTTTACATTTGACACAATAACAGACTGAGGCTTTGAAATCTAGGATTCCCCGGGAAAATATGACGTCATACTAATTAGCATAAGGATTTCCCTATTGGTTTGGGTCGAGCCTTGTTCGAAAACACAATCCATAAATACATGCTAATTTCTAAGGAGATAGGAAGTGTATAACGTGTTTATCGATTTTGTTTAAATATTTAATCAATTATCAAATTGTTTAAGTGGATAAAGTGGTCACACTTGCTTCAATTCATAGCGAAATCGACGGATAGAAACTGACCGAATTCCCGATATCCTACCCCGTATTACTGTAGGCTATAAGAACAGTGACCTACAGAGGGCGCTATCACAAACAAGTACTGCACGAACCGATAAATTCCCGGGTATTGTAATGCCCTTGGCTCACCTCGTAAACATCCAAATCTATCCTCTCTAAATTCTCAGATTATGTATATAAATATCTTATCGACGAAATAATCTTGGTTGTTAATGTTATTACATGTTATTTTCTGGTACAAAATAAAGTTGAAGGCATGTGTCAATTTCCTTGCTTTTTTCAGGAAAGTATCATTACATTGTCTTCTTTTAGAATATCTTAGTCTACAGTTGGGGACATAAATAAATGACAGGTGGATTTGCTGAAGTGAGGATTTCCCATGTTAAAAATAAGAGAATTTACAAGAGGCCATAAATCAGTGGATGAGATTATACAAAATGTAAAATATACAAATTTTAAGGGATATGTATCTAGACAATATTGGAAATTATGGGCTTTCAGACCACCATAATTAGGAAATGGTGATCGAAAATCGACCTGTCATTTATTTTTGTCCCCAACTGTATATCCAATAGACTGAATTTCCTGAGAATTCAGTCTATTGATCATTATGTCCCTCCTGTGGGAAAAAAAACAGGAAATTTCAGGTACACAATTATCAATTTTAGGAAACTTCCCTTCCCAAAAATAAGCATTATAACAATTCAATTAAGTAGTAAGGTACAATTAAATGCTATGAAAAGTAACACAGCATATTGTCAAATGTAAATAAAGCTAGGGGAAGTAACAAGTATGCAAATTAATTTACCCAGTCGGCCATTTTGAATGGCACTTCCTATGTAAACAAATATTTTTCAATCCCAAATTTTAACATATATGGGCTATAGTCTGAATATTTTTATTCCAAATTTCAACAAAATTTCAGACTAGAGGATATAGTCTATAGAATATCTGGTAGGAGTTCAATGCGAACTCCAGGAAATTCTGATATTTCACACTTTCTATTTTTCCAAATTTTCTTTCAAAGTTTCCAGACAACACAGGAGCTACCATTGACCCGTTTCTAGGTTTACTAAAAGTAGACAGTGTAATGATACTTTCCTTAAAAAAGCAAGGAAATACACACATGCCTTCATACTTAATTTTGTACTTAATCATACTTTGAAAAGGTTTGCACCCTCAAATCTACTATGAAAAGGTTTGCATCCTCAAATGTACATGTACTTTGAAAAGGTTTGCACCCTCAAATGTACTTTGAAAACGTTTGCACTCTCAAATGTACTATGAAAAGGTTTGCATCCTCAAATGTACTATGAAAAGGTTTGCACTCTCGAATGTACTATGAAAAGGTTTGCACCCTCAAATGTACTATGAAAAGGTTTGCATCCTCAAATGTACTTTGAAAAGGTTTGCACCCTCAAATGTACTATGAAAAGGTTTGCACTCTCAAATGTACTATGAAAAGGTCTGCACCCTCAAATGTACTATGAAAAGGTTTTCAGCCTCAAATGTACTATGAAAATGTTTGACCCTCAAATGCACTATGGAAATGTTTGACCCTCAAATGCACTATGAAAATGTTTGACCCTCTAATGCACTTTGAAAATGTTTGACCCTCAAATGCACTATGAAAATGTTTGCACTCACATGGGGAGGATCTGGAATGTAGATCATTTTTGCATTGATGATTATTGTTATTATAGTTATGAAAAGTGGGAGAAAAAAGTAGAACTAGAAACATCTCAAGAGTCAGACCTTAAACCAATAGCTGGATGGAACATTCCAATGGAAAAGGAGCATGATTTAACAAGGTATGGAATTATCATTTTATTTTTGGCCACTTCAGTCTTGAAAAAATCCTGTAATTGTAAATGTATATCCAAATACCCCTTCTAGCTGTAAGCCTCTCAATGTGAATGCTTTAGTAATTTGGTGATTTTTAAAAAAAATTTCAACTGCTATTTAGACATTTTGGCTAGTGGTGTTTAGATGAAACAGGTTTTGCTACAGTATACTCCACATGTTGCAACTTGCTAGATATTTCCAAACATTGCAGCCATGAGATTGCCTTGCCTTTTCATTGCTGGTATCTAGTTTGTAAATGCATGCAATGATGTAATATAAATTACTTTTATTTGGCACCCTCTATCTTAGCAAAATGACTGGCTAGAGAATGAGATACTGGGATTACTCCTGGGAACTTTTATGAGTCTTATGTTGAAACAATTTTACAAAATCATGTCTATTGTAAATTAGTGTAGAATAAAAATTTACACAGGGGTTTCATTAGCAGCAGGCAACAGACAATTTTCACAAAATTCGGCCTGTTGTTTTAAGGAACTTTTCCATGTTAAACTTATGATTTCCATTAATTTTGCCTGTTATTTTCATTAATTATCCCATCGATCGAAGTTCGGAGGGATATAGGGAATGCCTCCATTCGACCGTCCAACTCAAATACCATTGGCCCGATTCTGTTCATATTTTCTTTCCATATACCCTATGGGGATAGAAGTTCTGTCAGAAAGGGTATTTTCAAAATGGCGGCCATTTTAGTGCCAATTTTACAGTAATTTAGGTGCAATATGTAAAACTGTAATAGCGATATGTTTTAAATGTAAAAAAATTATATAGGACATTAATAAAGTTAGAAATGTAGATATTAAAGAAGCATATGGCAGCCATCTTGAAAAATGACGCCCTTTACTCATTATTATACGATTTTTGCTGTAACTCGAAAAGCAGTGGAGCTATTTTGTTCATATTTGGTATGTGAATACCATAAGCATGGCACACTGTTTAATGACACTTTTGGTAGAAGGCGGCCATTTTGAAAAATGGCCACCATTTCAATATATTTTACTATAACTGGAAAAGTAGTGGAGCAATTTTTTTCATATTTGGTATGTGAATACTATAAGCATGGCACACTGTCAAAGGACACTTTTGGTAGAAAGTGACCATTTTGAAAAATGGCTGCCATTTTTGCTATATACTTTATAAAAATGCCAGCCATGGCTGTTCGATGGGATTTGCTACACTTTGCATTGCTGTTGTCTAGTTTAGCCTGTCAGAGAAATTCTAGTGAAACCCCTGTGATAATTACCTGTTAGCTTAAGTGATTCATGTTTATTTCTTCAGGAAGCAGAGTAAAGAACTACAGAATTTGGGCAAACTTGCTGTCAAATTTAGTGACATTTCATCAAAATTAACAACATTGAGAAAAGACACAAAATCTGCAGACATATTTTTCGTCATTAAAGACGGTGCTGAAGTAACTGCTCACAAAACAATACTTTCTCTATTTAGTAAAACATTGCAAGAGAATGAAATTAGAAAGTGTATTAATCCAATACTCAGTGATGCAACACAATGTGGTCTCGATGGTTTCCTTGATTTAGTATATGGCCTTGGAGTCACACTTTCACATGAAAACTTTGATGATATATTACATGTTGCTGAAGTTCTAAGAGCAGATAAAGTGATAGCCACACTTAAATCAGTACAACATAAAATAACTGCCCCCAAAATTGATGAAAGCAGTAGAACTATAGAAGAAAACAATGGTTTTAATGTAAAACAGGAAATCGATAATGGGCAAATGGATAATAATGCTCTTAAAACTACTGAAGAAATGTGTGATAATGGTGTTATACAACATGAAACCATGGATGTGATAAATCAAGAAAATGATGCTGCCTTTGAAGGCTATGGTGCATGTAAAATTTCAAACATGGAAACTGAGGGTAAATTTGCGAAACTGAAAACTGAAAATTTCGGAGCTAAAGATGATAATGAATCTGTAACTATTGAACAAAATGAGGAAAAATCACCCAATGAATTGCAAGATGAAACCATGGAGATTCAGGAATCGGAGACAGTGTCAACTAATGTGAACACCAAAGCCATGGATGGTACCAGTGTTTTTGATATTAAACCAAATTCATATGATTCCAGCAATATAGGTGATGTATCAAAGGGACATGAAATAAAGACTGAAGTCATTGACTGCAATGACTCAGCAGAGGAGTACGATGATGAACATAATGTCGGATATGATGATGAATATGATGAGTATAATGTTGAGGAGGATGATTCTGATAGTGATATTCTATCTACTGATTCAGGGAGTGACACCTCCTTCCAAGATGATAAAAAGGACTTGGACTGGTCACCAGACTTTGAGCAAACCTCTAGTTCCATTAAAACTAGGAGTAAGAAAACAGCAGAAACAGATATTATTTCATCTAATGATGATACTTCATCAGATGATTCGGGTGACAATGACAGTCACACTAGAAAGCATGCCAAAAAGACTAAAACAAAAACGAAGGGACAGTCTAAATCAAAGCCTCGTAAAACATGGCGTGAAAAATACAGTAAGTTTTATATTGCCTGTTTTTGTATTGCCTGCATTTATACGAAAGGAAAACTGGTAAATCAAAATCTTCAAGGTTACTAATTTGTATATATAATTACTATACAAGTACATCAGGGTAGGCTTTATCGATGCTCTTTGGATTTTCTGCCTCAAAATTGCAATCACATTTTCTCATATTCAGACAAACCTTTTATGGATTAATTTTGAAATTTTCAGCGAAAAAAAAATTGTTTCAATTTCAGAGTATTTTTGTCATTCCTTGTCATGACTATTTTCTAAAAATCATAAAAGTGTATACTTTATTCCAGGAAAACTAAAGATTTTTACAATAATTTATTATTTTTTTCTATAAGAATGGTCACCATTTCTTATTATTTGGGGGAATTTAAACATTTTTCACCCACTGTTGCACTGAGAATCTCTTATAACTTAATCAATTTATAGCATATTGTGAATCTTTAGGGATATATTGTATTTGATATTGCAAGGAATAGATTGGTAGATTAATTATATGTGTTGCTTGTAATTTTGTCACCCCCTATCGATCAGATTCTGTCTTTAACTTTATCTAGTAGCCGAAAGTTCCGGAATACAAGTTAAGTCAGAATAACTTAACAACTAAACAACTAACTTACAAGTATGAAATTTGGACATAGTTTTCTGTACAAATTAATCTTAAACACTGTGTGAGCACAGGGCCGTGGGAGCCTTTTTATTTAGATACTATTGGCTGGATGTTGATACACCATGCCTAAAGCCATGTGTGAATATTTCTGTTTTCAGTTGATGAAGCCATTGGAGAATTCAAATGCCCTAACTGCCAGAATATTCTAGAGACAAAGTTCAAACTAAGAGAACATGTGGAGGCCAAGCATGACCAGTTCATGTGCCCATTATGTGACCAGTGCTTCAACACCAATGGGGAGAGAGATCTACACAGGCAAGCTCATTACAGTAGGTTTTAACTTAACTAGACAACAGCAACGCCAAAGTGTAGCAAATCCCATCGAACAGCCATGGCCATTTTTTTATGGCAAAATTTCAACTGAGTTTCTTTGCAAAACATGTTTGAAGCAAATATCAATTTATCTAACAATCTTACTTTATATAACAAACTACAATGCATAAAAATGATTATTCTAGAGCTATACAATGATTTACAAACAATAAAACTCAACTCCAATACATTTTCTTCATATGTAAAAGCCTGAAAGTGTTGATTAAGCAATGCAATATTATGTATTAAGCTCATTATCAATATTAAGTACATGTATTAAAGTCCCCGTGTATAGTTTGAAAATACTTTTTGGCTCACACAGTGAGCCTATGGGATTGACCAAGCGTCCGTCCGTCCGTTGGTCCGTCCGTCCGTCCGTCAACATTGGCCGCACAAATTAAAACTGCTATTCGGATTGAATCATACCCACTTTCATTTTATGTATATCCATAATGCCTATTTGACCTATCATCGCCATTTCCCAAGTTTGCCCGGTTTCCGAGAAATTGCTGATTTTGACGTCAAAAAGTTAAATTTTCTGTAAATACTAGACACTTTGTTGAAGTAGAACTTTCAAATAACTTGAAGTAGCTGTATATGCAACTTATAGTGGGATCAGTTAGGACAATAAAACCCTAGAATTGCACTTGCTATATATAAAGCACAATTTTTTGACAGAAGTATCATTGATACATATATATTTGATATCTAACGAAGTGGTATTGAAAAGTGGCCCCAGTTGATAATAGCAGCCCTCGAAGATTTTGCACATTTACATTGAGCCCCATGTTAATTTATCAATCTTCTTAAGACCCCCTGCAGAACAGTTCTAGAGTAATAAAGCCCATATTCCCAGTATGTTACAATTATATGATTACCTTCAAAATGAGAAGGGTTAAATTTTTTCTTTTGCCTAGTTCCAAAGATATTGACGTTTGAATTTTGGAAAATCTCCATTGGCTGCCATTATAAACTACTATAAATATGGCTTTACTAAAGTGTCAATTTCTCAAAAAGTTTACTATGGAATTTTCTAATATTGCAGATTTCTATAGTTAATACACTGAATTTAAGAAAATCAAACAGACACATTTTTAAAAATTTCTTATTTTTGAAATACTTAACCGTTAAGTTGTGCATGAAACTATTGAAAACCTGTATTGAGCCCTATGTTAATTCATCAATCTTCAAAAGACCTCCTGCAGAACAGTTCTAGAGTAAAAAGCCAATATTCCTAGTATGTAACATTTATACGATTATCTTCAAAATACAGAGGGTAAATTATTTTCTTTCGCCTAGTTCAAAATATATTGCCGTTTGAATTTTGGAAAATCCCCATTGGCTGCTATTATAAACCGCTATCAATATGGCTTTACTAAAGTGTCCTTTTCTCAAAAGGTCCACTATAGAATTTTCTAATATTGCAGATTTCTATAAATAATATATTGAATTTAAAAAATTCAAACAGACACATTTCTAAAAAGTTCTTATTTTTGAAATATTTAGCTGTTAAGTTACGCATAAAACTATAGAAAACCTGTATTGAGCCCCATGTTAATTCATCAATCTTCAAAAGACCCCCTGCAGAACAGTTCTAGAGTAATAAAGCCCATATTCCTAGTATGTTACAATTATATGATTATCTTCAAAATAAGAAGAGTTAAATTTTTCTTTTGCCTCGTTCAAAAGATATTGCCGTTTGAATTTTAGAAAATCCTCATTGGCTGCCATTATAAACCACTATCAATATGGCTTTACTAAAGTGTCCTTTTCTCAAAAAGTCAACTATGGAATTTTCTAATATTGCAGATTTCTATAGTAGATATATTGAATTAAGCGATAACTTACTGAAATACTGGCAAAATGTTTTAGCCTTATACCATTATAACACTAATACCCGTAAGACCTCTGCTATAGAGGGAATTTCCAATATGGCCGTTCAATTGAAAATGTCTGCTATTTTCCGCTATTTTGGATTATTTTTTTTAGAATCCGACTTCAATTTATTTCGCCTATGGATTTTTTTGAAGGAGTTCATTCCATAGATAAATAAAATTATAAGATGCAAGCTTTTTGCTATTTGTACTGAATTAATCATTGTACATGTTGACAGGGATTTATTTTGTCTTTTGAAACAATTAAGTATGAATAAAACAACATTTAGTTTACAAACTTGAAGAACATCAATATATATTATCTATTTTACTTGAAAGGGTATGCTGTGGGCGTAAGTTTCTGATATTAAGTCTTAAACATTGTACCGTATATTTATTTTCAAAATATGTGATTTAAATCATTTTCTAAGCATTTACGATGTGATGATAACATGAGTTTAGTTATCATGGACTTATCAAGACTTATTATTACATTTTAGTAATTCATTGTATTAAAAAAATGTATGTAATCTTGAAGAACATGTAAAGCAAAGACCGTAAAAAGTTGAAAGAAACAGGATTTACACTTTTATCAAAAGCACATTTATAGCGGTTTATGATGACAGCCAATAGAAAATTTTCAAAATTCAAACGCAAATATCTTTGGAACAAGGGAAGAAAAAATGTTTTGACCCTTCTTATTTTAAAGATAATCATGCTATTGTAACACAATAGCAATATGGGCTTTATTACTCTAGAACTGTTCTGAAGGGGGTCTTTGAAGACTGATTAAAATTATTATGGGGCATAGGTTTTCTGTGGTTTTGTGTGCAACTTAACGGCTAAATATTTCAAAAGTAAGAACTTTTTAGAATTGTGTCTGTTTTTGTTTTTTTAAATTCAATATATTAGCAATAGAAATCTGCAATATTAGAAAATTTTTTAGTAAACTTTTTGAGAAATTGACACTTTAGTAAAGCCATATTAATAGTGGTTTATAATGGCAGCCAATGGAGATTTTCCAAAATTCAAACGTCAATATCCTTGGAACTAGCCAAAAAGAAAAAAATTAATCCTTCTTATTTTGAAGATAATTATGTTATTGTAACATACTAGGAATATGGGCTTCATTGCTCTAGAACTGTTCTGCAGGGGGTCCTTTGAAGATCGCTAAATTAACATTGGCCTCAATTAGTTTTTTATAGTTTCGTGTGCAATTTAACGGCTTAATAAAGAAATTTTCAGAAATGTGCATGTTTTATTCTTTTAAGTCAATATATTAACTATAGAAAGGACGATTCTCGGTTTGGAGAACGAAGTTTTCATGAAAAAAAATATTAGCCCAGGAGACTGTTCTCCAAACCGAGAATCGTCCTTTGCAATATTACAAAATTCCATCGTGAATCCTTTGAGAAAAAAATGACATTTTAGTAAAGTCATTTTGATAACGGTTTATAATGGTAGTCAATAGGGATTTTCCAAAATTCAAAAGCCAATATCTTTGGAAACTAGGCAAAAGTAAAAATTTAACCCTTCTTATTTTGGAAATAACCATGTTATTGTAATAAACCAGCAATATGGACTTTATTACTCTAGAACTGCTCTGCATCCGGTCATTTGAAGATTGATGAATTAACATGGGACTCAATATAGGTTTTCTATACTTTCGTGTGCAACTTAATGGCTAAATATTTCAAAAATTATAAATTTTTAGAAATGTGTCTGTTTGATTTGTTTAAATTCAATATATTAACAATAGAAATCTGCAGTATTAGAAAATTCCATAGTGGACTTTTTGAGAAAAGGACACTTTAAGTAAAGCCATGTTGATAGTGGTTTATAATGGCAGCCAATGGAGATTTTCCAAAATTCAAACGTCAATATCTTTGGAACTAGGCAAAAGAAAAAAGTTAACCCTTCTAGTTTTGAAGATAATCATGTTATTGTAAGATATTAGGAATATGGGCTTTATTGCTCTAGAACTGTTCTGCAGGGGGTCCTTTGAAGATCGCTAAATTAGCATTGGGCTCAATATAGGTTTTTTATAGTTTCGTGTGCAACTTAACAGCTTAATATTTCAAAAATAAGAAATTTTTAGAAATGTGTCTGTTTGATTTTTTTAAATTCAATATATTAACTATAGAAATCTGCAATATCAGAAAATTCCATAGTAAACTTTTTGAGAAAAGGACATTTTATGAAAGCCATATTGATAGCAGTTTATAATGGCAGTCAATGGGAATTTTCCAAAATCCAAAGGCCAATATCTTTGGAACTAGGCAAAAGAAAAAATTTAACCCTTCTCATTTTGAAGATAATTATATAATTGTAACATACTGGGAATATGGGCTTTATGACTTTAGAACTGTTCTGCAGGGGGTCTTTAGAAGATTAATAAATTAACATGGGGCTCAATGTAAAAATGCAAAATTTTCAAGGGCTGCTATTATTAAATGGGGGCACTTTTCATTACCACTTCGTTAGATATCAAAACTATATGTATTAAGGATACTTTGGTCAAAAAATGGGGCTTTATATATAGCAAGTGCAATTGAACAGCTAACTGGCCCCACTACTTATGTCCTCTGAAGATTTCAAAGCTCTTGGATTTACGGTTTTTGGTGTTTACTCTTTTAAACTTGACAAAAAGTAGGACTAGGTCATTTTCAGGAAACTCTCATAAGTCAATGGCAGGTTTTCTGATTGACAAGTTTCTCAAAGTTTGCTTTATACTTGATCATTTCTTGCAATGAATTACATCATTACTAGATTTAAGCATTCCCTACATATTGCTCAATATCTGTCAGCATCAAATTTTTACCGTTTTTGAGATATTTGACATCAAAAAACAGCAAAAATAAGTTATTTTTCAACTTGCTTCAAATTGACCAATTTTTTTTTTGAAAATCATCTACAAGTTGCCAGGAGATCAAATCTGACATTAGTTTTAGGCTTTGACCTTTACTTGACCTTCAGTGACCTTTGAAATATCAAAAAAAGTTGATTTTTCAAATTGATTTTTGGATGTAAATTTTGGTCAGCTTAATCACAAAAGACCTTATTAAGCTCTGAATAAGTAAAATTTTCAAGGTCAAAGGTCATCAAACTAAGTCACAAAACTGCGCTATCTAAGTTTCTCAAGGTTCGAGACTACAAATTCAAATAAATATTTTTGTTTGAAAGTCAGGATATACATTCTTCTGAAGGTTCCAAACTGTGTGAGCACAGGACCGTGGGTCCTATTTTTTATCATTCATTTACTAATTGTCATGACTTTAAAACAGAAGAAGTGAGTAGCTCCCACAATTCTTTCATATTCTATCATATTCGGGGATTCCCCATTACGTCATCTCCCGCATCATCTCCAATCAAATTGCAGAATATGATCACGTGAACAATCATGAGCATGTGCTCTCTCAGTCCTGCGCTTGTGCAGAGTTAAATTTGAAATCGTGGGAATGGTGTTAACATCAGTTCATCATTTCAAACCTACGGTAATACTATTGAAGTTTCTCGATCTATACTTGTAGAGAATGGGAACATTTGGAGATCCATTTCAATGGCAAATGAGGCCTGTTAATAAAATTTGTTTTTGAACGTGTCTATGTGATAGTTCATCTTTGGAAAATCTCCCCCCTGCTGTAATTTGTTCAAGAAAGAATTTCCCCCCAAAGTCATTTTTAAGAGATTTTTTGGAAACTCAGAAATTTTGTTCATATCTGGTATGTGAATACTATAAGCATGGAACACTATTTTATGACACTTTTGGTAGTAGGCAGCCATTTTGAAAAATGGCCGCCTTTGTCAAATGACACTTTTGGTAGAAGGTACCATTTTGAAAAATGGCTGCCATTTTAACATATTCTGCTATAACTTGAAGAGTAGTGGAGCGATTTTGTTAATATTTGGTATGTGAATACTATAAGCATGTCACACTGTCTACTGACACTTTTGGTAGAAGGTGGTCATTTTGAAAAATTGGCTGCCATTTTTGCTATATACTTTGTTTGTAAAAATGCCAGCCATGGCTTTTCGATGGGATTTGCTTTAGCGTTGCTGTGTGTGACCTCTAAAATTTAGTTTAAATAAATTCACGATTTTTTGAACAAAAAGTCCTTCAAAAAACATTTATTTAAATTCAAAAAAAGTTTTACATATCAAACTTTAATAACATTGGCTAAGATTACAATATAAGCCAAAGTGGTTTAAACTTTAGATGCGAAATGTTGTTTTCGACTGTTAGCACCCCATGATACAGAAATGGCCATGCAGTCAACAATAGCCATTCATATTTTATGAATCATGTATCACTTTGTTGGAAATTAAAATATCTTTCAAATGATATATAATTTATGGATATTTCTAACATACTAGCGAAGATATCACAAAAAAATAAAAAATATCGACATTTTTTATTGTTTGGTTGTACTGGTTTATGTTATTTATTTTTCTGGTATCGGTTTAAATATGCTGTGTATATTTGTGTTGATTGTTAAATCAAAAAATAGGTAGGGTGAATATTGAATGAGTCATGTCAAGGTTGTTCATCATGCCTTAGAAGGTAATCTTTCTGCAATAATAATTATATATATTCTATCAATCAGAATTCCTTTAGGGCTTATACTACTCTTGCAAACTATATTTACTTTCAGGATTCAAGAACACTGATTCATCAATGGGGGATTTCTTCTGTGATATATGTGACGTACAATTTACCTCAAAACATATTTACCTTTTACATATGCTTCAACCAGGACACATAAAGAAAAGAGGTTCTACAAAGTTATGTATACAATGTGAAACCTGGATACCCAATACAAATTTTAAGAAGCATCTTTCATCTAAGCATGACTTCTCAGTTACGCAGTGTTACATATGTAAGGAAAAATTACCCACTAGAAATACAAGAAGAAAAAAACAATTGAATTCAGCATTTGAAATGCAGAGACATCTGTATGAGAAACACAAACAACGTAATTATAATTGTGTATTTTGTGATCATACATCTTTTATTTTGGTATATTTGACTAGTCACATCGTAGATACACATCACCGTTTGAGGGTTCGACAATGTAAATTATGCACCTTCACATATCGAGCTCGGCACCAAATCCAAACCCATGTTAGGAAAGCTCATAAATTGGGCACATCATGGGTCTGTAATAAATGTGGTGACACCTTTGAATCATTCAAAATGAAAGTAGCACATATAGCTAGAATGCACCCTACTTTGATGACTTGTGAGTATTGCGGTAAAGAACTTAGCCGCAAAAATATGAACCAGCATGTTCGAGTACATACTGGGCATAAGCCTTACATCTGTGAACATTGTGGAGAGAAATTCGCACAGAAAAATTCACTCAATTGGCATATGTCGTCGAAACATTCTCACTTGGATGAAGAAAAAAATACTTCTAAAAAACTCAAATCAACTGGAAAGTGGAAAAAGAGGAAAAGTTAAGGTTAATATTTGTTGTATTTGTCATATATTCTTCTGGAGGAGAAGCTATAATATGGATTGAAATCAATCCTTTAGAAAAATTTCATCATTTGTCATTAATATTTAAACACATCCGGCTGGCATGAATGGTATTCAGTTGTCAAAATGATACATGTATTTTATAGGTAAACATTGAATTGAAATAATTATAGAATAAACTTTCATGTAAAGGTGAATTGTATCACAGATTTACAAAATATGGATTTTCATTTTAACAAAGATTTCTGAAAATTAGAGATATTATAGTCTTTAATGTGTTCATTTGACTTTTGATTCATTGACAATGACAATGCAAATATCACAATCGAAGTGGAAAATTATTGATGTTGAAATAAAAAGAGAAAAATTACTGTCTTTTTTCTTGATTATGATAAAACACTCATGTATTGCCTTGGAAACAGTGATGTGCTTACATAGCAACAACATTTTGAAAAAATCATTCTTTAAAAAAAATTCAAAGTTCTAACCCTTCGATTGTTTGTTGTTTGGCTAACAAAATGTGTGGCCTTTCATATATTCATGCTTCTCTGCCATGCCAATTTTGAATTTTTTACATGAAATCAGCGTTGTAATGACATGAATGGACTATATTAGGGCTTTTCATCAAACCAATCACAGAGCGTCTTTTGGCGTTTCAAAAAAAAAACATTCTAAAAGCTAGGCCTATGGAAATATAAAACAAGTGTCAATGACATTTAACCTTATCAGTATGTGTTCGTTGACTTGCATATTTATTTGCATTATGTACCTTCTCCACATTGCATTCTTATTTGCATACTGTACTCTCGGGGGAGTTCTTCAAAATTAGCGAGATATAATAGCATGTAAAATTACCAAGAACAAAATATTGAATTCAATGTTTGTTACGAAAAGACGGGGTTTCCTTGATTGGATAGTGGTAGGTACTATTCATATTTAAACGAGTTGCCCATAAAATAGAAAGCAAATCTGGTAGCCGACCATACGGGCGTAAGTTGCATTTACAAGCGAATACAAGCTTAGATTACATTTTTAATGAAAAACTGCAGCCATCTTGAAAATTCCTTTTTTGGCAGAGCTTGCTTGTCCCTTGGCATCAACATTTAAAATTTGAACCATATCCATCCACTTATATTTGAGTTATCAAGCATTAAGATTTTTATGAAAATGGCAGCCATTTTAGAAAACACTAGAATGGCTTTAGGACCACTTCAATGACCACATTAAAGGTGCAATAATTAGTGCAGAGGGGTCATTCAACGATCATGGACCAGTGTCAAAATATATTTAAGTTTGGATATTTCATCAAGACTAACATCTATTTTTATTATCTACAAAGAAACCCCATAGATAAACATTATTTTAGCTGATATTCCTCTTGAAACATGGTGGATCTTAAAAATATAAAAGTGGAAGTCCCCTTTTTGAAGCTTTGAACTGAATTTACACTTCTTAATGCAGAAATTGATAATTTATCCATACATTTTAAGAAAATAGGTATGTCAAAGAAGATGTTAAACCAAATGTTGCCTTGATACCTCAGAAAAATGAAAAAACTTTCCTATTTTCTCTACAGTCCTTATTGCCCCTTTAACCTGTTAACCATGTTAACAGGACTACAGATAATGAATATGCGCCCCATAGCCCAGATTTAGCCCAATTTAACTTTTACTAGTGGGGATATATTGAGTACTACACGTACAAGTATTACAGGCTGGTATCGAAAAAATGTCCGCTGTGACGGAGCGTGCTATTTTGCATAGAAACACTAAGAAACATAACCATTTATTTTTTACTCATGTTTCGCTATATCAAAGAAAATGCTGCGACGGCGCAGTTTCAAATCTGAAATACGTTAAGAATTAAAAATTTATAATATATCTTTTACAACTACACTTTAGAGAAGCGAATGTGTCAAATATCTTTCGTAAAGTATTCTGAAAAATGAAAGTAATAAAAGTGAACATTCAAATTCTGAGATGTACATGTATATACGACCACTCTTTAAGCTTTTTTCTCAGTTTGTACTGCAATCCAACTTATGCATGGTAATTTACTCATTAAAATGTTAGTCTACTTCATTTCAGTATAGGGTATTTGTATTTCGTAGTGCCTACTCTGGATCCATCACCTGACATGGGTATTTTTTCGGTAACTTAATTATAAAAAGAAGTAAAATTATTTGATGAAGCTAAATACTCGTACATGGTATGAGCTGTGGATTGTTCTACCCTCTATAGTCGTTCCAAAAGGTAATCGGAGTGTATCTTGAAATACGAAAATTAGATTTCAAGATTGTTCTTTATTTGAATAAGAGTTAGGGTTATCTGATGCGACTACAAAACATGTATATATTGAACACATTGGAGCCCCAAAAAATGAAAAATGTGTTCCCAGTCGGTAGATGTTCACTCCATTCACAGAGGCAATTTCATACAGAAGTCAAATCAATGTTCACTGGTACATGTTTTACCGTGCAGCACGTTTACCAAGACTTTTTTTTTATAGTTTTAGACTATGCAAAACAACGAGGCGTGGATTTCAAATAATTACAAATATCAATCTGTATTGGGATCATCTTAAAAACAGTAATATTAGGTGGTAAAAGGTTATACATCTGTCGGAATGCAGGATGTCTGTGCGCTAAATCCTTCGAATAAATTCATATTAGCCCAATTTACACAACACTTGACATTCCAAGACGTCTTGGCGAAAACGTAGAAATATTATGCTGAGTTTACACCATGTTAATCTATGTTGATTTCAGTTCAAACCTCCGAAAATGAGTGGTCGTTTATTTTTATATCCCAGGTTTACATTACCCCAGATCTCCCAGATTACTTGTCATAATTTAGGAAAGTGATTTGAGACGTTCTCTCATCTAAGGGTACGTTTAAAAGATATTTGAAACCTAAATTCTTAACGTAGTTCACAGTTAAACTGGTCCGTCACAGCGGACAAAAAATATAAACATTATTTTTTATAAAAAAGTACATCAAGATCTCATTAATACCTTCAGAGTTATGCTGAAAACGTATGTAAATAATATTGTGTCACTATATTGTACCACTAGAAATAAATAAAAGAAATGTAAATTTTGGAGTATGATACTCCGGCCCTGTTTTCAATAGCTTTTACTCTTAAGCCCGGTATACACCAATGGGGCAAGTGGGATTTTGCCCCATTGGTGTATACCGGGCTTTAGCATTGTCGGACTTTAAACAGAAATTAAAGTTACTCGCAAATGGTATATCCATTGCATGAAGTAGGTAATTTTCTTTGATATAGCGAAACATAAATAAATTGTGTGGATTTCCGGGTGGATTTCCTATTGTTTCTATGCAAAATAGCACGCTCCGTCACAGCGGACAAATTTTTCGATACCCGGCTGTGAGTAAAGAAGAATAACAGCAGAACAACGTTAGACCTCAAAAGTGACATGCACATGTGTCATTCAGAGCATACGCGATGAGGAATTCAGTAAGACATGTTAGATCTTTGACAACTTTGGAAAATGTGCAGGTTTGCCAACAGCTGGTTGTTTAAAGTGCTATAATAGTGATACTACAGTGTAGACTACACGTATCTGTCCGTTGTCTAGTACGAAATTGAATGATGTACATGTGTGTCAAATATCTGGGAAACATTTTCTTAAAATGACAAAGATATATGGGCTGATGTGAAAAAGTCAGTCCACCTTCGATCCCCACTGGGCCGGGCGGACTGACTTTTTCACATCAGCCCTTAACACAGCATTACATTCTGCGTTTTCATTAACTGATATGGGGAAAAGCAGGGTTGTCGTTTTTTGACCACTCTGTATGAAGACAAACTTCTAGAAAGGACCACGGAAGGTATCACTAAAGATTCCAGACAGTCATATTTTGGATTTTGGCTACTGAAACAGTTTTTAAGTTCGGATAAAGTAACATGAAAAGTAAGTAAACGGCCTAAAAGTTTATTTTCTATTCTCCAAGTAAAATTCAGTCCAAGTACAATATTTTACATTTCCTTACGTTGTGTCGTGATCATTGATAAAAACTGTTCTGATGATGATATTCTAAGATGATAATCAAGAATAGTCCGAAAGTATGGCAAGTTCCACAGGAAGATTCCAAAAAGGAGGCGAATAACAATTTCCCATAATTACCAAATGCCAAATAGATGAACCAATAATGAAAAAATTAAAGATAATATCAAATTAAATCTACCGGACTTCCTACAACTCCTCTAAACTGCTAAAAGGAGGTAAATGTTGGTTCCCATAAGCAGGCCTCCTAGACTTCCAAGAACGCGAACATCAGTTCTGATACCGCGAACTACGTTCCTTGCACTCGAACCACGAATCTCATATCGCGAACGTGAAATCTTATGTCGCGCACCACCATTTCCTTGTTTCCGAACATATTTCTTGTACCGCGCACAGAGATCCGTTACCGCGAACCACGCATCTGATCGAAAAAAAGTCCGTAACTTTGTTCGTATTATTACGCATAAGTAAAATTCCAAGGAGGTGTTTTCATAGCCTATGGAATTCGGAAGAAATATTTTCCCAGTTTTCATGCATGTGAATGAACATCCACTCATTGACGATAACAGTATTTTCAAGCTCTAGGAAACACAAATTATTGGGACTACCTTGCAATCACGCGCATTGACATTTTCAGTGAAAGGGCTGCGTAATAACAACAAAAACAAAAACCTGACTTTTGAGTAACCACACGTATTGCCAAATTAGTGACAGCTTTTTCCAATTTTGTCCATTTGAGCCGATGATTGCATCATAATAAAGAAATGAGTTACCCTATGTACAATATTCCTGATTTTATAGAGTACTTGATGTGTTATATCTGTAGCTCCAGCTACTGATAATTTGAAGATGCTACCATTTGCCATGAAAACTTAACTTAAATGTTGCCCCCCCATTACGGCTTGTGGAATTAACTGTTTACATACAGGAAAATAACAAGACAAATAGCTTTAAGTAGGAGCATAGGAAAGGTCAATGAACAGGATCTTTTGAATTTTTCAGAAAATGTGCCCCATATATTGCTCTAAATGATACAATCTTTAAAATTTTAGAAACTTGTCTGAAAAATGGCGGTCATGAAAAGGAAAAAATATCGTTTTCAATTCAGTTTGTTTCATTCTTTTCTTTTTCAACGAATGATATCAAATTTCCCAATATTGTTTCACTGAGAGCAATGACGTGTCGCAAAAAGGTGGCGCATTTGTTTTTTAAGGGTATCGCGTGAATGTAACTTTGATTCCCCGGATTATAAGATAATATTCTAATTAAAGTTATATATCATTTTAAAGCTGTTTCGATGAAGTTTTTAGATCAACTACACTCCATTCACGATTCTTGCGCGTTCTTTTTAAAAAAAGAGTTTTTTACCAAAACATCTGGCAAATATCCCCTGTTGACATGTTACATTTTGAATTATTTTTCGTCTTTAAACGCTCATAACTCAAACAATATATGACTATTATACTTATTTTTCGTCTTGATAAAGGTAGATGGACGTTTTATTTCAAAGGATGAATTTTATTAAGCGTTCCATATTGTGACGTCATAGAGTTTGAAAAATAGAATCTGTTGACAGCGACCTTTTTTACTCATTTTTTGTTACCTTCAACTTTTCAGGTGTACATTAAACAGAAAATGCGAGATCAATTTTTAATAAATCATACCTGATTATTTTGCTCTTAAACTCTAGTTTATTAATAAATTTAGTTGATTTTGTTCGCAAAAGTATGTGTTTTCTGTTGAATGTGGAAAAGTGGAGGACGAAAGGTTTTCAAAATTCATTAAAATAGGGCTAATTTACGCCATTCGCCTATTTTCAAGCACAGCAATACGTATATTTATTTCACCTAAAATATCAATTGATTCGTGTTTTATGATGCTCCTATCCCATTGTTAATACATATACGATATCAGAGTTATTCACCTTAAATATTTTGAGATATAGAGGCAAATGTGGAGGATGACAGGATTTCCATATGTGTGCATTTTTCTCAAAAAACGTCACATTCTGTGGTGTTAAAAAAGCTAAAATGTGTAACAATGCGTGTGCGACCTTTTTGCGACACGTCAATATATTAGGCACATTTTCTGAAAAATGCAAGAGATTCTGTTCAGTGACCTTTCCCAAGCTCCTACTTTTATCTATTTTTCAGTCACAAATTTCAGAGGGCTGAAAAATTAATTTCATCATGTCTAGGGTCATTCTGACATGGTCATTGTGATCATGGTCATGTAAATGGTATGTGGAACTGACTGGAGGTCAAAGCAGAACTCTGATATCTTGGTTCAAAAAATGTTTGAAATCCAGCATGGTTTTGTCACTTCCTGTTTTGTCATTTCCTGTTAACTACCATGGCACATAAAACCATTGTAAGAAAAAAGATTAACTATACAAAAACGGTAGATCTACCTGAAATAAGCTGAGTCTCTCTGCCCTCCACATGAGTCACAAAAATGGATGTCGGGAACATGATCATCGGTGCAAGCGTGTGAAATACTAGTGTCAAGACAGTTTCTGGTCCAACCACAGTTATCACACACCTCTACACTTTCGTTGTTGTTGACATCTCCTATTACACCACACCGTGCGCAGATACTCTCTGATCCCAAAAATGAATGACTGTGGGACGCAGTGCTGTCCTTTGACACATCATTTAAAAGCCCTGCCAACTCGGGGCGTGGATGTTAATCTTGAATGCTTTTCAAAGGAACGAAAGTCCGGCGAAAGCGGAGGAGAAACTGAATTTCGTTTCCTTGTTTCAATCCGTTGCATATTCGTATATACATGTAACTTGGAATCCCAAACACCCGGATGTATTATGTACAAATTGTTCGCGGTAACGTATCTCTGTGCGAGGTACAAGAAATATGTTCGGAAACAAGGAAATGGTGGTGCGCGACATAAGATTTCACGTTCGCGATATGAGATTCGTGGTTCGAGTGCAAGGAACGTAGTTCGCGGTATCAGAACTGATGTTCGCGTTGTTGGAAGTCTAGGAGGCCTGATAAGGAACCAACATTTGAACCTATAGAAAAGCAAGTAGATTAAATTATAAAGTAGAATATACTAGACTTAAAAATCCTCCTTTATAAGAATTGGAACTTTCCTGATAGAAAAGACATAACAATATGAAAAGAGCCAAGATTTTAATGTTATTTATGAATGATATCACGTATTGAGTGCAAATGAACTAAAGAGGAATAAAGAATAGAAATGATGTACATCAAATGTATAGAACAATAAAATATACATTGCAACCTAAAATGCAATATAAAAATGAAGTTTGTACCAAAATTTAATGTATGAGAAAACCTAAACCCTGTTTCACTGCTTTCTGATAATATGTCACTCGGAGACATGATAAAATATCTGGACTTCGAGACAGTGAATGTGCAAACACCAGCTCACTAACGCATTTTTCTGAAATGTTATCCTGATTTTTAGCCCTTTTCTCATCGGTTATATGGGTGACCAAATTAAGCTGAAAACAGTTGATCACATGAGTTCCCGCATACGTTTCCCTGTGGCAATATAACGTGGGAAATATTGTTTTCTCCCATATGAATCATATTTTATTGATGCATTGAGCTACAAGGGGGGGTCACCGTATATAAACCTTGACAGGGATCCTCGGCGCACATGGGGTGCCTTTCTAACATTTTTGACAAAAAATGGGGGACAATTTGAGAAATGCGGGCTAATTTCATCTTTAAGTGTTAATCTCTGCCTTATTTTTGATGTATTTTTTATTCGCATTTCAATGAGATTATTTTTCCCGGCCGTTGAGAAGTTTGATAGGATCTATATTTTAAGAAAAATGGGTTTTGCAGTAGACTTTTGAAAAGAACGGGAGTTTTGCGGGAAATATTTGAAATGGAGTTTTTGGGGTAGACTTTGAAAACGGGATCCCGGAGTTTTTGCTGTAGATTATGAAAAAAACAGTAGTTCATCTGGCGTTCTACCACCGATCATACCAAACCAAACCATGTAACTAATATAGACTCTTAAAAGCGGAAATAAAACAATATGACAAAAACAATCGAGTAATAAGGCTGATAATCATAATGCTTATTTACATGAAAGTTGGCCCAGAACAAGTATTATGAGGGTTTGTCCAATTTTTACATAACAAAAGATGATTTATTTTTTATGCAAAAACATTCCCGTAAAAACGGGAGGTTGGCAGGTCTGACACGTTTTTCTCAAAGATCGCCTTTTTCTGGGGACCTTCTTCAGTTTAAATATTAGCTTTTTCCCGGGAAATATTCTACTTTGGACCAGTCATAGCATTGGTATGGCGTCCAATATTTAGACATTTGGTATGGCATTGGTCTCATATTTGGGCATTTCCGGGTATGGGTTTTGGGCACTATATTGGTTGGTATGGGAACACATCCAAAGACATTTTGGTATGGGAATAGTATGATTGATATCTGAGGGTTCAGCTAACCAAATAATATAAGAAATTGTGCTAAAAGTGTATCTGTAGCCTAGCTCAACAGGACACATCTCAGTCGACAACAAAGTTGTCTCACTAACAGGTCATCAATATCATGAATAAATTAATTCACTATGTCTCACTATCTAATAACTTTGAAATCAAATGTGATTTAAATTACCTTTGAATTAATAGATGTCGTACTTGTTAGCCCTTAGCGGAAGTGCAGGCGGAAGTAAGACTTGGCGGAAGTGTTAGCTTGGAAAATGCCTAGACCAAGGATAAGTGAATCTGAGAAGAAATGGAGAAAAAAGCTAAGAGATCAGGCTAGACTTGGAAGAAGCGTTTATTTAGGTGATCAGATCAAAAGATGGTTTAAACTGAAGGAGTTTTATGGGGTCTCACATTCGGCATTAGCTCGAATCTTGATGGATAGGTGCGTAAAAAATCCTGATTTTTTAGGCTAGATTCTACACTCTGTTAATCATGATAAAAGGCAAGAGGTTTAGTTAGAAATAAAAGAGTTATCTCATGAATGGGACCCTTACATGGCTCCTAAAAGGTAGAAGACACTAAATAATGTAACACTGTAAGCTGAATTTTGTTAGTTCAACGTCGTTAAACTCAATAACGGCGTTCTTTATTATTAGGAATTTTCTTGGGGCCATTATTGAGTTTAACCTCCTTACTATTCTTTCCTTTGATGCAAGTTCTGAATCCATCGAAACCATTTTTCCGCGATAACGTGCAACTGATACTTGACAATAATATAAAAACACATAACATCAAGCGATTTAACACAATATTTTTGTGTTAAATGTTCATTTATACGAGTAAAATGAGGCTACACTTACCAATCTCTAAAGTGACATTTCCGCATGTCCGACATTGTGTCTGTTCGTCTGAGTGTCCCGGATCGTAAAATTAAACTACCAGCGAAACGAAATTGTTGTCAAATAGATTGATAATTATTATCGCGATTACTCGGGATAAAAAAATCAATTTTGAGGATAACAGGTATCTTTGATTAATTTATATAGCGGGTGTATACACGCAAAATAGTTATTAATTGCAAACCCACTGTTCGTTAATGCAGTGCCGTGATGACGGTTAATTCCTGAAACGATTTGCAATTTCGATGTTACCGAAACTGACCGACATTTTCGTCATATTCCAAACCTGTCTCCAATATTTTCGTAATTATGCATCAATAGGGTCTAAGGGGGATACTGGACGGGGTGTATGTGTTTATAAGGTATGTATGCATGCTTGAATCACATTCTTTGTGTAATATTGCCATGTTTTCAGGGTTAATTAGTTCCGCTTGTCGAAACCTGCTGAACGATTAAATTAACGCATCAAAGGCAAAATGGTCATGGAGGTTAGACCTAGCCGGGCCATAACACATGTCAGATAAGAAACGAGGCCCGGGCTAGGTCTAATGTTGTTGGACTAAATTTTGTCCACATAGAGCATGAGCACAATTTCAAAGACATATAAAATTGAACTGTCAAAAGAACTGAAATATACTCGCCTCTTCCGGAAGTTATGATACGTTTTGGTGTAACTACGGTAATTCATTTTAAAATATTGAAAAAATCACAAAACACAAGTTCTGAGGTATTTATCGCCATTTTCAAGCGAATTAGCCCATATTATGACTACACTCATTTTTTTAATTCTGTGAATCAGTTCATATGTTTAAAATAACGAAAGAATGTGATGTAACCACGTGTCTACTTACCAGCTTGTTCTATGTCATCCATCGGACTAGGTTACATTGTGGAACTCAGCCAAACACGACACTGAAGGCAGTATTCTGAGGTTATAAAATCTAAATCTAAATAATTTCCCATTTGCAGCCCCTTTGAGATTTCCGGAATTGAATAAAGTAGCGAACGTTGCGATCTTTTAACTTTTAGTTCGTTGTTTTTCACCACCTTTTGTTTTCATTTAGGAGGCGGTCTTATTTGAGTGCATCATTTCAGGTCTTTTTGAATCAATAGATCAAAAAAAAATGTACTTAGAATCGTATCAATAGCTCTATTCTGTGAGATTTATTTTTGTTTTTATTTTTACATTTTTCCCATCTCATAATTGAAGAGCTCCGCTGTTAATCTTCATTCAGTTACATGTATTTCCTTGAAAATTCACTATGAACAAATGATGGTTGGTTTGTGTTATATTCATTTAGTTTGTATTTGAATCTAGCTACTTAATTACAAAACATGTCTTCATGTTATGCTTAAGAGCAGAGATCGCGAATTCTAGGTGAAGCCAATTATTTTGCACAAGTCATATCCTGATTGCATCATAGTTACTTTGCACTAGTCACATCCTGATTGCATCAGCCAATTCATGTGATTTACAGTTTACACCTGGATATAGTCCCGAGTATACAGAACTGTCAACCCCCAAAGATTTTCTCGCGGGACAGATTTTTTAGACCAAGTGCCAAAAATTCGCTGGATTTCGCGGGACATTTAAGGGATTTGCGTGATTGCGCTAATAGGTCAAGTTTTGATCAAATTTGTGGGATTTCGCGGGACCATTTGATGGAAAAACACGCTAATTACGGGACGGTTAACAGGGTAACCACCAAAGACTTCATAGAGGGACAGACTTTTAAAACAAAATGCCCTAAATTCGCGGGATTTTGCGAGACATCCACCTAAATTTGCGGGATGTCGCAGGATATTCAAGGGATTTGCGTGATTGGGGCTTAATGTAAAAGTATTCAAATCAAACATTCAGATACTGATTTATCAAATATAATGCACTTAACTTAGTAAACGTCAACACAATTTCACACAATACGCATAGAAATATCTAGCATTTACCCCCCATAGTGTTACATATTAAAATTTACCTATTCATATAGGGGTTCGATTAATCTACATCAAATTATAGGGAGTCAGGTTTCTTTTCGAGATATCATTGTCCATTTATTGTAACTCGCGTTTGCTAAAATTTGCTCAGTTCTGAGATGAAGGCCGTGACACGCGTAGTAAAAACGCCAACGTTGGAACTATTTGTGACATACATCCCTATTTTCGTAATTAAAATGAAAATTGCGCTCTTCCTCTTTATTTTGATACCAAATAACGGCATACTAGGTACTTGAGAAGCCAACTATGGTGTCATTTGGATCAAGATCACAGTTTTATAAATGGACTATATGCTATTTCCAAAAGCAATCTTCGATGATCTGATGCACTGAGTTTGGCAGCACTTTTCAAATTAGGTAAACTTTACTCCTCAAAAGCGTAAAAAACGTAGCTTCTTATATCACAAGATAATCACAATTATTTAGCCTCGGGGATTGTTACAATTTTGAAAATTCGCGGAGGTCAAAGCCGACATTTGCGGGACTTCGCGGGACATTGCGGGACACGCGAATTAGCCAAATTTTGATCAAATTCGCGGGATAATCCCGCCATTCGCGGGACACTTGACAGCTCTGGAGTAAGGACATTAGCGGTTACCGTTAGTGATTTGGTTTTCTGTATAAAAAGTCATTTTTCTCCTTCCCTACCCACTTGAAGCGCCATCTGGCGTTTGGGAATTAAATCGGGACTAAATATTGATAAGGTAGGTTCTAATTTATATGAAAACAGGTCAAAGTTCAGTGGGAAATCTCATTTTAAGCTGGCGGCGGAGTGATATTGACATTGGTGATTTTACCAGAATTCTCTGAGAAATCTGATGATAGAGGGGGTTAGTGTCTTCAAGTTTATTTATCTCAAAAATTCGGTGGACAACCCATGGTAAGATATGTTCTAGCAGGCTAGGCGAGTCTCTCCCGAACACTTTGGTATGTTGCACTAGGCTTGGACACTAATCGTTAATAAGATGTAAAATGTTAAGGGTAAAATGTTATAATGGCCGTCTATGGGAAACTCTTCTGTGGTCTCCTACCACCTGGTATCAATATACATGTTATACTACTTCCGGGTAGGGTAGTGTTTTTTATACTTTAAAAACGAAGCCATTTCGATCAGTTTTTATAATCCTTGGTAGAACTGAGAGGTATTACAATACATATTTAAATTAATACACATGAGTGTATTTGATGAACTCTCAAAAAATAGAACCCACAATAATATCTTTTTAATTCACAATTTCATGTCATTGTTTCTAACAAGTCGCCTCTTTCTCTCTTTATTTTTGTCAACAGTCAAAATCGGAATTTAAAACTTGATTTCTTTACAAGCTCTGCTTCTGTAAGTACTTAATAACATGAAAAATGTTAAACCTTACATCCTACATTGATTTGATATGAAATGGGCGATCATTGATATCATTTTTGTGCTGTTAAGTGTGGATCTTTTAATTTTTTAGTCAAACTTGATCGCCGATCTCTGTCGATGTGACGTCACGCATTAAGTATGCACGCATGCGCAGTTCAATACATAAGGCAATATGGCATCTTAGGCCTATACATGAGCCAGAATGGAGGTCTGCAAGTTGAAATGAATATGTTTGTTTATGCATCAATCGATCACACATATAATCCAGACAATATTTCAAATCATATACTTAACATTGTAATGGATTTATTTATTTTGTGAGCTAACGTTCCTTTTAATTTTCATTGGTGAAGCAATGATTTTACCTAAAATGAGTCCCTGTCTTTGCATAGTGATATTTAAAAATCGAGAAGCAAAACCTATGTTGAATATAGTGTGTATTGATGAAGTTTAAAAATGGCGGCCATTTTAGAGCCGATTTTACAGTAATTTAGGTGCAATATGTAAAACTGTAATAGCAATATGTTTTAAATGTAAAAAAAATTATAAAGGACATTGAAAAAGCTAGAAATGTAGATATTAAAGAAGAAGATGGCAGCCATCTTGAAAAATGGCGGCCTTTACTCATTATTTTACGATTTTTGCTGTAACTCAAGAAGTAGTGGAGCAATTTTGTTCATATTTGGAATGTGAATACTATAAGCATGGCTCACTGTCTAATGACACTTTTGGTAGGAGGCGGCAATTTTGAAAAATGGCCACCATTTCGAAAAATGGCCGCCATTTTAACATATTTTACTATAACTCGATAAGTAGTGGAGCGATTTTGTTCATATTTGGTTTGCGAATACTATAAGCATGGCACACTGTCTAATGACACTTTTGGTAAAAGGCGGCCATTTTGAAAAATGGCCGCCATTTTAATGTATTTTTCTATAACTCGAAAAGTGGTGGAGCGATTTTGTTCATATTTGGTATGTGAATGCTATTAGCATGGTACATTGTCTAATGACACTTTTGGTAGAAGGCGGCCATTTTGAGAAATGGCCGCCATTTAAACGTATTTTACTCGGCCTTTTCTCATTATTTTACTATTTTTGCTGTAACTTTAAAAGTAGTGGAGTGATTTTGTTCATATTTGGTATGTGAATACTATAAGCATGGCACACTGTCTAATGACACTTTTGGTAGAAGGCGGTCATTTTGAAAAATGGCCACCATTTTAAAGTATTTTACAATAACTCGAAAAATTTTGGAGCGATTTTGTTCATATTTGGTATGTGAATACTATTAAAAAAAAGCATATTACTTCTTCTGATGACAACTTGGCTAGTGAGCAACCTTTTTGAAAATGGTGGCCTTTCTTTTGTGTGTTATTTTATGATATTTGCTACATTTCTGTTCGATGGGATTCGCTACGCTTTGGCGTTGCCGTTGCCGTTGTTCTGGTTTCTATTATTTTGACAGTTCAATTTAACATGTCATTGTGCACATGCTCTATGTGGACAAAATTCAGCTTACAGTATTACATTATTTAGTGTCTTCTACCTTTTAGGAGCCATAAGGGTCGCATCCATGAGATAACTCTTATATTTCTAACTAAACATCTTGCCTTTTATAATGCTTAACAGAGTGTAGAGTCCATTTCACTATTTCACTGCGTCAGTAGAACCACAAAAATAAGAAATTGGGAGACCATTGTGCAATAATATATGGAAAAGTATATTCATAATGTTCATAAATGACATTTGTATATTTCTGATTTTTTAGTTTTTTGTGCAATAAGCCTGTGCCCTCTTGTAATTTGAAGAATTTCAGCCATGTTAATCTTATTGAAAATAACATGGCAGAGAAGCATCCAAATATAAGAGGCCACACAGTTTATTAGCCAAACTAGGAGCAATCCAAGAACAAATGTCATTCATGTACAATAGGAATATATTTTTCCATATATTATTACATAATGATATTTTGATTTCTTATTTTTTAGCTTTTATTGATGCAATTAAACAGTGAAATGGACTCTAACAGGTCAATGGCAACTCCCGAAAATGTAGTCCAACAACAATAGACCTAGCCTGGGCCTCGTTTTTTATCTTACTCATGGCCAAAAAATTCCTAATAGTAAAGAACGCCGTTATAATATTGAGTTAACGACGTTGAACTACAGGAATTATGCTGATATTTCAAGAAAAGTCATTCAAAATGGCCGCCTTTTCAATTTTCCAAATTTCTTAAGTTTCTCAATAACGCACAGATCTGGAGCCAGATCCAGCCCATATTGGTAGTAGGCTCAAAGGTGGGAAGATAAGCCAGGAGCCAAAAATGCTTCATCAAAAAAATGACCACCCAAAAATATGACCCTCGTACTGACCTTTATTTTTTCCATCTGTCAGACATTGATTGATCAATATATACCCTGTAATCTCTTCTTCATGTATTAGTTTGAATGGTTGCATGATATCCATTATTGACGCTGTAATTCGACTTTTCCCGGGACATTTATTTCAAATTTTCATAGCGTAAAGATAATGGAGTGCTTCGGTAATTTCCGGCAGTGTCCGATGTTGTTCGTCTCTCAAATTACGTCACATCGCAACAAACAGCCAATGAAAGTAAAGGATCACGTAGCCTTAAGGTTCAGCTGGAAAGTAACATTTTGGTAAAAAATTGCTATACCTGCACATGTTATTTTCTGGTACATAATTAAGTATGAAGGCATGTGTGTATTTCCTTGCTTTTTTCAGGAAAGTATCATTACACTGTCTACTTTTATTAAACCTGGAAAAAGGTCAATGGTAGCTCCTGTGTTGTCTGGAAACTTTGAAAGAAAATTTGGAAAAACAGGAAGTGTGAAATATCAGAATTCCCTGGAGTTCCCTTTGAACACCTACCAGATATTCTAAAAGAAGACAATGTAATGATACTTTCCTGAAAAAAGCAAGGAAATTGATACATGCCTTCATACTTTATTTTGTACCAGAAAATAACATGTGCAGGTATAGCAATTTTTACCAAAATGTTACTTTCCAGCTGTACCTTAACAAACCGTTGTTATTGTTTCTACTGGAGTTGAAAGAAACGTCATGGGACTTCTTGGTAATCTCTGATGTGACATCATCCGGAGTGCCGTCACATTCTCAGAAAAGGCTTTTGACTTCGGGAATAATCATTTGAACAACGGAGATAGCCGAAGCACTCCTTTAAATATATGCTCGCTTATTTTAATGCTTTTATCAACAGATGCTTTCTTGGATGTGTGGCTTTACAGTTGAAGCTAACAACAGTACGCATCGTTTGAGGTATGACATGTGATGTTTATTGATAAACTGACTCCAAAATCAAGGAAAAATAAATTTCTGAAGAACTTGTGTCTTGTTCTTGAGTATATTTATTGAGCTTAGACACAGAGGAGGTAATCTGGCAGAGGTCTGTGCAATAACGCTGGATTTCTATTGACCACCTACTATGTTTACTTAGAGATGATACTTTCCTGAAAAAAGCAAGGAAATGCACACATGCCTTCATACTTTATTTTGTACCAGGAAATAACATGGGCAGGTATAGCCTTTTTTCAAAAATGTTGTTTGGAAAGAATAACCTTAAAGTTGTACTAAACCTTATTAAAGAATCTCTTAATTATCTTGTTTTTAGCACAAATAGCATCCCTTTTGTTATTTTGACCACAAAGCTTGTGAAATTTCCCCACACAACATGATTTATTAAGATAAGACTGTCAACCTCTGAAATGTTGTTATTTTTGCGCACTTTTTGAGGTCACCTGACCATGACGTACTATGTGCCAAGTTATTCTGGCGCTAAATCGAAAAGTTGTTGTTGCAAACTACTACGAATGCTGAACCAAAGTAGAAAGATACATTAGTTCCACATTCGCATGCATTCCAATATAGCCACATAAATATTTTTAATTGATTAAACTTCATAAAAAGAAATTTTTTGAGGAAAGAGCAGTGCAAGATTATTCATTACATATACATGGAATTTATTGAAATCCATTTGTGAAACCGTACCAATAACTGAAATTGTTAACCCAATAATTATATTTTGGCCTTACAGCAGTACATTCATGTTAAAAAGTTTTAATCCCCAAACAGTTGCAATGTTTGCTGTTATATAACTTACAGGCTTTCAATAGCGTTTCAGCTTGATTGATTCCGCACTCAATTGCAAGTGATATTATACCCTTTGCGAAATTAATGAGAATAGCCTCAATCATGCAATAATAGACTAGATGCGAGTAGAAAAAACTTGATTTACGCCATAATATACTCAAAATTCCGTCAAAGCGATGTTATATTTGAAAACTACATGTAAAAGTACATCTAGAAATATGGTTTTGAAAATTGTTTATCAAGTTTGAAAATTTAATTATTTTTGAAAGTGTGACTTCTAGTTCGGGTTGATTCTCCATAGAGCCCATGTTACAAAATCACAAAAAGTGAAATATCTTTTCTTGTATTGGTCAGATAACATTTTCATTTACTGGACATATTTTGATTTGCATAACTATTAGATACATGAGGGTTATATGAAAATTGAACCACAAAAACAGATGTAATTTAAGTTAAAGGGTACTTTCTACTATACCCGCCATGCTATCTGACCCGAACGAGCCATCTGGTGGGGAAACTGGTAACTACCTACTCGCATCTGCGTTATTGGCCTAACATAAGAGTGAATAACTCGTTTTTAAAAGCCATGGTTTCATTTTTATCTACAAAATCATATTTCTCGGCAAATTGTTTCAACAACACACGTCATGTCACGTGACGTAAAATTTCTGCTCTGAAAATGAAATCAGTTTTGCCGTAAAAGCAGACATGTACTGACTTCATATCCCCGGTATCATGATAAAATGAACTTTTGGAATTGTTGATGATTCATAATCATAAAGCATGGCCTTCAAACTGTAAGATGGCATAAATATATCTAAATCAAGTAAAATGGTTTGAGTATTACTTTAAGATGCCGGCAGGATTCTTTTGCTCAATAAATATCCTCAAGATCATCTTTAGGGTTTATCTTTTGATGCCAGGTCATTGACTTTTTCAGATGATTTTCTCTTTCAGAACAGTAAAACCATTCAAGGGTCTTTGTTTGTCTCCCCCATGAAATATGATTGACATTCAGATTTTGGGAAATCACCATATACAGACTGTGCTATAAGAAAACAAGCGGTGCGGATATCATGTTTTAATATCAATTTTAAATTGTAGCTGTTACCCAGTGTAAACAGCATTCATTCAATATTGGTGATTGAGATGACCTATCTATACAAATTGTATTTGCATTTTGAAGGTTGAAAGGCTTCTGTTTGATTTTATACAAAATAGGAAACATTATGCGAAAGTGCCAATATCAGCATGGCTTGTTTAGAGATAGCACATTTCTGATTTGGTTTAAAGCAAGTAGGCGCAGCATCAACCTGAGATTTTGAAAACAGGCTTGCGTCCGCCTGAAAATCCATTTGCACCCATTTGAAATGAGAAATATCATGAAAATTTGGCATATTCTGACTTATTTCGGTCCTGATTGTGAAAATGAGAATTCTGCACCCATCTGAGAAAAAATCCTGGGGAGATCACTGGGTTTAGTATGAAACTCACAATCCTTGATTTTCAAACATTTGTTAGGTCAAAAATTCAACCGTAAATTAACGGTTGAATTTAGTTCTTCATGATTATTGTAATTTGTAATTTCAGTTATGAAAGGTGGGGGGAAAAAGTAGAACCAGAATCATCTCAAGAGCCAGACCTAAAACCAATAGCTGGATGGAACATTCCAATGGAAAAGGAGCATGATTTAACAAAGTATGAAATTATCATCTTAATTTATTTATGGCCTCTTCATAGTTTTTGGATAACATATGAGCCTATGGGATCGACCAGGCGTCTGTTGGTCCGTCCGTTTGTCAACATTGGCCGCACAAATTAAAACTGCTATTCGGATTGAGTCATCGAGCATAGCCACATTCATTTTATGCATCCACAATGCCTATTTGACCTATCATCGCCATTTCCCAAATTCAACCGGTTTTCGAGAAATTGCTGATTTTGACGTCAAAAAGTTGAAGTACAGTGGCTACAGTTGTTACTGTATATGCAACTTATGTTCTCTGAAGATTTCAAAGCTCTTGAAATTACAGTTTTTGGTGTTTACTCTATAAAATTTGACAGTTTTGTGATTGACAAGTTTCTCAAAGTTTGTCAAAAACCAGTTAAAATAAAAAAATTTTCATCTTGCTTCAATTTGACCAAATTTTTAGGGGAAAATCGTCTACAAGTTGCCAGGAGTTCAAATCTGACCTAAGTTTTGAGATTTGACCTTCAGTGACCTTCGAAAGGTCAAAAAGTTGATTCAAATTGATTATTTAGATGTAAATTTTGGTCACCTTAATCACAAAAGACCTACTGTCAGCTCTGAATAAGTCAAATGTTCAAGGTCAAAGGTCCTCACGCCCATTTCCTAGCTTTACAAATAATTTCAGCTGTCCTGCATTGTAAAAAGCCATGTCACTGTAAAGAGTAGTTGTATGAACTAATTTTGTTACAAAAATCTGCAAAAAAATCATGTCCGTTTTTTTATTTTCAGCCATTTTAGTAAACATTGATTTGTCCATCTGTCTCTCAATCAGTCCAAAATAGTAGATAGGATTCCAGTTTTAAAATATTTTTGTTCAACTTAAAGAAAAAAAATCTGTGACTCCAGTGCTTTAGTTTTATTAAACCAGAAAGTTTCAACCTTATCCTCAGACCTCTTCCAAAACTCACTGGTGTTTCATTATGGTATTTTATTTTGGTTCTATAGTTACTGTGATATTAATGGATATCGATATCTGCACCCTCTCACTACACGATCGCTATGCAGATGTCAATTTGTTGATAAATGTCATATCACTCTTACGTAAATCATAGGATATCCTTTATTTATTCAATAAATGCTTTGCAACGGTAACCAAAATAACACTATGCAGACAGAGCCTGTGGTAGGTTTCATGAACTTCAGAACGAAGAACTGCATCATAAAGAGTTTGATTATTTTTTGATGACCAAAGAGGATTCGATAAAAAAAGAAAACAACATTGATATTATATGCAGGAAAGGCTGTCAACTAAATAAATGTTGAAATTAAAACGTGTGCTGAAATATTCTAGTTATTTTATCTTTCAAAATCGAAAACAAACTCACAATTTTGCAGATATATTTATTAAATTTTTGTATGCTTCAGGGACCCATTGCCAAAAAGCTCGTTGAAGCAAAATAAACAGAGAGATCTACCTGTCCAATCTTTAGCAGGACCTTATGACAGGTAAAATCATTTAATTATTAAATAATGTGTATCCTTCCTTACACAGCTTTACATTTTCCTCCAAAAATCATTTTGACATTGAATTCCTCAAAATTAATACCTATTGAATATTTTTAGCTCACATGGTGAGCTATTTCAATCTCACAAAATTCTCTTTTGGCCCATTTCCTAGCTTTACAAATAATTGCAGGTGTCCTGCATTGTAAAATGCCATGCCACTATAAAGAGTAGTTGTATTAAATAATTTCGTTACAAAAAATCGGCAAAAAAATTTATCTATTTTTTTATTTTCAGCCATTTTAGTTAAACCTGCACATCGCTCCAAAACGCAATATGTTGACATATATTGTTTTTACATTTTTAAGCTCTAATATAAAGTTTATGTAAATAAAAATTGTTTTTTCTGCGTAATATCAAAGAACAATCATTTAGTTAAAAAAAATAAAAAGGCGAATGCGGGATTCGAACCCGGGCCTCCCGCGTGTTAAGCGAGAATTCTACCGCTAGACCACCGTGTTATTATGAATAGTAAAGTAATTAAACGCTACTTATTTTGAATGCTATGATTCGGAAGTGACATCACGTTCTTCATTTAGAAACTTTTCCAAAATCATATCGTCGGCGCCGATCGAAGCAATTCAATGAAAAATCTTTGAAATGACACATTTCTCGTAAGTATTTCTACACAAGATTTGCCCCATGATTCTATAATCTTTCATTAAGCTCAAAATGATAAAGTTCACCCCCAAAACAACCCCAAGATTGCATTTTGGGGCAAAGTCCAGCTTTAACATTGATTTGTCCATATGTCTCGCGAAATCCACTTTTGAACCATTTGCCTTAATAAAACCTCTGTCAATTAGGATTCCTGTTTTAAGTTATTTTTGTTCAACATAAATACAGAAAACTCCCCTATGACTCCTGGTTCAAAAGTTTGCCTATTTTCAAAATAGTCGCCATTTTTGTCTTGCGAAATTCACTTGTGGCCTGTTTCCTAGCTTTACAAATAATTTCAGGTGTCCTGCATTGTCAAAAGTCATGTCACTGTAAAGAGTATAGTTGTAGGAAATAATTTTGTTACAAAAAATCAGCAAAAGTGACATCCATTTTTTTATTTTCTGCCATTTTAGCCATGATTCACTTTTGAGCAACACCATGTGAGCCCAGTACCCACGGTACTATTGATTTACTATCACTGTCTGGACAGTGATTTTGTTGAAACTTGAGATGTGAACATTCAACACTATCTTCGACAATTTTGCTCATAGGTAACTAATTTAGAAAATGGTGGCAATTATTATGTGTTTAATACATGTTATTTTACAAATGAATAAGTAGTGGAGCAATTTTGTTAATATGTGAATTCTTAAAGCAATGGTAACACTTCTTAAAGACAATTCAACCTATAGACAGATTTCCAAGAGTGGCAGTCCTGCAATTTGCCATGCCTTGGCATTGCTATTATCTAGTTTGTTGATGCAGAATGTAAATGCATGCAAAGCTTGATGTTTCCTTGTACATGTCAATTAACTTTTATGAGACACATTCTATTTCAGCAAAATAACTGGATTAAGAAAACTTCTGTTAACTTTTTTATATGATGTTTAAGGAGTCTTTTGGTGAAACAATTTTATAAAATCATGTCTGTTGTAAATTGGTGAAGAAAATAACAATAACACATTTAGCTAAAGTGATTCATGTTTATTTCTTCAGGAAGCAGAGTAAAGAACTACAGAATTTGGGGAAACTTGCTGTCAAGTTTAGTGACATTTCATCAAAATTAACAACATTGAGAAAAGACACAAAATCTGCAGATATTATTTTCGTCATTAAAGATGGCACTGAAGTTTCTGCTCACAAAACAATAGTTTCTCGCTTTAGTAAAGCACTGAGGCAAAAGAAAGCCATGAAGTATGTAGGTCCTTTGCTCAGTGATGCAACACAATGTGGTCTTGATGGTTTCCTTGATTTAGTATATGGCCTTGAAGTGTCATTGACAACTGAAAACTTTAATGATATATTGCATGTTGCTGAAGTTCTCAAAGCAGATAAAGTGACTACCACACTCAAATCAGTACAGCATAGAATAGCTGCTCCAAAAACTAGAGCTAAAGAAGAAAACATTGGTTTTAATGTTAAACAGGAAATTGTTAACGAGCAAATGGATGATTATGCGCTTGAAACTACTGAACAAATGTATGATAATGGTGTTATACAACATGAAACCATGGATGTGATAAATCAGGAAAATGATGCTGCCTCTGAAGGCTATGGTGCATGTGAAACATCACCCCTAGAAACCGAGGGCAAATTTGATCTTGGGAACCTAAAAAATGAAAAAAGCAGAAACAAAGATGATACTCAAACAGTCACTATTGAACGATATGAGGAAAAATCTCCCAATGAATCACGAGATGAATCCATGGAGAATCAGGAATACGAGGCGGACTCAACTGATGTGAATACCAAAGCCATGGATGGTGACAACTGTGAAGATATTAAGCCAAATTCATATGATACTAGCAATAAAGGTGATATATCAAAGGGACATGAAATAAAGACTGAACTCCGGGACAGCAGTGACTCAGCAGAGGAGTACGATGATGAACATAATGATGAATATGATGAGTATAATATTGAGGAGGATGATTCTGATAGTGATATTCCTTCTGATGATTCAGGCAGTAACTATTCCATCCAAGATGATGAAAAAGACTTGGATTGGACACCAGCCTACAAACTAACTCCTAGCTCCACTCAAACTAGGAACAGGAAAAAGACAAAATCAGATATTGATCAAAAAAACGATGAGACTTCTCCAGCTGATCAGAGTGACAGTAACAGTGACACTAGAAAGACTGATGATGCCAAAAAGACTAAAACTCCAACCAATGGAAATGAAAGCCAGTCTAGATCAAGGCCTCATATAACATGGCGTGAAAAATATAGTAAGTACATGTATCTATCAGTCTGTCTGTCAACACTGATGGCACATTTTAAAATCTCTGCCGATACGGTTCCCATTTGAATAATTTTAGTTGAACATCAATACGGAAAACGTTCTTATAACTCCTGATTCAAAAGCTTACCTACTTTCAAAATGGCAACCATTTTTGACAAAATTAACTTTTGGATCATTGAAACCTCTGTCGATGAGATTTCCATTTTCAAATATTTTAGTTCAACATCAATACAGAAAATTTTCTTATAGCCCCTGATTCAAAAGATAGTGAAACAACACCATGTGAGCCCACTGTACCATATCGTTTTTCAGTCAACTACCTATTGAAATTTGATAAGGGTAATAATTTCACTGAATCTAAAAATATGCATTGAAATAGGTTTTCTCAACTTGCAGCTACAAAACTGAGATTTTCTTCATTGTAAGCCCACTGTAGAGTTCTTGCGATAGCCATTATGAAATAAATGTTAGATTACTGTTATAATGGGCATAAATAACTTAATAAAATTGACTGATCAATTAAATTGGCCCCCATGTGATTAGTAACGTCATAAATAATATATAGTTTTGGTTTATTGGTTCCTTGGTAATCACGATGTCACAGCAACACTATGATTGTTGTGTAAACAAATAACAAAACATCTTGGCAATATGATGTCATGATTTAATGGACCAAAATGGGCCACATGGGGACCAGTGAGAGATCACGTGGGGGCCAATAACGTCACAACCTATTTGAATATTACTTAGCAGGTATAACGATCGTTAGAGTGAAATAATTTTCACAATACTGATGAGAAAACATGTCCAAATACATTTATCAAAAAATTCTATTGATTCCTTTAGGTCAACAATACCATTTCATATCTGCTTTTAAAGATTGCTTATTATTTTCAACACTATTGGCTGAATTACCACTTCTTCCTAACCATGTGTGAATATTTCTCTTTTCAGTCGATCAAGCCATTGGAGAATTCAAATGCCCTAACTGCCAGAATATTCTAGAGACAAAGTTCAAGCTGAGAGAACATGTGGAGGCCAAACATGACCAGTTCATGTGCCCATTATGTGACCAGTGCTTCAACACCAATGGGGAAAGAGATCTACACAGACAAGCTCATTATAGTAAGTTTAGAACATAATATGACCCTTAAAAGATTTAAATGTAATCTTCACTCTTGGGCCTTTGACTATTTTCATAGAAATACCTTTGTACTAATTTCAAATACACTTAATTTGACTGATGGGTGGATTCAGAAAATTGCAAAATTAAAAATCTGTCAAATTTCAGTTTGGAATTTTTGTCCAATGCACTTCAGAAGTTACATCAGGGGCCCCTTTTCCTGTCAACATATCATCAATTCTACATTATTCCAAAAGAAATCAAGAAAATATCCTAGTAAACACTGACATAAACATCTCCAAAAATTAAACTTCAGTCCTGAATCCGCCAAATTAAACAGCCACCAATATTTGAAATTGAGCAAATCTGTCAAATTAAGTAGCGTCAAAATAAATGTATCTACAGTAGCTCAAATTCTTGTAGTATTGATTTGAGTATTTACATCAGTTGAAACTCAAAATTTAAGCATTATAATATTTATCTGCTAACCTAATAGAGATGACTGTATGGTTTAAAACCTTCTTGATTATTCTATTTTCGAAAGTAGGAAGATTCATTCAAGTCGCCTGTTGAACTTTAAAAGCCAAATTTAGACCGAACAATGTTCTCTATACACATATACAAGGTTTTACTGTATATATTCTATCACTCACATCAGCCCCTAGCATAGGATTTGCTCCTATGTTTCAAATTAACTATTGCTCAGAAATTTTGTATGTTTGCAATCTACGTATACTTTCAGGATTTGAGAACAGTGATTCTTCAGTGGGGGAATTTTTCTGTGACATATGTGACGTAAAATTTACCTCAAAACATATTTTCCTTCTACATATGCTACAACAAGGACACATTAATAAAAGAGGATCTACAAAGTTATGTATACAATGCGAAACCTGGATACCCAATACAGATTTTAAGAAGCATCTTTCATCTAATCATGACTTCTCAGTTACACAGTGTTCCATATGTAAGGAAAAGCTATCCAGCAGAGGAAAAGATGCACATAAACTTAACAATTCAGCTACTGAAATGCAGAAACATCTTCATCTCAAACACAAAATACGAAGTTATAATTGTGTATTTTGCGATCAAACATCTTCCACTTTGTATTTTTTAAAAAATCACATTGTAAATACACATCACCGTTGGGAGATTCAACGATGCTTACATTGCAGTTTCACCTGTGGAACTGTAAACAAAATGCGAGCTCATGTTAGGGAAACTCATAAATTGCGTACATCATATGTATGCAAAAAGTGTGGTGACACCTTTGAAACCTATAAAATGAGAATATCACATATACGTAGAAAGCATTCTACCTTGAATCCTTGTGAGTATTGTGGTAAGAAACTTGACCGCAAAAATATGGATCAGCATGTTCGAGTACACACTGGGCATAAGCCTTACATCTGTGAACATTGTGGAGAGAAATTCGCACAGAAAAATTCTCTCAACTGGCATATGTCTTCAAAACATTCTCACTTAGACGAAGAAAAATATTCTTCCAAAAAACTCAAATCAACTGGAAATGGAAAGAAGAAAAAGAGTTAGAATTAGTTTTTGAAAAATTAAGATAAATATTTTGCTGTATTTGTAATGTGTTCTCTTGATGGAGAAGCTACAAGCTGACATAGAAACAAATAACTTGAACATTTGATGGCTGTCTCTTCGAACTGAAGTAGATCGGCAGGCATGAATGGTTTTCAGATGTTAAACTGTTACGATGTATTTCATAGGTAGAACATGGATCTTGTTAAACTGTTACAATGTACATGTATTTCATCAGTAGAACATGGATTTTGTTAAACAGTTACAATGTATTTCATCGGTAGAACATGGATCTTGTTAAACTGATACAATGTACATGTATTTCATCAGTAGAACATTGATCTTGTTAAACAGTTACAATGTATTTCATCGGTAGAACATGGATCTTGTTAAACTGATACAATGTACATGTATTTCATCAGTAGAACATGGATCTTGTTAAACAGTTACAATATATTTCATCGGTAGAACATGGATCTTGTTAAACAGTTACAATGTATTTCATCGGTAGAACATGGATCTTGTTAAACTGATACAATGTACATTTATTTCATCAGTAGAACATGGATCTTGTTAAACAGTTACAATGTATTTCAATTGTAGAACATGGATCTTGTTAAACAGTTACAATGTATTTCATTGGTAGAACATGGATCTTGTTAAACTGATACAATGTACATGTATTTCATCAGTAGAACATGGATCTTGTTAAACAGTTACAATGTATTTCATCGGTAGAACATGGATCTTGTTAAACAGTTACAATGTATTTTATTGGTAGAACATGGATCTTGTTAAACTGATACAATGTACATGTCTTTCATTGGTAGAACATGGATCTTGTTAAACTGTTACGATGTATTTCATCGGTAGAACATGGATCTTGTTTAACTGTCACAATGTACATGTATTTCTTGTGAAATTGTTACAATATATTTCATCGGTAGAAAATGGATCTTGTTAAAATGTTACAATGTATTTCATTGGTAGAACATGGATCTTGTGTAATTGTTACAATATATTTCATCGGTAGAACATGGATCTTGTTAAACTGTTACAATGTATTTCAATTGTAGAACATGGATCTTGTTAAACTGTTACAATGTACATGTATTTCATTGGTAGAACATGGATCTTGTTAAACTGTTACAATGTATTTCAATTGTAGAACATGGATCTTGTTAAACTGTTACAATGTATTTCAATGGTAGAACATGGATCTTGTTAAACTGTTACAATGTATTTCAATTGTAGAACATGGATCTTGTTAAACTGTTACAATGTATTTCATTGGTAGAACATGGATCTTGTTAAACTGTCACAATGTATTTCATTGGTAGAACATGGATCTTGTTTAACTGTTACAATGTATTTCATTGGTAGAACATGGATCTTGTTAAACTGTTACGATGTATTTCATCGGTAGAACATGGATCTTGTTAAACTGTTACAATGTATATGTATTTCATTGGTAGAACATGGATCTTGTGAAACTGTTAAAATATATTTCATCTGTAGAACATGGATCTTGTTAAACTGTTACAATGTATTTTATTGGTGGAACATGGATCTTGTTAAACTGTTACAATGTATTTCATTGGTAGAACATGGATCTTGTTAAACTGTTACGATGTATTTCATCGGTAGAACATGGATCTTGTTAAACTGTTACAATGTACATGTATTTCATTGGTAGAACATGGATCTTGTGAAACTGTTACAATATATTTCATCGGTAGAACATGGATCTTGTTAAACTGTTACAATGTATTTCATTGGTAGAACATGGATCTTGTTTAACTGTTACAATGTATTTCATTGGTAGAACATGGATCTTGTTAAACTGTTACAATGTATTTCATTTGTAGAACATGGATCTTGTTTAACTGTCACAATGTACATGTATTTCATTGGTAGAACATGGATCTTGTGAAACTGTTACAATATATTTCAATGGTAGAACATGGATCTTGTTAAACTGTTACAATGTATTTCATTGGTAGAACATGGATCTTGTTAAACTGTTACAATGTATTTCATTGGTAGAACATGGATCTTGTTTAACTGTTACAATGTATTTCATTGGTAGAACATGGATCTTGTTTAACTGTTACAATGTATTTCAATGGTAGAACATTGATCTTGTTAAACTGTTACAATGTATTTCAATTGTAAAACATGGATCTTGTTAAACTGTTACAATGTATTTCATTGGTAGAACATGGATCTTGTTTATCTATTACAATGTATTTCAATGGTAGAACATGGATCTTGTTAAACTGTTACAATGTATTTCATTGGTAGAACATGGATCTTGTTTAACTGTTACAATGTATTTCATCGGTAGAACATTTATCTTGTTAAACTGTTACAATGTATTTCATCGGTAGAACATGGATCTTGTTAACCTGTTACAATGTATTTCATTGGTAGAACATGGATCTTGTTTAACTGTTACAATGTATTTTTAATTGGTAGAACATGGATCTTGTTAAACTGTTACAATGTATTTCATTGGTAGAACATGGATCTTGTTAAACTGTTACAATGTATTTCATTGGTAGAACATGGATCTTGTTAAACTGTTACAATGTATTTCATTGGTAGAACATGGATCTTGTTAAACTGTTACAATGTATTTCAATTGTAGAACATGGATCTTGTTAAACCTCCTCTACCGGAGGAACTCCGTAAATGGCAGTTCGGGAATTTCCAAATAAAAACCGCGGCTTTGTTGTCTGATTTGCTGCTGTGAAATGCATACACACAAAAGGTTTCTGTTCTTGATTTATACATCGCAAGACTCAAAGCTAGCCTTATTGGTCGGTCGGTCTCTTTTACTTATCTTATCTTGAATATTTTGAATAAATGTTTCAAAATCTAACACGGGTCTCGGAGTGAGTAAGTGAGGGTGTTCAAAGATTTTTACACCCTTTTAAGGATTTTGGAGTCCGTCTGGAACATTGTCAATTCATGTTTAAAGTTATCCTGAAAACAATTTTAAACATTGATTCGGTTACTGTCTATTTGTCATTGAATCATATGTAAGGGAAACAATGATAACTTAAATGAATTGTACAGACATGAAGGATGTATGTTGTGTATTCCAAGAAAACAATAAATTGAGAAATGCAAAATTATTCTTAGTTGTTCAGTTACGAAAATAGCATCTGGAGATAACAACGTTCATAAAATCATTTAGAAAGGAAAATATTTGATTATACTGTATGTAATATGTATTGTATTGTATTGTAAAATTTTATTGCAGTGTCTTGGGTACAACTTTACATGAAAATATCAATTTAAACGAAGCCCAGGCCCGGACATCGGACTATAAGACACCTGTCTTATCTACTGTATAGAACCCGCTCCCTGGTCCTGAGGATTTCGCAAAAGGCCCTGTCAACGAATGGGTAAATTCCAGGCTCACTCGCATAAGTATTTTTATTAATCGTTCTTCGTGATTTTCTGGAAATAATGTTAATTTAATTGACACTTTATGCAACATATCATGCCGTATACATCATATTCACTACAGTCCATTATAACATGCTGTTCATCCACCACAAGTGCGGCCTCTTCATTGCAAACCACACAAAGTCTATCTTGGACAGCCAGGCGTTCATATCTGCCAGTTTCATTTCGGATTGGGGCGACTCCACAGCAACATTCGTTTACTTGTGCCTGTGAGTAAATAAGAAGAATATCACTGTGAATATGCTAAATAATATCGTTCGATTCTAATTTTGTTCTCAAAGGAACTAGCTGTATATTATTTACAAACTCAAAAATTTTGAATACCTATTTCGTGAACGCTTTGTTCAGAATGCATCATACGGTAGAGCCCATGATCATACTAAATACTTTAATGAAAAGATGCATGCAATTACGAAAACATAAGAATGTCATCATTTGGAGAAATAGGAGTTTCATTACGTAAAATCATGTAATTGAACCAACGATACGAGAATGCCGGAAAATTCGAGCGTAATAATGGACTAGATGCGAGGACAATACTGAAACATACAAAACGTATTCAAAGTGAGTGCTGTAATATTTGAAGTCTACATGTAAATGACAGCATCGTCCTTCTTCAAAGGACTTATGTATGCTTAAATTCGCATTACTTGTAAGTTACCTTTGCAGCAAGGATGATATATAGTGTTTTAATTTGATTTTCTTTGAAAATGTGACTTGAAGATAATCCCATAGACCCCGTGTTATAAGATTACTGAAAGTTGATTTTTTTTTCTTGCGTTGGGCAGATATTTTCTTTTACTGGGCATATTGTCTACAATACTACAGAGTGACACAAAAAATGCCATCCACTAATTTTGGAATAACTTTCTCAATAATGAAGGAATCTTCATGATTTTTATGTGTAGATAAAGTGTTCAATGAAAGAATGATTGGTACGTTTACATAGCATCAAAAACCTGAGAATTAAGAGATATCCCAGGGCCTTGAGAGGGGCGTTTGGGGGGACCGCCTCCAGGATATGAATTTCAATTTTTTCTGATGGACATCCCCTAGCTTTGGGCTTGCGATGCTTTGCGTGAGTTTGTCGGCGCTCGGGTGTCGGCAGCGGTGCAGCCAATCCGTGCGCAAAAGTTGCCCCCCCCCCATCTTGGGCCCTTATTCATCGGTAGTAGGCTCAATGAATAAATAGAGATTATCCTATATGAGGCTCACGATATTGGGATTATCCCGAGGAAAATATAAGCTTAATATATCTGCCCGAGGATCGTAGGTGCTGAGGGTAGATATGTTTTATTGGCCAAGGGATAATCCTGATATCCCGAACCGACTATAGGATGATCTGTTTATCCCATCCCAATCTTGGTCATCTGGTCCACAGCTCAGAAAATTTCCAACTAACCGTGGAAATATTTTAGAATATACATGTCCAGTTTCGTATGCGAACGGCGATTATGACGTAGCGGGCAGATCGAATCCCCACAGATATACTATATCCTATAGCTCGGAGCGGGACGTATTTACTATATCTGCCCGCTGATGAAAATATATAAGGGTTATGTACTGGGAGGTTTTGGATACAGGGTTTATCCCAAGGGAAATATGTGTATCTCCCGAGGGACCGCAGGGACCGAGGGAGATACACATATTTCCCGCGGGATAAATCCTGTATTCAAAACCGACCGTACATAACAGATGTATTTCATACCTACTGAGGTTTTAGGTACATCATACCTTATTATAAAGTTCCAAAACATACGGTACACGTTTTCTTGTTCTTAATGATTGCAAGATTTCCCAAAAATTTTGAAAAAAATGTGAAAAAAAAAATTGAAAAAGAAAATTTGAAAAAAATGTTGAAAAAAAATTTTGAAAATTTGAAAAAAAATTTTTAAAAATTTTCAGGAGCGGGACCGGGATGGATACAGGCTGTATCCATCCCGCCCCGCTCATCGGTGATAGATCCCTAGATACAGTATATATTCCCGCTCGTTATTTACCTAGAGCCTTAGTAGGTATGGAAGACAAGCGTTTATTCCATGATGGTGAAATTCCCTGCAATCTGATTGGTCCATGTGACTTAAATATATCCTGTATTTACACGCACTTTCCACTTAGCATTGAATACAGAGTGAAAATGACGTCAGCGTTGGGATACGGTCCAGTATCCCAACGCCCCAGATTTCCATCCAGGATATGACTATTACTAAAAAAATCAATGGCGATCTGTTTACACCAACGCATGCTAATATTTGCATTTTGCTAGAAAAATCTGATTTGAATATCAGGAAATGATACGGTGATCACCACAATTTATTATTTTAGGATAAAAAACACTCATCTGTAATTATAAAAAAATCAGTATGAAGCATGCACATTGTTTTCATGAACTAGTAAAAATCCAATCCCATATGGCAGACGAAAGTCGAAAAAACGTTTCGTTACACTGTTCCAGCTGATGAAATTGAAGAAAAATGTTGAAGAAAATCAAACGTATCGTATAATACAATAAAAGCAAAACAACAAAGCCAAAAAGATTTTGAAGGAATATCGATGTAAAATATTTTTGGACTTGATTTAGGGGAGTTTTATCTGAGTAATCATGGAATAAAAACGTTATTCAATGATTTCTCGTGAAATACAGAAAATATTCTTCCCTTGAACGTCTGTATTTCACTCTGCTAGCGCATCGTGAAATACGACCTTCTCGGGAAGAATATTTTCTGTATTTCACTCGAATCATTGAATAACTTATAGTATTCCATACCTGATGAGGTTTCAGGGACATATCAACCGGGAATATATTCCATATCCGGGCAAATATTTTTCGTATGTCCCGCTCCAGCGGAGCTCCGGGACATATAAATCGTATGTCCCGCTCAAAAAAAATTTAAAAAAAAATATTTAAAAAATAAATTCGGGAAAAAAAATTTGAAATTAAAAATTTGAAAAAAAATTGTGGAAAAAATTATGTAAAAAAAATTTGGGAAAAAATGTGAAAAAAAAATTTGGAATAATTTTCAAATTTGGAAATTTTTTTTATTTTTTTTAAAAATGATAACATATTTTGCAAGTAAACACACCGATCATATGGGATACATGCTTATTATTTCAAACCTCATCAGGTATGGAATACAACAGTTATGCACGGTCGGTTTGGATACAGGAAATATCCCTTGGGATATAGAATATATCTTCCCTTGGTCCCTTCGGTCCCTCGGGAAGATATATTGTATATCCCTCGGGATATTCCCTGTATCCAAAACCTCCCAGTGCATAACCCCTATTTACAAACCTGCTTTATGTACCTGTAACAGAAGTATATAGCATATCTGCGGGGATTCTGCCTCCAGTAGCCTACACAACCCTTATATCTGCCCGCTGATGAAACACCAGTTTTGTACGGTGTTTTTGGATATAAATGTATCCCTCAGGATATACCCTATATCCAAAACCTCTCAGTACATAACTTCCATCCACCCTCAACGGTGCATATATCCCTATGGATAAACTTCATATCTATTTATTGAGTCTTGGGAGTAACCAATAGCAGAGGGATGTGGCAGAGGTTGGTGCCTCAGAGGACTCCTGGGAGAGGACTCGGAGCCAGAAAATGTGCACTGAGCACTGGCGGATCTGGGGGGCAACAAGGAGGGGGGGGGGGGCAAATTTCAGGTCAGAGAGAAAAACGTGTACGCGCTTGCGCGGAAAAAATGTTGGGCCCCTAAAACCCAAAAGATGGGCCCAAAAGCGAGGCCCATTTTCTTCAAAATTTGGCCTGAAATTAAAAATAAGGCCTTAAAAGGCTCAGTAATGACCAAAAAGGCCCACTTTCTTGGGTCCAAATTTTTTTCTGGGCCCTGCACCCAACTTTAGCCCCCCCCCCTAATCCGTCAGTGCGTACCCGCCCCTTGGGTGGGCCAAGAAAACAAAATTGGGCCCAAAAAAAATTTGAGTCATAAAAGGATGGGCTTAGAGGCCCCAAAAAATGGGCCTTCTTACATGTAAGCCTTATTTTTTAATTCAGTTTAGGCCAAATTTTGGGCCTTCTTAGCCTTATTTTTTAATTTTAGGCCAAATTTTGAAGAAAATGGGCCTCAAATTTCAAAATTGGGTCCAATTTTTGGGGCCATTTTTTCTCAGGCTAGAAGTTCGGGCCGCCCCACCTTGTTGGTTCCCAGATCAGCCCCTGCTGAGTGGGAGGGGTGCTCGGAGTGAACTCTTGAACCTGTGGATTCGCTTGGTCAAAAATATCACGTGACAACAACTTGGGAAAACCCCAACATGGCGGAGAAAAAGGCTAGACCACGGCTAGTCAATTTGACTGAAAGTGAGAAAAAACGTCGGAGAGTGGAACAAAGAAGAAGATCGGACGCTGCTATAATACACCTAGGCGAGTCGTTTAATAAATGGTGCGAAATTCGTGACAAGTTGGACCTCAAAAACGCCGAATTAGCAAAACTTTTGTTGAAAGTGTAAGTCGTTTTCTGAATTTTTATCATCTCTGAAAATCAGGGACGTCTTGAGTCAACGTTTCTTTTGAAACTAACGATCAATATAATTATTCCAGGATTGGAAACAGGAATTCCAAAAAGTGGGCGGTACATTTCGTTCTATGTACTGGGCTAGGACCATTCACGTGACCTAAGTCCAGCCTTTGCTTATATGGCAAATTATCAAGACAACTGCCAAGTCGTCAAATGACGTGATTGTGATTCGAGATATGACGTATCACATAAACTATGGATCAGTAACATATTTACTCCATCGAGCAACAATAAACAAACAAATAATCGGAACATCACATATCTTTGTTGATTCTATATTAACACGTGACGTCATTAACATGTTGCCAAACCAACAACAAAACAAGCATTTACTTTGGTCATTGCTGTTCTCTGTGATCTTTTCTTAAGAAGTGGATCAGTTTTCTCCATTACCAGATGGCCCCGCAAAGCCCGCATATGCCTGGCCTTGGTATTTTTCTAGTGAAATTCACTGGATAATCTTGTTATTTCCCAATTCTTGCCTTACTAGCTCATCTTGGTGACATGAACTTGCACAGCTGTAGTCTATTTCAGCCTATTAAACTACTTCAAAGGTGAGCTGCAGTTAAACCTGAAAAAATAATAAGAAATCTAAAGACTTTTGTACAATAATGTATAGAAACATATGTTCATATTGCACACAAATGGAATTTCTATATCTTGGATTGCTTGTGTGAATTGGCTTATAAAGTCTGTAACCTCTATTATTTTGATGCCATGTTAATTCTGAAATATACAAATGTCATTTGTGTGCAATATGAATATATTTTTCTATATTTTATGGAACAATAGATTTATTATTTTTCAGGTTCAACTGCTTACCTTTGAAACAGTTTTACAGACTCTAACTAGAGTCTTATAGTATCCTAACCATGGTAGTTGGAACTCTTGAAAGCCCATGGTTCAATACAATAAGTAATACATATCAGGTTAGGAAAGATCCATGTAGAAGTTCATTTCTACATGGATACTGCGCACGATGAAGATTTGTATAATCCATGTGATAAACATTAATATTTTTGACGAAAAAGATTCCGCACTTGTAGTTTTAAATAATAATATGAAGGAAATTCTGTTCACTGTGATCCCATCACTGAAAATTATAAATACATGTATAAATATTAGCCTCATTTTAACTGGTAAGATGCAGAGTTTTGGGAATGGATTATGTGATTAGACTGTTAGAATTATGTTACATTTGTGGTCCACAGAATGGAAATAGGGTCTCCAATCATAGTGTCACTAGTATGATATTCAATATTATTTTACATAAAGGAAACTATTTTATTGGTGAATCAAGTACAAATTGTCTTGCTATGTAGTACAACGTGTACCTACTGTACTCAAGATAATTGACTTTTTGGTGGTGCAGACAGGTGATACATGTGGTTCAAATTAAGTACAATACCAAGTTTTCATACTGCTATATATATGATGTCTTACAACCTATAGTAGGCTAGTCATTTTCATTCTTTTTTACAGCTACTGTGAATCAGAGAAGAAAATAGTCAAATCAAGACAGACATCAGACACTTCTTCAAGTGACCAAATATCAGTAAGCTCAGGGTAAGTTTTATATTCTGTTTTCATAAGTAACCAGAGGATTTGGTTTTACATATTATATGATTACCTTCCCTTAAGCGATGGAAGATAACAATGAACATTTGCACACTATTCTAGATATAGGGATATTTAAAAAAATTGCTGTAGTACAACTTAAATAGGCTATTTTTACATTGTACAGTAATTTATTTATGTTATTTCAGGAGTTATGAAGCACAGAAATCAGAGAAACATACTGCAAGATTTAACAACCGTAACTACATTTCTTCAGCCCTGAGAAAAGACACAAAATATGCAGACATGATTTTTATCATTAAAGATGGTGCTGAAGTAACTGCTCACAAAACAATACTTTCTCTTTTTAGTGAAGCATTGCAAGAGAATGAAGTTAGAAAGTGTACACTATGTAAAATCCCATGATTAATACAGTATCATAAACCTATTAAACATACATATCAGTTGTTTTAATTCGTTTTAACCTGTTATCATAGGTTTATGTATAAGACATAATTATAACAATGAATGATACGGACTTTTTTGGAGTTTCTCCTCTGATACTTGTATAATTTGTTTTAATTTGTTATCAGCTGTTATCAGCTGTTATATTCCATCTGGTTCAACTGGGAAAAACATATTATACTGGATGATACATTTCTCTGCTCTTGCGTATAATTTGTTTACATTAGGTTACATGTTGTTGACACAACGTGTTGACACTATCTTGTTGACATAGACATATTGATTGTTTTAATAAAAGCGGGTATTGATAAATTAAGTTTTGACATTTGAAAGTTGTAATGAATTAATATAAATGATTTTTCAAAATAAGTCACCAGAAGTGATTAGTGTAGCAGTTGAAAGATATATTTTAGTTTTAGCATTTATAATGTGTTTGCAAAAACACGGGCGCCCATTTAGATTATTAGCGGTTTTATTATAATATTTGATTGCTTCAATGCGCTCCATGAAAGAAAAATGTGGGAACTTTATTAATTGAAATCAATATGTCTTAATATTAAAGCTACATTGTTAACGGAGACAACGTAAGACTGCGACATTTTAACCCATTTCAAAATTCGGTGTTTTTATTTTCCATAACGGCTACTATCTAGTATTTGTGTGCCATACAGTAGTTATCTCAGCTTTCGGGAATCACGGTTATCGTGATTTAAGGGCAGTTATAAAAAAGGCGATGGTTCAAAATTGGACAATTTTCAAAACTGCTCAACTTCACGTTTTTAAAGAATGCTTGCCCGGCGAGGGGTTTGCTATTGCGAGAGAACAAAAACTTTGAATTAGGATTTTTCCTAATACTTAATCATTAATACTTACTAGTAATACTTAATCATTAATCAACAACTTTTTAAACCGTCTCTCTGATTAAATATCATGCCAATTAATACCACGATTGTGTTGACAGGATTAAATGCGATATCTATGGAATAATAATTTAATGAACTCAATAGTCTAAATGATAAATAAGTTCATAATTTAGTCCCCGGGATTTAATCTTGGCTGACTAGTCTTGTATCATCAGAGTTGGATTACAAAATCAAATATTTATAATTGTTTTTATGTCTCTGATCCAACCACTAAAGTTTAAAAGGAAGACTATAGTGTCCCGTGAATTCATTATAATTATCTTAGACAATAGTGAAGCGGTACAATCGTGGGAGTGTTAATTAATCGGAATGCAAGTTTGATACATACAAAATAACTCCTTTGGATCAAATATTTAAATTTTACTAGAGTGCGGGGAGTGGAAACGAGTCTCCACTCAAGCACTAAATATCAAAAGAAAGATTTCAGTACCCCTTAACTTCGCTCCCGGACTTCACTATTCACCACCTCCCCTCCCCCTTCCCCAATTATCTTTTATGACCCCAGATTGTTCGTTTCTGTGCCCCCCCCCATGTCCATGGTAAGTAAGTAATCTATGTGTATATCGGCTCCCTCCCAATGGTGGGCAAAACCAGATGCAGGCATAGACATTGACAAGGTGAAGGGATTAAAAATAAAAATAGTTTTGTTTTAGTTCAACGAAGCGGTTTAAGGAATTAGAGGCAGAAATAATTCCTAGATGACCTGTCTTGAACGGGTTTTCAGTTTTGCTCTTTTTTGTCACACTTAAATTGTGTGCTTTATTTATTTGGAATTTGAAAGGGTGAATTCACATCCAATAAAGCTTATTGTATCATTTATTAACAGATGCATCGAGGTAGAGCCACCGTTCAAAAGACATAAACATAACTCTGTCGAGTGCAATAAATCCACGCATATCCATTTGTAGCAATTATACGGCCAGACCAGAGGAACACAGTTACCCTTCGCATTCTTACATTGTCCGCATGTCAACCATACGGCGACCGCACGGTCAGCATGCCTTTCAAATTCTAAGATCATATTAATTACCATTGATTCCTCGTTTTCAATCCCTGGTTTTCAAAGCTCGTTAGATGTTAATTAATGAATGGAGATTTTTAAATGTGCTTTCATTAAAAAGCCAGGAAAAATAAACTATTTTTCATTTCCAAGGAATCACATAATCCGTCAAAATTCATTTAATTTAAAATGTATCTAATATATTACATGTATACAATCAGACAGACTGGCTATTCTAATCCGTTATGAAAAGCCATTTGTTTTTTCCTCTACAGGATGTTTCTGCGGAAGTTAATTTGTTTATCTTAGTGTTTAGAGGCGATGTCCTTTGATGCTTTCGTGAAATAAATGAACTCTGTGATGGACTACAATTGTATATTTTCTACAGGAACAGTTACCCGAAGTAGACACTGTTACATTATTTTCATTTTAGGTCTCTCTAATTAGTTGCATTGCAGAAGTCTAATATTATTCTCTCCTGTGCCGAAGGTACTTATACCCGTAGCCAAGGGGGGAGGGGGTGTTCAAGGAGTCCAACTCAACAGAATTCGAATTGAATACAAAATAAATTCATAACATATAAATATATAAATACATAATGTCTATCCAAGTCTTCTTGCATTTTCTGAACTTCAAATGCGCCTTTTGATGTGTGATAACAAAATACTAAATAAATACTTAATGTTACTCCAGCTTGTTTTTATAGTAATTTGGCAATTAAACATGCATAAAGAGATAGCAATGTGTGTACTGTGTACAACCCGAATCCTCTCCCGATCAGGTCACGTTTTATTAATATATGTATCTGATGTAATAACTGCCCTGTCAACCCTCACGCATTAGGCGTGATTGTTACGCATTTGCTGGAAAAATAGAAATCACGCATCAATTTAGCGTGTATGATCAAATATCACGCAAATCACGGATTTTGTTGAAATTTTTAAAAATCGTTTTTTGTGAAATGCCGACACGATAAAATACTGAACGGCGAAAAAAGTGAACGCATTCCGTTCGGTCTTTGCACGCGATTGCCGTTTATGTCACACATTTGGTACAAAATATGTGTATATATATTACGCATTTGTTTCGAAAATATTCACACCTACCTATTTGATTGAAATCATTCAAATCAAAGTTGGCATTCGAGAACAAAAATGTGTCCAGTCAAAAATAGATTTCTAATGTTTGATTTTGAGTAGTTGTATTTATTGATCCTTGTTTTTCAATCTACAGATGGTTCACTGAATTTCGAAGTAAACAGAAAATAATACACATTTCCTTGGTTCCCATGATACTGCCTATAACCCAGGCCCGTAGCCAGGATTTGCCAAGGGGCGGGGGCAGTTTTCAAAAATGTTTAGGGGGTTCACATTTGACAATTTTGGTCCAAATATGGCTAAAATCACACGAAAAATGCTCAAAATGGTGAAAAACTGCATGATTTTGAAAGAATCTTTGGCCAGGGGGGTTCGCCCGAACCCCGCGAACCCCTCCCCAGGCTACGGGCCTGCCTATAACCTATAATACTCATTTATTAAAACTAAATATTAATGTATCCGTCTGTCTGATTAGATTTTGTTCCCTGACTCAAACCAGAGACATATAAAACATATATATTTTATATGTCTCTGCTCAAACTAAGTCAACCCCGATTTCAGTTCTTAATTCTTCACTTGAAACGATATAGCCAACATGATACAACATGAATTTGGATTAATTATACATATATAAAGCCTATTGTTATCAAAACCCATAAATCCTCACCATATAAATATAGTTATATTGATGACCAACAACAGATATCAGGGGCGTAGCCAGCTTTCAGTCAGGGGGGAGGGGGTGCGATCGCCAAAAAGTTTTCGGTTTTCAGTCAGGAGGGTACGATTGTGGCCTGAGCAGCATTTTAAAGCTCCTTTCTTCTTCTTTCTCAGGGTTTTATTTTTATTGTTAAGGGGGGGGGGGTGCCTATCACAACCCCCCCCCCCTGGATACGCCCACGGATATTTTGACAACTTCCACGATTACCCCCCCCCCCCTAATCATTTTTGCACCCCCTCTAAATATCAGACCAATCAGGCGATGAGGTATGGATCAGGATACCCTGACTCCCAAGCTGTGCGACTTCTGGCAACCGCTACACCTATATTCCCGGGGGAAATGCTTTTTCCTTTGAAAAATTATCAAATATGGTCGTGTGTGGGCAAACACAGAGGAGGAGGAGAGGGGTGCATGCATTGCGTGCGATCCCTCATCAGTTGTGTACCTTATTTTTGTATGAATTTCTCCCGAACAGTTATGCTAGAGGGGTTATAATATTTATTTCTGTTTTCAAATGAAATAATTTCACCCTTGCCCGATTGGCTTGTAGATAATGCACAAATCAAATAGCATGGAGATCAGATAATTAGATTGATTTGTTTTTCGCAATCAGATGAATTAACTTATTGTTTTCTCTGATCAAAAGGCGGTTTGAAGCTTTTACAGGATTTGTAAATTCGCAATCAGACTGGCTTATTTTAATATTTAGTCAGTGCAAGAGGAGGGGACTATAATGTAGAAAATCGTTTTGATTTCGACACTAACTGAAATAATTTATCACAATAAATTGTTAAATACGGAAACAGAGACCGGTTTAAAAATGAAAAGAGAGGCAAAAAACTCTTCCACCGTTAGAAAAACAAAGACTAAGACAAATACTATATAGCAATTAATCCTTTTGTAATCATTAAATGTTAAATGTAGATTCTTATTATTTCGTTGGACAATGTTCAGACTTCTGACCAAGATTTATTCATTTATGTTTGTATTTAAAAAATAGTATTTCAATCAGACAGACGTTCTAATGAGTTAGAAAAATACATTTGTCCATCACCTCTCAAGAAGTTTTCAAAAGTAATCAAGTCGATTTGTTTATTTTAGTGTTTAGCATTGTTTTTCATAACTTGACGCTTCCATGAACAGAATGACTTTGAAATGAGTATTTATAATTTTAGCTTTTATACGACATGCTTATTGTATATTTCTATATGAACGTTGTAGTTATGTCATGTAACATTGCCCCCCCCCCCAAATTACAGGTATACAACTTTTGGTCGGAATACTTTAACTTGCGATTAAAAGCAATTTTAGACTGTTAGATGATCTCTTATGTAATCTAGGTGATGTTGGTAGACTTCCGCAGTTAAGAAAACAGACTAAGACAAAGAGAACTATATAGCAATTAATCCTTTTGTTATCACTAAATGTTAGATTCTTTATTGGACAATATTTTGACTTCTGTCTCCGATTGTTATGCAGATATGTGTATATAATCATGTGAACAACATCACTGGTGATCCACTCGATTACGCTGGTTACCGAAACGGTTCGTTTTGGTAACAAAATGTCGGAACATCGACGGTACGATTTTTCTTTTTCCTTATTTCACACGTTGTGTGTATCAGTATCATATGTTTAAGAAAATGTACATATTTGCAAACAAACAGTTCAGAAGACAACAGATTTCATTCCTCACTTAAGTTACATAAACGTTTTTTTGGAAAACAGTTAAGATCTGCACTTTTAACCCAAACCGTTTATGTAACTTAAGTGAGGAATTAAATCGACGATTCTGTTGTCTTCTGAGCTATTTTTTCGCAAACATGTACATTTTCTGGAACACATGATGCCGATACACGTTTGTGAGAAAAAACGTCGTTGGGATTCTGCCTACAACGCGTGGAATAAGGAAAAGAGAAAAATCGTACCTTCGACGTTCCGACATTTTGTTACCAAAACGAACCGTTTTGGTAACCAGCGTAATCGAGCGGATCACCAGTGAACATATTACGTGGAAATCCCCATATTCATTCTCATAATGTCTTACAGCTATTTCTCAAATGACATGCATGTAAGCCTAAATAACATGTGGACGTAATATTGCAGAACTGAGCGAAAAGAAAGGTTGAACAAATCAGATTAAGATATTTTATTTTTCAAATGCACAAAGGGCAACAGTTGAAGAGCAAAAATTAAAGGCGTTGTGAAATAGATCGTGCTTTTGTATGATCCCCTTCTATAGTGCCCTACCCTTTGCATTCGTTCGACTTCACTTCTTAAAAGAGAGTTTCGTCTTCTCGTAGTATATAACTAGACTCTGCACGTAGCGTAATAGTGCCCCTATTAGCCATGTACAGGGGCGTAGCCAACTTTCAGTCGGGGGTTGGGGGGCGGGTGCGATTGTCAAAAAAACAATATCGGATTTCAGTCTGAGACAAATGGTCAAACATGAGTTTCAAAAAACTTCTAGAATTACCTTATGTAAATATTTACGTTAGCTTGTTTAATTAAGGTCTGACGTTATGAAAACAAAGTGCCATTAATTTCTGAATCGTATAATACAGTATCATCTGTTTGGTCTCGGTATATTCCAGTTTAATTTGTATTATACCAAAAATGATATGTATAATTTGTATTATACCACTTTGAAACCTGTTATAATAGAAAATGATATGCGTATAATACTGTTTAATCTGATCCTGACTTAAATTATATCAGGTTAAACTGGAATATATTTTGGTTTAATCGGGTATCATTCTCTAATGATATTTGAGTCCGGATCAGATGTTATAATATTGAATGATACTTTCTGTGATATTGGATTAAACAACAAATTAAACATCAATATAAGATGTTATCACAAGTATTAATCATAGGATTTTACATAGTGGTATTAATCCAATACTCAGTGATGCAACACAATGTGGTCTCGATGGTTTCCTTGATTTAGTATATGGCCTTGAAGTGCCAGTGTCAGATGAAAACTTTACCGATATATTACATGTTGCTGAAGTTCTCAAAGCAGATAAAGTGATTTCAACACTTAAATCAATACAACATAAAATATCAGCTCCTGAAATAGATGAAAAATCACAAGTAAAACAGGAAATTGAGAATGTTGGAACTTTCAATAAACAAATGAATAATGAAAATAGCAAAGACACTAGCAAAGACACTAGCAAAGACGTCTGTGATAATGGTATTATAAAACAGGAAAACATGGTTGTGTTAAATGAGCAAGATTATAATGCTGCCTTTCAAGGCTATTGCGCTCATAAAAATGACAAATCCAAAGATGATGATGACACAGTAGATATTAAACCATATGAGGGAAAACCATCTAATAAATTGCAAGATGAAACCATGGAGATTGAGGAATACAAGACAGAGTCCACTCATGTGAATACCAAAGCCAAGGATGATACTAGCGCTGTAGAAATTAAACCAAATTCATATGATACCAGCAGTATAGATGACATATCAAAGGGACATGGAATAAAGATTGAACTCAGGGACAGCAGTGACTCACCAGAAGAGTATGATGATGATGATGATGAATTTGATGAATATATTGTTGAGGAGTTGGATTCTGATTGTGATATTCTTTCTGACGATTCAGAAAGTGAATCCTTCCAAGATGATAAGAAAGACTTAGACTGGACACCAGGCAATGAGTCAGACTTTGAGGAAATGCCTAGCTCCACTCGATCTAGGCCCAAGAAAACCGCAAAATCTGATATTGATCCACCTAATGATGAGCTTTCTCCAGCTGAATCAGGTGACAATGGCAGTAGTATTAGAAGGCGTGACAAAAAGACCACCATTAATGGAAATGTGGAACAATCTAAATCAAAACCTCATAAAACATGGCGTGAAAAATACAGTAAGTTGAATTTTATTCCTTCCTTTTCAGACAAACTGAGCATTGATTTTAGAAGTGATTCTATTTTTGGCATTCTGGGTAATTAACCCATCAAACGAAGTTTGGATGGGTATAGGGAACACCTCCTCAGCTAGAAATGTTGATAAGAAAGGCATGGCAGCCATCCATACCTATAGCTATGTGTGCTATGGGTGAATATTACTGTTTTCAGTTGATCAAGCCATTGGAGAATTCAAATGCCCTAACTGCCAGAGTATTCTAGAGACAAAGTTCAAGCTGAGAGAACATGTGGAGGCCAAGCATGACCAGTTTATGTGCCCATTATGTGACCAGTGCTTCAACACTTACGAGGAAAGAGATCTACACAGACAAGCTCATTACAGTAGGTCCTTAACTTAATTATAACCCTTCACAGATGTTAAATGTAGTCCACTACACTCATAGTTTCTTTCACTATCTTCAGAGAAAATACATTTCTTATAATTTGTAATAACTCAAGTTCTGGTACGATTGACAAGTATGTAATATATAATAACATCAAAGAATCAATTAGATATGAATCATTTGAAAAAGGTAAAATCAAATTTTTATACTTTCAGGATTCAACAACACTGATTCGTCAACAGAATTCTATTGCGAAATGTGTGACCTTAAATTTACCTCAAAACATATTTTCCTTCTTCATATGCTACAGAGAGGACATCAGAAAAAAAGAGGTTCTACGAAATTATGTATTCAATGTGAAACCTGGATCCCCTCTAAAGCCTTTAGGGAACATCTTTCTTCTAAACATGACTTCTCGTTAACGCAGTGTCCAATATGTAAGGAACAATTAGCCAGTAGACATGGTAGACAAGCCAGAACACCTAAACTAAACAATTCAGCGACTGAAATGCAGAGACATCTTTATAAAAAACACAAAATACAACATTGTTATAATTGTGTACTTTGTGATTATACATCTTCCACTTTGCAACATTTAAATAATCATATTAAAGATACACATCACCGTTGGAAGATTCGACAATGCAAATTATGCTGTTTCTCCTGTCAAAGTCATGGCCAAATGAAAACCCATATGAGGAAAAACCATAAATTGGGTGCATCATGGGTCTGCATTAAGTGTGGTGACAAATTTGAATCATATAACTTGAAAATGGCACATAAAGCTAGAATGCACCCTACTATTATTCCTTGTGAGTATTGTGGTAAGAAACTTGACCGCAAAAATATGAACCAGCATGTTCGAGTTCATACTGGGATTAAGCCTTACATTTGTGAACATTGTGGAGAGAAATTCGCTCAGAAAAATTCACTCAATTGGCACATGTCTTCGAAACATTCTCACTTGAACAGAGAAAAATACTCTTCCAAAAAACTCAAATCAACTGGAAATGGAAAGCAGAAAAATAGTAAAAATTAAAGATATGAATCAATGATTTTAACCAAATTGTCATTTTGACTGTCCCATTGAAATGACTTTGTCAGTTAAAGACTGGCATGGTATTCAGTTGTTAAAATGTTACAATGTATTTCATACAAATCCTGTATGACCCCCCCCCCTCCATCCTAGAAAGGTCTAATAACCAGTGAGTATTTGTCACTGATATGAATTATTCATGAGACATGTCTGTCTATTCAAACACTTATACTTTGGTACAGGAAATTTCAATTGAGCAATGGTTTAAAAAAGGAATATTGTATATAACGTCATGACTGTTCATTATAAAAACAAGAGGTAATTTTATTCTTCCACAAGCTTCAGTATTGTCTTCATTAACAAGGATCATCAGAACTCAAGAGGTGTGTTACTTGCTTTGCCAGAATATTGTGTAATTGCATTTTTACTATTAAATAGCATATAAAACCGTTTACTTAAATAAAGGTTTTGTAGTTTTGAATACTAGATATAGTATAAGTCTCTTTATCAGATTGTCAACATATAATTAATTTTGAATGGCATGGCCTACTCTGCACATACAGTAATACGTATGAGTACATGTATGTCCAGGTTAGCAGCCATATTGAAAACATTAACCAGTCAGGCTTATTTCCATCACAAAAGGAGGAATATAATAAAAAAAAACAGATCGGCGGACTTGTTTATTAAATGGAATAAGGCTGGAGGAATGAAAATCTCACTATATTCCAACAAAATAATAAAATGGAGATTGCCAGATTCTTGAATTTACACACTTATTGGGATTGGCTTGTGTAAAATATAATGTCAAGGCAATGTGAAGTGAAGTGACAGAATAATAAAAAAAAAGATTCAAATATCACCTATTACTAAAATGACCATGAGCATGACTTTTATCAGCATAAATTCTTCAAACATCAACTTATACCTTCTGTATAAATGGTGTTGGATATAATACTACTCATTGTGTTTGCAAGTAACAATGCCATAATCCAGTATGAATAAACAACATTCAGTAGCTGACACTTTAAGGGCAAAACAAGTTCCAAATATTCACACCAGTGACACTGTAGTGCGATCTATTTGAGTTGATTATATTATAAACAATTTTTCAGCACTTCTTGTGTACATTGTAAAAATGGTTAACTTTTTTATTTTTACTATGAAATTGTATGTACCGGAGTTTCTCGCGAATATGCAACCTGGGATATTATTTTACACAGGGCGATTATTTAAAAGAAGTGAAAATAAACACCCATGGTCCTTTATTAAGAGGGAAACATTTTGCAAGGGGATGGGCGTTTATGAGATTGAAAATAGCTTTTCCAGGAGCTCCTCTGAACTGGCACAGCATTGAAGCTACATGTGTATTGTGTACTGTGTGCCAGGAATGTAATACTTCCATTAATACTAGTTAAAGGCCCCCTCACATATGAGTGAATATTCCCTAACGATAACGTGATTGCGTAGCGCCTAAATAGAACATGAGTCAAAAGCAGAATTTGGTAGATTTTTGGTTTTCTTCATTTATCGCTTCTCCTTTCAACTATATATTTCACGGTTCCCTATACTACCCAATGTAAATCGTTCCGGACTTGTTTTTCACAACCATTTGGACTCATTTCGTAGGAGAATGAGATGAGACATTCACCAGAATGGCTCAAAAGGTAATATAATTCAATCCTTTAGAAAAATACATACACTCACTTCTACCTAAAACATTATTTTTCATACCCACATATCTATTTTGGCGATCATGCCATCAGAGTTCATATTTATCGGCATTAAATAACAAAAATGCCAGAAATCTGCTCTAAATCTGCATTAGTTCATTTTATAACGTGGAACAATATTCACTACATTAAAGATCGTGTTAATATTTTAACTATCTGAACCTTCAAATTGCCATAAATGACCGTAATGTAAAGTGGAGTTAACGACGACGAATGGTCCTTATTCTGACACGGACTTGCCTTATAATCACTCGGTGAACGATTGCGAATTGTACACAACGTGATAAAAATAACGATTAGGAATTGTCTTGTAATGGTATTTATACGTTTCGTTGCTTGATGAATTGTCTATGCTTTTGGAAAAAATGCATTTAGTATGATTATGTTTTAGAGGAGCTTTTGTACTAAATATTCACACATTTTGTAATTTCAGTTCCCAGAAACAAGTGCCACGAATGTACTTTTAAAAGTGCAGATTAAAATGTATCCTGTCTTAGGCGACACCTCTCTCGTATTTAAAAGAGTCAAAACACTAGTCAAAACCCGAGTTAAAACCTATATAGTTTAGGCCATTTAAAAGAGGTGACGCTGAGCTTTTTGTAGGTATTTAGTGCATTGGAAGTTAAGGGGAAAGTCTAAAAAAGAATCCGAAAAAACCTGCATGCTGTGAGGCAAATTATGAATTATAACAAATAATAATAAATCAAATGGTTTATAATCTAGGGGCAAACCAGTAGATTTTTAACAGTAAATAACGATTAAAACTAATTATTTCTTCTCAACTTTCACTAAACTTCTTGCTTAGCATTAATATGAGCATGGAAGTCAGTTTAAAACCAATAAGGGCGTTTTAAAGTCTTATTTGAGGCAAACGTATGCTCACATTTTTCATGGGCAAATTAAAAATAGCGACGAGTGAAGTCTTTAAAAAAGCGAAGAGGCAAAACACAAGAAAAAGTAAAAAAATCAACTTTTCTCTCTACATGCATTCTTGCCCCTTGAAAGTATCAAGTAAAGAACACTGTATCTGTAATGATTCCCCAATTCAACCTTGACAAGTATCTCTTAATACGTTTAATTAATGATGATAATTTAGATAGTATCACTCAGACAACTTCTTCCACTGTCCTCATCCACTCTGATGATTTGTTGGAAATCTATAAAGTTTATGTTCCACACTTAAAAATGGTTCATTGTGTTCTACAAGTCAGAAACGTTCCAATAACACAAGTCAGAAACGTTCCAATAACAAGTCAACATCAATAACTGGAATATTTAGGTCACGTCCAAATGGTTAAATCTAAAAAATATTCTTTGACAACTCATTTAGACCATTTTAAATCATGATTTTCGTTCACAATATGGCTACTTTCATTATGAATCGGTGTATTCATTGGATACAAGGCAGGCTGGTGATTATCAGGCAAAATAGGTGAAAACACTGGCAGAATCGCTCACATCCCGAAATAACAAGACTATAGCAAACGGTTCGTACAAAAAAGGCGTTTGCGGGTGCCTGAAGATAGGGTATATAGTATGGTAAGTTATCTAATTGTATTATATTTTACATAAAGTCAAGTGAAAGCAATTTCATAACCAAATTTACAAACCTACCTCTACTTCTTTCCATAAATCAAGTCTAAATGGTTATGAAAAACAAGTCCGGGACGATTTACGTTGGGTAGTATCGAACACCGAGTATTTGGGGCGTATTAAACGTGCGTAGATTCCGATTTTAAATATCATCACACAAGAGCTTAATACATGTAATACATGCACGGAATCAGCGACGATAAAATCCCATGAAATGAAAACAATTTTACCGTTGTCAGGCTATTCCGGTGTGTGTATATGTGAATCACTATTTCAAATCATAAAAACGTACGCAAAATATTTCGCCATCTACAAGGTGACCGGAAAAAAAGGAGACCATTGAAGTAATCAATTTCTCCTAAACTAGACAAGTGCCATCAATGAAATTTTGCATACACTGGAACAGTTATATGGAAATTTGTTACTGAAGGTGTCAATACAAGCATTCAACTGGTTCAGGAGCTATGATCATTTACATAACATGCTCCAAATAGGCACAATTGAGACCAACGCAGAGTTGGATTCATATGGCAAACTACCCTTACATGTTCTGCCCTCTATGGCATTATTATGGCATTACATATAGCAGTGATTGCCTTCTTTAGGTCAACAATAGTCTGAGGATTGTTTTGGTATAGAAGTGTCTTTCAAATATCCATACAAAAAGAAATCAGCAGGATTCAAGTCTAGGCTGTAATGGCAATGAAGGGTTATCTGACATGTGGTTCATCATCCTGTTGCCAAAGTGCTGATTTACCCAATCTTAAGAGTCACTTTAGGTATTGGGCATAGTGCCATGTTACTAAAACCACTATATGGCACAATTAAATCCCATATGGAAACCAAGGGCTGCCCAAAACCTCCTTAGGATGATACTGTAACTGAGTGGGACCACTGAGTCAGAAGCCATAGGTCAGATAAGCTTCGTCTCCATACACCTCAAATTTGAATCCACCTGATTTCTTTTTGTGGGGCAATTTGAAAGACAATGTGTACCAAAACAATCCTGAGACAATTGCTGACCTAAAGGTGGCAATAAATGCTAAATGTAATGCCATAACAAGGTCGGAATATGTAAGGGTATTTGCCAAATGTATCCAGCTCTGCGTTGGTCTCAATTGCGCCTATTTGGAGCATGTTATGTAAATGATCATAGCTCCTGAACCAGTTGACTGCTTGTATTGACACTTTCAGGAACAAATTTCCATAGAACTGTCCTGATGTATGCAAAATTTCATTGATGTCACTAGTCTATTTTAGGAGATATTGCCTATTTCAATGGTCTCCTTTTTTTCCGGTCACCCTATTACGCAAGGTCGATGCATTACATTTAATTTAACGTTTTGAACGTTTGATTCAATTTTGGTATGAAGAGGATTAAAGGGGACGATGTAAGCTTTCTAAAATGAAAATATTTTGTCACTTATTCTACACTTTCTCAGTTTCTAATGTCTGATAGCAATTTGATACTACCATAATATCGTCACTTGACTAAAACCGAGCCAAGGATGACATTTTTCCGGGCTGCAAAGAAAATCAAAATGTGTTTTTTCGTCAATTTTTCCGGGTTGTTCAATTTTATTCCGTGCTGTCAAAAATGATTTTCGTTGTTTTACTGATGATTTTTTCCGGGTTTACAATTTTTAACCGGGTAAGAGGGTAAAATTTAGTGAGAAGTAGAAGATATCATTTTATAAGAACGTTTTCTTGAATGTGTTTGTTTTATTATCCCAACGAAGTTCTGTCGGTAGGGATACATTGTACATGTAGTGAAGCCCTCCATCCGTCCGGAAGATAACTCGAAAACTATCTAGCACCGTTTCTCCATATTTGGTAGCATGGTGAAATGAATATTGGTGAATAATTTGCCGATTTATCGTTACAATTATTATTACAGCATATTGTATTAGGTTTGATCTCTTAGAATCATGGAAACACGATGCCCATGTCAAGCTGCGCGCCTACTAGGCACGCAGTTTGAAACTCTGACAAACTGCGCGCATATTCCAAAATGTAAGACGGGGAGGACACGACTCCCAAAAAGAGCCAGAATAGTAGAATACGAGAAATACAAGGTTAGCTATAGTCTCGTTATAAAGGTATTACCATTCTATGAAGATGAACTTAATTTCCTCATAGTACTCAATGTTGTTCCCGATGTAAACCTAGTTATCTCAATATAAGGGTCTTAAGTAACTTCTGTGTTCAAAATTTACAGTGTAAAGTTATGTCTATGTCTTTTTCTCGTCATTTGCCGTTTATTCAGCCAGTGTGTCTGTGTATGCTAGAATATATAGGATCACTCCATCTAATTAAAGCAGCATAGTCTGTGTTCAAAACGATAATACGCCATAAACGGTGATTTTAACATATTTCTTGTCAAACTGCGCGCCTATATTCACATGTATTTCATACTTGAGTGGGTTTGGGGTAGATATTACCCGGGAATCTGAGGAGCGGGCATGATATATTGTACAGGGTGTCAAAAAACAACGGCACCCCCCTCTGCAGCAAAAAGTCCTTAATGTTACATATCGTGTCATACCTCATTTGAAAGATAATTTAATTCTGGATTTACTCATCAAATTTCATTAAATAAAACTTTATATTAAAAAAGCTACATTGTTTCAAAGTTTGCTACTTCGGTACTTTATTTGCTGCTCTGTTCACTGATTAAAGGTCAAATCTTAAGGAAGTGGAATATGAAAGAATTAGCCCAGATTTCAACTACACTGAACATATGGGCTCAGTTCTGAAAAACAGGGTATAGGAATTGATGGAAAAAGAGCCTCTTGAAAAAAGATACAGGAAGGATGTAATTCTGAAGAATGTGAGGAAAGTGCTAAGAGGATTATGCAATGCTACACCTTTATCTGAATTTTTATTGAAATCATATCCATCCAGATAACCTGCTGTTCGAGTAGCAACTGGTGGTCATACCAACTACTAAGAATCAGCTGTAAATCTGTAAAATTATATGATACAAGGGGCGATCCATATATTCTGATAAAAATGCTCTCATTTTGTGATTTTTTCACATATCCTTTTCATTTTTTCAGAACATGTACATTATGTAATTACACATACGATGCTAAAATATTTTAGCTGTATCTTAAATTAATTTTGAAATAAGGTTGCCATGGTAACCTGTATTTAGGGTAGGCAGGTCAGTTAAATTATAACGTCTAAAATAGATAAATATGTTAATTTAATCATTCCTCGGTACCTATTTTAAGCAGATCAAACGCATCTTCCAGTTATTGTCAACTATTCATTGATCTGTTCCATACCCCTGTTGCCCTTGTTTGATAATTTATACAGTGGGATAGCTATCTTTTCATAAGTATACATCTCAATTTATCGTAGCGTTATTCTCTGTCCGCAAGCTCTTCTTGCAACCAGATTGCGGATGATCTTCAACAGTGACCATGCTTTCCTCTTTACAATACTACCTATATGTTCTTTATGCAGATATAACACCTTGCCCATGCACTTTATGAGTCCATGTATTTCTCTGACAGTGTCCTCTTACTTATTCTTGAAAGAAAATCAAATCTAATGGTATTCCTTAATGTATCCGTTAATGTGACACTCTGCATCAGCCACATTAACCTAATCTGACAATTTGATTTTTGGTGTGTCTCATAACATGTAATGTCAATTGGCCCATTCTGTCCTATAATGCTATTGTGATTTGTTGTGATGTTATAGTGAGCACATATAAACATTTGTTTAGCAACAAACAACAAGTAACAATACCAAACTTTTTTAGAAAAAATGCATGATTTCCGCATGCTTTAAAATAATTAAAATAACAAGTAATTTTGATATTTATATGTTATAATTAAATTGACCTGCCTACCCTTAATACAGCTTACCATGGCAGCCTTATCTCATTGATAATTTAAGATACAGCTATAATATTTTAGCATTGTATGTGTAATTACATAATCTACATTTTCTGAAAAAATGAGAGGGATATGTGGAAAAATCACAAAATGAGAGCATTTTTATCAGAATATATGGATCGCCCCTTGTATAAAGCTGATATTTCTCAGGTAACTCCAGAATAACCCAAATGCGAGTAAGTAGTTACCATTTTCACCACCAGGTGGCTGATTCGGGTCAATTAACATGGCAGGTATATAAGAAAGTTCCCTTAAACTTAAATATTATCAATTTAACTGGCTCAATTTTCATATAACCCTTATGTGTCTGATACTTATACTAATGAAAATACGTCCAGTAAAGCAAAATATTATCTGTCCACTAAAAGAAAAGATATTTCATTTTTTGTGGTTTTATAGCATGGGGTCTATGGGGAATCTCCCCGAGCTAGAAATCACATTTTCAAAGAAAATTAATTTTTCAAAGTTGATAAACACTTTTTAAAACCACATTTTTAGATGTAATTTTACATGTAGATTTCAAATATGATATTACTTTGACTGAATTTTTAATTTTTAATGACGTAAATCAAGATTATTTCTACTCGCATCTGGGTTATTAAATTGTCTTTAAAATTAGATATGCCACACCATGTAACATTAAGTACATTTTGCTGTAGAGGGGGGTTGCGATGTTTTTTGACACCCTGTATATGTCCCGCTCTAGGCCAAATGCTGGCAGATATAACATATATCCATCCCGCTCCCGGGAATTTTTTCAAAAGTTTAAAAAAGTTTAAAAAATTTAAATTTCAGAAGTTTAAAATTTTTCAAAAAGTTTAGGCTAAATGTTGACAATTCTATTGTATTGAACTGAAGGAATATTAAGAAAATGTTAAATATAAATTGTGCTTTTACAGTATAGGCCTATCTTGTCATTTGAAAAAGGTGGTAAAGTATATCTACCCCAAACCGACTCAAGTATAAGATACACCCGTTATGTACAGTCGGTTTTGGATACAGTGTTTATCCAGCGGGAAATATGTGTATCTCACGAGATCTCTCATCGCTACACAACTTTGATAATAAGTTTGGTTTTTTCAATGTGCCGCCCTACTGAAATCCCGGGACAAGACAACGCTTTTTCGTTCGGTGTATAGCTAGACGGAAGTCGTTCGAGTTTTTAGAAAAATCAAAAGTTCTAAAAATATAAGAAGAAGTGCATCTTAGCACACTCGAAATATTGATTGAGAAGGTGCCAGGGTTCTCACTAGGCTATTGGACTCCGGAGTCTAGTGTATTTAGACCTGCTTGCTCCAGAGTCTATTAAAATAGCTTTCCCAGGGTCTAAAGTGTTTTTTCCGGAGTCTAGGCCATAAAAAAAATTTACTGGTGAGAATCCTGGGTAATAATAATAATAAAAAATTCCGGATGATCAGGAGCTGGATATGGCCAGATAAAAAAAGCTGGATATGGCCAGATGAAAAAATATTGGGCTCGACCTACGCCTTGCCCAATTGAGTATTTGTTTCTCGAATAGGTATTCTATATCCAACTGTGATCATCCAGTATTTGTATAATATTTGGCTTCTGATGTCACGCTAAACAATATGGCGAAGATAGGAGAAAATAAAAGCTAAAAATGGTACGCTGGTGTGTACTTGGAGGGTGCTCCAAATCGAGAGAAAACAATGGGGTGTCGTTGCATGAGTTCCCAAAGGATCTCTCTATCGCCAAAAAATGGCATAGTTTTGTCTTGAAAACGCGGAAATGGGACATGCCTCCAGATACTGCAATTAGGAGAAAAGTCCAGATTTGTTCGGATCACTTCGAAAGGGATTGCTATGACAGTAGCCATTACAATAAATGGAAGCTAGGTTTTGTCAAGTATGTTGAATGGTTAGACTTTTATGCATGCAAGTTATCGTATAAAATTTAGTTTTAGGTCATTGCTACACTTATTTGAGTGGTGTAAAAACTGGGGAATGAAAAATCGTAGGGTAAATGCTAAGAAGCTGTAGGCTATATTTCTCATTGAAATCGATCAGAGAAACAAACATAACTTATTGATAACATACATTGCTAGAATAAAAAAGCAACTTTATAATTATTTTGGTTGTGAAAAAACGAGTAACAAGTGGGCGTGGCACATTGATAAGGGGGTGTGGCACATCCATAAGCTAGTAGATTTTAACTGGGACCCCAAGTTTCAGATTTTTGAAAACGAATCTAGCAGCCTTTTACCAATTAATGTTCTATCCAAGCCTGATGTTTAGAATGAGGCTCGGTGGATTTAGTCTGTATCCAACACATATTCAGTGATATGAATTTTGAGAACAACAGGTACATGAACTGTACATGCATTGGACACAGTCTGAAGTCTCAATTTAAATTTTAGGTTCCTGATGTTTGACAAAAATAGGCCTACATATCCAGTACCTACAATATTGCCACCCAAACCAGAATCCCTTGATCAAAAGGCCAAAAGACAAAGTGTTGAGAATAGGAGGTTGAAAACAACCAGGAAGTTGAAAATTGCAAGAGTAAGTATTACAGTGTGTTTAGTAAAGTAGAAACCATTAGGTGAAGTGACTCCACGTATCGATTGATATTTTTTGTACATGTAAGGGGCAATAATCAAGGGTTTCATTAGCAGCAGGCAACAGGTGATTTTCACCAGTTGTCTTCACAAAATCGCCTGTTGTTTTTAGGGACTTTTAAACTTTTCCATTGTTAAATTCATGATTTCCATTAATTTTGCCTGTTTTTTTCATTTATTTAGCCTGTTGTGAGAAATTATAGTAAAACCCCTGATAATGTTCAATAAAACATAGTCTGAGAGTGAGACTCAATGGAATGCTTACAATGTGCACACATTTTACTCACGTCGAGAGCTACCATGTTAGATTTTGAAAGTATAGCTCTCCATCGTGAGGATCTCCCAGCTGAAGAATTGTGACATCTAAATTTGATCAGCGCCAGTCAGCGGCTTGCTGTTTGTCTCAAACTGTAGCCTACATATGGGCTCATATGTGTCTACTAGTACTTTCCCTGTGCATGTAGGATCGCGGATGTGCTTCTATGGCGATCAGGAGTTCTAATCGTTTTTTTCCAATATGGCGGTTAAACGGAAATACTATCGACACATGCGCAATTTGGGAAATGTCAAGCCGCCATATTGAATATACCTGGCCAAAACTTTTGACACGACCAATAAAATGAAGTCCTGATCGATACATAGGGCAGTGAGACGTTCTATAGTTGAGATGAATGAAAGATGGCGATGTAGGATACATTTTCAGGCATATAATGTGCAACATGAGTCAGCTGAATTCCCTGAAATTTTCTTTGAAGTCAGGATTCTTAAGCTGTTGATTCTAGCGATAGAGAGCTATACTTTCAAAATCTAAGTAGCTCTCAACGGGAGTAACACACATTATATTTTAGTCTCATTTCTTATTATGCAAATCGTTTATTCACAAAACTTGAATAATCTATTGGTTACAATTACAAATGCATAATCAAGTTTATTATCATTGTCTGATCTTTTGGTTTGAGATAAAAATATGTTTGGTATTATTCCATTGATTTTAAAATTTGCCTCCAATGTGTTGTTTGACATGTTTAATTGCCTAGCATCTTAAAATATTATTTTATTATTTTCAGATGAAAGCAGAGTTCACTTCACCTAGGCCAAGCAGTGGCACCTCCACTGTTCAAAAAGATGACAATGAAAATCCTTCTGAGGTGTCCTTTGAAGACCCAAGTAAAGTTTCAAGTGTGTCATCTGTGGACTCAAGTACATCAGACTCAGGTGTTATGCAGGACAGTGAGGACACAGATGTAGTTTCATCAGTTGAGTCACCTATTAAGCTAGAACTTGGTACTGATGTACCACCTGTCTTATCAGCTGAGTCTGCTTCATGCAACCAATTGCAAACTGCACAGTGCAAACCCTGTACTACATGCGAGGCTTCCACACAAACCAGTGAGACGTGTAAGTGTATAGTTGCAAATAATTATAAATAAGGAATTTTATATAATAACATTCAAATTTCACTTTTAAATGTCTGGTTTTTTGGTTCAGTTCTGAAATATAAGATTTATAAATACTGTGTGCAAGGATACTTGTAAAATAATTCAAAAATAAGTGTGAGAGCCAATTTTTCGATAGGAAATAGTGAGGCCACATGTGTTAGATATAAATGTCCACATATCTTTTGACAAAACAAGAAATCGTATACGTGTATATGTTATCACTTCACTTTGTCAATATACATGTACATGTATGTATGTACATGTATGTATGTGCATCTGTTATCAGTCTTCTGGATTATATACTCTACATGTCAAAATCATGTGGTAACATAGATCATGTGTAATGTCTTGCATTGATAATATCTTTCAGGGCCTACACTGTTAACAAGATATGGATCTCCAAAAGATTTAGAGGCACATGGTCCATTGCCAAAATTACCACCTACTACCAAGGATTCATTGGGAAACATCGTCAGTGTTAAGGAAGCCAAAGAGAAATATGAGTCACCACCACGTTTTATTCAGCATCCATCAGATGATGATGGAGAAGATGAAGAGGATGATGACCCTGATTATAAGCCAATTAACTCAAGTGGAAGCACAAGCCCAAATGAATACCCAATAAGGTACATCATGGATATATATTCTTTATATTTTTAGCTTTTTAGAGCCAATTTCATGATGTGAATTGAAAATAAAATAAGATGGAGTGTCTTTCAGTTTTATTTCGGAGTAGATAATAAGTCAGTTAATGTACATGTAATTGCTTATGGACTTGTCTGAAGTTTATCCGGGCAATAAATAAAATACCGATATGATAAGTCTATGCCTTAAAGATGTAGATCGTAGGACCTCTGTTCAAGAAAGAATTTTCAATATGGCTGCTCAGTTTTCATACAAAATGTAATCTTTGATAACACAGATACTAGTCGACGGATTTGGTTTAAATTTTATATGCTAATGCCTAGAGGCAAAGGAGTTTTTTTCGAGATGGTTACTGAATTTCAATAATCTTATATATTCAAATACAGGGTGTCCAAAACAGGACTGTAAGAAAGTTGAATAATTCGGTCAATTTTGCCATATTCTGCCTTGAAATTTTAGAATTATTTAGTTCATTCAATGTGAATTTTGGTGTGAAAGTTTGATCATAATCTGGCTATTGTGTCAAAAACTATAGTACCTTAAAAACATCCTCTAAGTGGGCAAATTTTATATGCTGATACCTTGGGACAAAGTAGTTTTGCTCAAGAAGAAGTTTCAAGATGGCAGATGAATTTCAAGTCAACATGCATGCATGCATAATAAAGCTCAATGTAATATAGATTAACTTTTATGTGGCACCCTCTATATTGGCAAAATAACTGGCTTTAACTAAGAAAACTCCTGGGAACATGTTTAGGGGTCTTTTGATAAAACAATTTTACAAAATCATGTCTATGTAAATTGGAGATGAAAAATAACAAAAATTGATTGCAACATGTTAGCTAAAATGATCTATTATGTTTATTTCTTCAGGAAGCAGAGTTTGGAACTGCAAAAGTCTGGAAAACATGCTGTAAGATTTAGTGACATTCCATCAATGTTGAGAAAAGACACAAAATTAGCAGACATTATTTTCATCATTAAAGATGGTGCTGAAGTAACTGCTCACAAAACAATACTTTCTCTATTTAGTAAAGCATTGCAAGAGAATGATGTTAGAAAGTGTTTTAATCCAATACTCAGTGATGCAACACAATGTGGTCTCGATGGTTTCCTTGATTTAATATATGGCCTTGGAGTGACACTTTCACATGAAAACTTTGATGATATAATGTATGTTGCTGAGGTTCTCAAAGCAGATAAAGTGATTGCCACACTTAAATCAATACAACATAGAATAGCTACCCCTGAAATAGATGAAAGAACTAGTACTAAAGAAGAAAACGATGATTTTAATGTTAAACGGGAAATTGTGAATGATGAAACTATAAATGAGCAAATGGATAAAAATGCTCTTGAAACTACTGAAGACTTGTGTAATAATGGTATTATAGAACATAAAACAATGGATGTGATAAATCAGGAAAAAGATGCTGCCTTTGAAGCCTATGGTGCATGTGAAACATCATACGTGGAAACTGAGGGCAAATTTGATCTTGTGAAACTGAAAAATGAAAATTTCGGAGCTAAAGATGATTATGAAAATGTAACTATTGAACAAAATGAGGAAAAATCGCCCAATGAATTGCAAGATGAAACCATGGAGATTCAGAAATATGAAGCGGAGTCCACACATGTGAATACCAAAGCCAAGGATGATACCAGTGCTGTAGAAATTAAACCAATTTTATATGATACCAGCAATAAAGGCAACATATCAAAAGGACATGAACTAAAGACTGAAGTCATTGATTGCAGTGACTCACCAGAGGAGTTCGATGACGAATATGATGATGAATATGATGAGTATAATGTTGAGGAGGATGATTCTGATAGTGATATTCTATCTACTGATTCAGGGAGTGACTACACCTTCCAAGATGATAAAAAGGACATAGATTGGACACCAGACTTTAAGGAACCGCTTAGCTCTATTCAAACTAAGAGCAAGAAAATAGCTGAAACAGCAGATGTTATTTCATCTAATGATGATACTTCTTCAGATGATTCAGGTGACAATGACAGAAGCACTCGAAGGCATGCCAAAAAGACTACAACCAAAACAACAACCAATGGAAATGAGAGACAATCTGAATCAAGGCCTCATAAAACGTGGCGTGAAAAATACAGTAAGTTTCATATTGCCTGTTGTTCATTTATACTAAAGGAAAATATTTGGTAAATTAAATCAAAATTTTCAAGGTTACTATTAAATTAATATAATGTATTGTTCTCTCGGTAATTTTCGCACGCTAACTGTATGACAAATTCATGGAGATTATAGCCGCAAAATTTCAAAAAACTGAAAATTAGCGAAATATAATAGCCGCGAAATTTCAAAATGCCAAAAACGCGAAATATAATATCATCAAATATTAGTGGGAGTACAGTATATACTTTCTATACAGGTACTGCTATAGTACATCAGGGTAGATTTTATCGAAGTTTAAACTAAGACCCTGTTATAAAACTAAGACCCCCCCACATAATAAAACTAAGACCCTGTTATAAAACTAAGACCCCCCACGTAATAAAACTAAGACCCTGTTATAAAACTAAGACCCCCCACGTTATAAAACTAAGACCCTGTTATAAAACTAAGACCCCCCACGTAATAAAACTAAGACCCTGTTATAAAACTAAGACCCTGTTATAAAACTAAGACCCCCTACGTTATAAAACTAAGACCCTGTTATAAAACTAAGACCCCCAACGTAATAAAACTAAGACCCTGTTATAAAACTAAGACCCCCCACGTAATAAAACTAAGACCCTGTTATAAAACTAAGACCCCCCACGTAATAAAACTAAGACCCTGTTATAAAACTAAGACCCCCCACGTTATAAAACTAAGACCTCCCACGTTATAAAACTAAGACCCTGTTATAAGAATCAGTCACCGTGCCTTGCTCTGCTCGCCACAAGGTAGTCTTGCCTCTGGGCCTTGTGTTCCCCAGTAACATACAGATTCTACAAAAGATAGTCTTGCTTCTGGTCCTTGTGTTCCCTTCTAATATACAGATTCTCCCCACTAACATAAAGATTCTACAAAAGGTAGTCTTGCTTCTGGTCCTTGTGTTCCCTTCTCACATACAGAATCTACACATGGTAGTCTTGCCTCTGGCCCTTGTTTACCCTAGTAACATACACATATGGTAGTCTTGCCACTGACCCTTGTTTTCCCTAGTAACATACACATATACATAAGGTAGTCTTGCCTCTGACCCTTGTTTTCCCTAGTAACATACACATATACATAATTTTAAAACAGCGGGAAATTAATTTAAACATTATTGTTTTATAAAGAATTAAAAAGACCCAATACATCCAGTACTCATTAATACATTCAGAGTTATGCTGTAAACATATAAAAGTCAAAAAAGAGTATGATACTCTGGCGCCATTTTCAATAGCTTTTACTACTAGCGTTATTGGACTTCAAACAGAAATGAAGGTTACCCGCAAATGATACAGGGTGTTAAAAAAAAACGCAACCCAAAGAAATCGCTATATCTTGAAAATACTGGTTCAATTATGTTAATATTCTCAGGAAATAAAGAAGAGACTGTGTATGTATAGCTCCTGTAAATGGTTAGTTGTAAAACATGATGCCTTGGACACCTGCTCAAAAGACGTTGTACTAGGGAAATACGAAAAATGCAGTCAGGTGTGACTCAGACCTCAAAAAAATTAAATAACTTTCTAACCATAGTGTTTTGGCTCTTCAAACTTGTCAAAAATCATCTTCATTCACTGTATGGTAAATCTGTGGAGTAAAATCAAAATCACTTCAGGGACTTTACAGTCATGGTTGAAATGCTTTCAACTTGCAGTCAAACCCTGGTTCAGGGAGACTTAAGAAGGCATTTTGACCATGACTGTGAATTCTCTGGAGTGATTTTGATGAAACTCCACAAATTCACCACACATTAAATGAGGATGATTTGTGCCAAATCTGAAGTGCCAAAACACCATGAAAGATAGAAAGATATTTGGTTTTATTGCTGTGGCAGTCACCTCTGACTGCATTTTCATATTTTTCTAGAACAATTGTCATTTGAGCAGGTGTCCAAGACAACAAGTTTTACAACTTACTGACAACAGGAGCTATACATACACAGTCTCTTCTTTCTTTTCCTGAAAAAATGAACATAATTAAATTAGTTTTTTCCAAGATATAGTGATTTTCCATTCGTGTTTTTCGTATTTTGCTAGTACAACTGTCTTTCGAGCAAGTGTCCAAGACATCATGTTTTACAACTAACTAACAACAGGGGCTATACATACACAGTCTCTTCTTTCTTTCCTGAAAATATGAACATAATTGGATGAGTATTTTCCAAGATATAGCGATTTCCTTGGGTTGCATTTTTTTGAACACCCTGTATATCCATTGCATGGAGTAAGCAATTTTCTTTGATATAATGAAACATATGCGTTAAAAAATGAAATGTGAAGTATTCTTGTGTTTTTATGAAAAATAGAATCCTCCGTCAAAGCGGACAAATCTTTCGATACCAGCCTGTGTTAGTAACTAACTTACGAGTATGAAGTTTGGACAGAGTTTTTGCTGTACAATTTAATCCTTTTCAAGCATAAAATCACTGGGGGAGCACAGGGCCGTGGGTCCTTTTTACATACATACTATTGGCTATGTGTGAATATTTCTGTTTTTAGTTGATCAAGCCATTGGAGAATTCAAATGCCCTAACTGCCAGAATATTCTAGAGACAAAGTTCAAGGTGAGAGAACATGTGGAGGCCAAGCATGACCAGTTCATGTGCCCTTTATGTGACCAGTGCTTCAGCACCAATGGGGAAAGAGATCTACACAGACAAGCTCATTATAGTAAGTCCTAGTTTAATGTGTCCCTTCACAAAAGCTAAATGTAATCTACACTTTTCTTTCACCATGCATTTCAGAAAAAATACATTTCTTACAGTGGTCTCCCTAGCATGAAATCAAATGGGCGCAGCACCAACCTGAGATTTTGATAATACGCTTGGACCCACCTGGGAATCCATTTGCACCCACTTGTAAATGAGAAAAATAATTCATACCAAGTTTGGTCTGAATTGTGAAAATGAAAAATTTGCACCCATTTGAGAAAAAAAAAACTGTGGAGATCATTGTCTTATGATTTCTAGTATTGACATCACCACTTAAAATAAAAAATTCAAGCATCTTACTTATTTCAAGTTTGGGGTAGATATCACCTGGGAATATATACCATATTTGAGGAGCGGGCAGGATATATTTTATATGTCCCGCTCCAGGCCAAATGCAGGCAGATATAATATATCTATCCCGCTCAAGGGAATTTTTCAATATAACTGTTGTTTTTTTCGTGCAGTGTGAATGATGCATTGTGTCTGGAAGATGAACACTTCTTGAACATTATATTCATGAACAGTTCTTGTTTTACAATTACTAAATAGTATAGTAGGAACAAGGGGTTCCCATGCACCCATAAGGTGTGAATAAGTTACATACATTTTTGTAATTCCTAGGGTGTCTATTTAATGAATTCATTTGTTAACATTGCCAACTAATGTCCCATAGTACTTTTATGACGGCATTCAGTTACCATGGTTACGCATCTTTAGACATCTTACCTTGGTATCTTAAATCATTTGTAGCTCTGTCATTATTTGGTCTATAGAAATGATATTGGTACCAAATTAAACCTCGTTAAATTTCCAATAAATTTCTGATATTCAATTATGCAAATTATCTAATTTGCATAAATTATGACGTCATCAATCTATTTTTGGTTCAGAATTTCCAACTATAGCAACGAATCTATTAGAACTGAGGCCGTATGGCAAAATTTCTGAAAGGTTTTGTCCTTTATTCTATTAGTAGAAGGTATAAGCAACATAAAAGTGAAAACAGATTCAAAATTGAATCAGTATTACGAAAGTTATGTAACTTTCGAGGCAGCTATCGTGAATGTCATTATTTGACAATAATATACATTACATCTTACCTTGGAGTCTTGAATCAATGTAGCTTCGCCATTATTTGGTCTATAGAGATGATATTGGTATCTGATTAAACCTTACTAAATTTACTATATGGTTACAATATTCAGTTATGCAAATTAGCTAATTTGCATTAATTGTGACGTCATCAATCCATTTTGGTTCAGAATATCCTAGTACAGCAACATATCTATTAGAACTGAGGCCGTATGACAGAATGTGTGCATAGTTTTGTCCCTTATTTGATGAGTAGAAGATATAAGCAACATTAAAGAGACAACAAATCTTCAAAATTCGATCAGAATTAAGAAAATTATCCAGCTTTGGAGGCAGCTACTGTGAACGTCATTGTTTGACAATTATAAAAAGAATATTAAATTAACAAAAAAAGTAACAACCATAGTTGTTTCAATCTTATTGAGTAAAAATGTGCATGTATAGAACTGAACTAATAAGTATGTGGAAAGGTTACATGCATTTTGACTATCATTCACAGGGGTCAAAACGGTTATCTCGACCCTGTATATTAAAGATCCAATCTTATAATTTACCATGCACTTTCAATGATTCATATAAATAGTATACATATAGTCTGATTTTCATCATATTCTTCATATTCTTGATTCTTAAAGCATCTGAAGTATAAAGCATGATTAGAAGTGAAGATGATTCATCATATGGTTTATGTAATATTTCTAACATTTCAGATGCTATGGTAACATCACTTGATAATGAGGTTTTTACATTTCACGTTCTTAATGAGTTAAAAGGAAGTTATTCTCCCTTTGCTTTAGAGATAAATAGTCGCATGAATTTGTTTAGAAACAACTGACAGCCTCCATATTTGAAGATTTTGGTGAAACCTGGCAAAATACATTAATTATTAGGTTCCAGGAGCCCCCAGAAGCTATATGATGGCCCCCAGTGGCCCCAAGAATTTATACAGGGGCCCCAAGTGGCCCCCAGAAGCTATACTGTGCTCCCCAGAAGCTATATGTTGGCCCCCAGAAGCTGAATAGTGGCCCCCCAGGAGCTATACGGTGGCTCCCAGAAGCTATACAGGAAACCTTGTGGCCCCCAGGAGCTATACGGTGGCGCCCAGAAGCTATACAGGGGCCCCAAGTGGCCCCAAAAAGCTATATGGTGGCCCCCACAAGCTATACGGGGGACCCCAGAAGCTATACTATGGCCCCCAGAAGCTATACAAGGGCCCCCAGAAACTATACTATGGTCCCCAGAAGCTTTATGGTGGCCTCCAGTGGCCCTCGGAAGCTACATGATGGCCTCCAGAAGCTAATTAGTGGCCCCCAGGAGCTATACGGTGGCTCCCAGAAGCTATACAGGGGACCCCAGTGGCCCCAAGAAGCTAAACGATGGCCCCCAGAAGCTATACAGGAGCCCCAAAAAGCTACATGATGGCCCCCAGAATCTATATGATGGCTCCAAATGGCTCCCAGAAGATGTGAAGGGCCCCCAGTAGCCCCTAGAAGCTATACAGTGGCTCCCAGTGGCCCTCATAGGCTATATGATGGCCCCCAGAAGCTAAATAGTGACCCTCAGGAGCTGTATGGTGGTTCCCAGAAGCTACAAAATGGCCCCCAGAATCTATATGGTGGCCCCCAATGGCTCCCAGAATCTATATGGTGGCCCCCAATGGCTCCCAGAAGCTATAAAGGGCCCCCCAGTAGCCCCTAGAAGCTATACGGTGGCCCCCAGTGGCCCCGAAAGCTATATAGTGGCCCCCAGAAGCTATACAGGGGCCCACAGTGGCTCTCAGAAGCTATACGATGGCCCCCAGAAGCTATGCAAGGGCCTGCAAAAACTGTACTGTAGCCCCCAGAAGCTATACAGGGGCCCCCAGTGGCTCCCAGAAGCTATATGATGGCCCCCAGAAGCTATGCAAGGGCCCGCAGAAACTATACGGTAGCCCCCATAAGCTATACAATGGCCTCCAGAAGCTATACAGTGTCCCCCAATGGGCCACCTTATAGCTTTGGGGGCCACCGTATAACTTCTAGGGGCTACTGGGGGCCCTGTATAGCTTCTGGGAGCCATTGGGGGCCATCATATAGATTCTTGGGGCCATCGTGTAGCTTCTGGGGGCTGCTGTATAGCTTCTGGGGGCCATCGTATAGCTTCTTCGGGCCACTGGGGTTCCCTGTATAGCTTCTGGGTGCCACCGTATAGCTCCTGGGGGCCACTAATTAGCTTCTGGGGGCCATCATATAGCTTCTGAGGGCCACTGGGGGCCACCATATAGCTTCTGGAGACCACAATATAGTTTCTGGGGGCCCTTGTATAGCTTCTGGGGGCCATCGTATACCTTCTGGGGGCCACTTGGGGCCCCTGTATAGATTCTTGGGGCCACTGGGGGCCATCATATAGCTTCTGGGGGCTTCTGGAACATAATAATTAATGTATTTTGCCAGGTTTCACCAAAATCTTCAAATATGGGGGCTGTCAGGAGGAGGTTAAATTAAGTTATAATTTTTTTAAACAAATTCATGTGACTATTTTTCTCTAACGCAAAGGGAGAATAACTTTCTTTTAACTCATTAAGAACGTGAAATGTAAACACCTCATTATCAAGTGATGTTACCATTATAGCATCTGAAATGTTAGAAATATTACATAAACCATATGATGAATCATCTTCACTTCTAATCATGCTTTATACGTCAGATGCTTTAAGAATCAAGAATATGAAGAATATGATGAAAATCAGACTAATTGTATACTATTTATATGAATCATTGAAAGTGCATGGTAAATTATAAAATTGGATCTTTAATATACAGGGTCGAGATAACCGTTTTGACCCCTGTGAATGATAGTCAAAATACATGTAACATTTCCAGATACTTATTAGTTCAGTTCAATACATGCACATTTTTACTCAATAAGATTGAAACAACTATGGTTGTTACTTTTTTTGTTAATTTAATATTCTTTTCAATTTAATTGTCAAACAATGACGTTCACAGTAGCTGCCTCCAAAGCTGGATAATTTTGTTAATTCTGATCCAATTTTGAAGATTTGTTGTCTCTTTAATGTTGCTTATATCTTCCACTCATCAAATAAGGGACAAAACTATGCACACATTCTGTCATAAGGCCTCAGTTCTAATAGATATGTTGCTATACTAGGATATTCTGAACCAAAAATGGATTGATGACGTCACAATTAATGCAAATTAGCTAATTTGCATAACTGAATATTGTAACCATATAGTAAATTTAATAAGGTTTAATCAGATACCAATATCATCTCTATAGACCAAATAATGGCGAAGCTACATTGATTCAAGACTCCAAGGTAAGACGTAATGTATATTATTGTCAAATAATGACATTCACGATAGCTGCCTCGAAAGTTACATAACTTTCGTAATACTGATTCAATTTTGAATCTGTTTTCACTTTTATGTTGCTTATACCTTCTACTAATAGAAAAAAGGACAAAACCTTTCAGAAGATTTTGCCATACGGCCTCAGTTCTAATAGATACGTTGCTATAGTTGGAAATTCTGAACCAAAAATAGATTGATGACGTCATAATTTATGCAAATTAGATAATTTGCATAATTGAATATCAGAAATTTATTGGAAATTTAACGAGGTTCAATTTGGTACCAATATCATTTCTATAGACCAAATAATGACAGAGCTACAAATGATTTAAGATACCAAGGTAAGATGTCTAAAGATGCGTAACCATAGTAACTGAATGCCGCCATAAAAGTACTATGGGACATTAGTTGGCAATGTTAACAAATGAATTCATTAAATAGACACCCTAGGGATTACAAAAATGTATGTAACTTATTCACACCTTATGGGTGCATGGGAACCCCTTGTTCCTACTATACTAAAAGTTTAAATGTTACAATTTCATTGTATTAAACTAAAAGGAATATAACGAAAATAGTAAATATAAATTGTGCTTTTACAGTATAGGCCTATCTTGTCATTTGAAAAAGGTGGAAAAAGTTATATCTACACCAAACCAACTCAAGTATGAGATATACCAGTTATGTAAGGTCGGTTTTGGATACAGGGTATATCCCTCGGGAAATATTTAAATCTCCCCTTGGTCCCTTTGGTCCCTCGGGGAGATATAGAGATTATCCTATATGAGGTTCGAAAATCAGATAGCATTTTGGGGGTGTATACCCTATATCCAAAACCTCTCGGTACATAACTCTTATATATGTTATTTATTTGTCTGATATCTGCTTAAATATGGTTTGTATACTATTCTAGTATTTGTGCTGATTGTTAAATAAAAAACAGTTAAATTGGAGAATATGTCAAAGTTTGGTCATGCCCCAGAAAGTAATCAAACTGCAATATACATATAGTACAGTACAATACAGTACAGTACAGTATACTAGTATAGTACAGTACAGTACAGAATAGTGCTATTATATCGCTTTAAGGCTTATTGTACCCTTGCAATCAATGTATACTTTCAGGATTCAAGAACAGTGATTCTTCTGAAGGAGAATTCTTCTGTGATATATGTGATGTAAAATTTACCTCAAAACTTATTTTCCTTCTGCATATGCTACAAAAAGGACACAGGAAGACAAGAGGTTCTACAAGGTTATGTATACAATGCAAAACCTGGATACCCAATACAGATTTTAAGAAGCATCTTTCATCCAAACATGACTTCTCAGTTACACAGTGTTCCATATGTAAGGAAAAATTAGCCAGTAGAAATGCAGAAACTGAAATGCAGAAACATCTTAATCACAAACACAAAATACGTAATTATAATTGTGTATTTTGCGATCATTCATCTTTCACTTTGCGTTATTTGAAGAGTCATATTATAAACACACATCACCGTTGGAAGATTCGCCGATGCAAATTATGCACCTTCACATGTGGAGCTCGGCACCAAATGCAGGCTCATATTAGGGAAAACCATAAATTGGTTACATCATGGGTCTGCAATAAGTGTGGTGACACATTTGCAGCATATAACTTGAAAATGGCACATAAAGCTAGAATGCACCCTACTTTGATTCCTTGTGAGTATTGTGGTAAGAAATTTGACCGCAAAAATATGGACCAGCATGTTCGAGTACATACTGGGCATAAGCCTTACATCTGTGAACATTGTGGAGAGAAATTCGCACAGAGAAATTCACTCAATTGGCACATGTCATCGAAACATTCTCACTTAGATGAAGAAAAAAATATTTCTAAAAAACTCAAATCAACTGGAAAGAAGAAAAAGAGTAAAAATTAGTTTTGAAAGGCTTAAGTTGATATTTTGCTGTTTCTAGCTTGTTCGACTGAAGAAGAAGCTAGGAGAGATTGAAATCAATAGTTTTAACTGATGTTGACTGTCTCTTCAAAATTAATAGTAATCTTTATTTTAGTTGAAATAGGGTGTATTACAATTAGTTTTGAATGTATACTTGCAATACATAATGAATTGGCATATCTATTTTATTGTTTTATTATTCCTTAAATGTCAAAGTTATAGTTCCTTTTGTTAAATGTTATTGTATCCTACCCATAAAGATATCGTTCATGATGTTTGTACATGAAAATCATTTATTTAAAGGGCAATGAAGCCATCAAGCACAGTTTTATGGCATTGATCATTTGTTTGATAATTAACAAAATGTATACAATATATATATATGTTTATTCACCTAATGTAAGCCTGCAAATATTATGGTTCGATTATATTTTCATTTTGCTCTCAGTTGATAGCAAGATAGTTATCACAAATACGGCAAATGTGAGGTAACAATGTCCGGACATACATGTATCAGACATATCGTATTGTTGATTTGCATAGTAACGGATCATATAGGTAATATATTTCAATTTACGAATATATAGTAATAGAAAAGTGGATAACAAAGAACAAAAGTATTTGTGTTTAATTGACTCAAAATGAAAATCGTCGTTACAGTGAGCCTAAGGGATCGCCTAGGCGGCTATCCGTCGGTCTGCCCGTCCGTTTGTGTGTCTGGGACATAACTCAAATACCGGTGGACGGATTTTTTCAAATTGTATGGGCTTATATGCCTTGTGGGTGTAGGACCTCTGCCCATGAAGGAATTTTCATTATGGCCACTCAATTTAGAAATGGGCGCAATTTCTCGTAATAATTGTAATCTTCGATAAATCAAACCGGGAAATTTTATATGCTGATGCCTAGGGACAAAGAAGCCTGTTTGTGGAAGAATTTTCATGGCTGAATTTCGGAAATGGCCACCATTTTTCATGAAAAGAACGTTATCTTTGACATGTTTTATACACGCCCGGTGATCGTACAAAATGGATGGAGGGGGATTAGACGCTTTCTGCAAGAACTTCTTTCAAGAGAAAATTTACAACTGAATTGCCAAAGGAATAGGCGCAGTGCAGGGCAAAATATGTTAGGTCATCTAGTTTTATTTTTGAACTGATACCCTTCTAAGATATGAGATCTATTAAAAAAGGCGCATCATCACCAACGTGCAAAAGTCAATGTTTTTGCTATAAATCGGGCAACAATGGTCTCGATACGACCTGTAAAAAATAGGTAGAAGGGGCGTTATTATCACAATACTAATGGAATTGCTCACTTTTTAAAGTCAGTTTCCATGCGTTATACAAAAATAATCGTTACAAAACTAATATCGGATGGAGGGCGAGTGGATGGAAGGGGAGTAACGTGTATATAAGACATGATAAGACATGCTACTTGAATTCATTCTTATGACTCCAAATTTTCCAATTTTCCATTCTCCAGAGATATAATATCCAGTTTCTTACTGGGGTACTGACACACTACCCTACCACGTGACCACATTTAAAAATGATACAGGGTACGGTTAAGTTGCAAATGGAGCGGGTATTCTCTATATTTGTCCATTGGGCTTTTCTGGTAATAATACGTTGCAAACTGCTCGATGAATCTATACAATGTATAGTAGAACACTTAGAATATGTGTAAAATCTAGTATACATTCAGAACTATGGAAATAAACAAATAGACGGGTAGGAAGGAGGGGTTCCCATGCACCCGAAAGATGTATTTTTTTAATATACATTTTTGTAATCCTAAAGGTCCATACTAAAGATTTCTGCATGTTCCCAGAATGAAATATTGTCCCATGGTATCCATCTTGAATTTTTAAAAGAGTCGATGTTAATTATCTCAAAGTGCACTAACTTCCACAGTTTTGAAAATTGAAAGCTGTAAGTGGTACCAAAATGAAGCTATTATAGTATCCCATATTATAAGATGTAATAATTATGCAAATAGTCTCATTTGCATAAAATGTGACATCATTAATCGTAATTTTTGCCTCTTTACAACGGTATCACACAATACCTTGCTGCCTGGGTAACCAGTCTTAGTCATCCAAGAACATAAATGAATTTAAATATATAGGTACATTAATTTTGAACATATTTGCAATTGAAAGTTTTGGAAAAATATTGTCAGACACTAAGTAATAACACTTCACATGAGTATGTTACTGAAAAGGGGCGTGGCACTTCTTGAGAAAGAGTTGATTTTAATCATTTCAAAGTACAATAACTTCCAAAGTTTTGAGAATTGAAAGCTGTAAGTGGTACCAAAATGGAGCTAATATAATATACTTATAAAAAATGCAATAATTATGCAAATTTTCCCATAATATGTGACAACCTCTATCTTTTTTGACTTTTTTCAATGGTAACGACCAATATCTCTCCCTCTGGGTAACAGTCTTGGTTATTCATGAGCATTTATGATTTTAAATATATAGGTACATTAATTTTGAACATATTTGCAAATGAAATTTTGGAAAAACTTTGTAAGAAATTAAGTCTTGACACTTCACACGATTATGTAACTGAAAGGGGGGGGGAGGTTGGCACTTCTTGTTCAAAATGTTAACTTCTAAACACTAATGTCAACTTCAGAGGCTGAAGCTGCTCTAGCAGAGTCATGTAGATAGAGCCCAATGTTGCTTATTGGTGAAATGTTGGCCAAATTTAGCAGCTTGTGTGCACTGCTTACAAGTACATGAAGTGTTCATTATGATAGTGTAATTCCAATATGACAGCACAATACAAGTCAGGCTGTTTTATTGTCACATATGCAAAAGTCGATCTGATGAGACATTCATGCAAGTCCAGTTTCTTTCCATTCATTCGTTCTTTCCATAGCTAATAGAACCCATCTGGTACCCACTACTAAACTGGTCATACATGTAACTCTGTATGGTAGGTGTTTTGCACCTTCATTTGCTTGTGGAACCTTACACTGCATCATCCCTGCCTTGAGCAGTAGGTTCATGGATGTTGAAGAGAACTACTGGTACAGTGCAGTCTGCCACTATTCATTTCTCTGAACTCTGCTAATTAGTGGTATAATTGCCAAAAGTATTGTGCAACGTTAAGGTGTCTGTGTGTCCCATTGTCAGATTGACTACAGTACTAGTATCTACAACTATTTTTGATGTTATGAGTATTGGCTATCAATTTTTTCAATTGTTCTTCAACATGTATTGTAATGACTTCAGTATGAATGAAATGTACCTTGGTGTTCTGGTCCTGGATTGTGATATTGGTTCTCGATTGGAGGGGGAGGGGGATGTTAGACATTGTTTCTTTTCACGTTAGATCATGGTTTTGGGATATATAGGGTCTACTTTTCTTATAACAGATTTACACTTACAGTTTGCTTTTCTTGTTGGGTTTCTCTAAAGTTTTTAGTCACCCTTCCCTTTGGCATTTGTGCTTATATATTCTGTTGGTTTTGGTACGTGAAAGTGAACTTGTACCTCTAGTATCAGTTGGTGAGGGACACTAGGTAGTCCTTAGGTCCAGCCAAACTACTGATTCTCTTTCTTGGCTTCCTTCACAAGTTGGCTTATTGGTGCTATATGCACCCTTGATGTCTTGGGATACCACTTTTCTGAATGCTTGGCAGGCCAGTAGGAAATAACTGCGAGGCTTGATCACAATGGCCCAGAAGATCTTTCCCTCAGCATCCAATAATGATGTCTACCTGAACTGGTTCAGTCCCTCAAAGGACAAGGTGCAATTATTGGCAAATATCCCTATGATCAAAATGAATCATTCGTAGGTGTAACATGAAGAATAAAATGTCATATAATACTTTGGAAAATATTAAAGTGCTCGGACACACATAAGCTGAGATAGGGATCATTTCGTTCAGTAAGGTTGTATTGACTTACATGGGGCTGGCACCATTGACTTAACATGAGGATATCAGCAGATCCCAATAGAGGCCATTGGTTTCCATTGATTATCACAGAAATACCAAAAATACACTATGACCTGAATCGATTGCAAACTTAATAATTTCACAATACGACACAAAGGGTTTATCTCATTAAATGTGCAAATATGAAGTTTGCAATCGATTCAGGTCATACTTCAAATTAAAAGATTGTACATTTTTTCATCATTTTTTTCCCTACAAAATGGCTATAGAAAAATGCTCCAAAAACAACTTTTACACTTATCAAATATCATACAATTTTGTAAAACCAAAGATTATACTATTATATTTCATTATGTAGTAACATATTTGGATAAGATGCAGGGATGCGTAGGATGTAAATGGATTTTGACAGACACAAAAATACTTCCTAGTTTGGAATCTATGCCTCTACACTTCATGATTGAATCATATAAGTGGCCTATACATCAATACAGTGCTGAATATAGGTCAACAAGATACTAGTGTGCATATAAATGTAATAATTGAAGCAGAATACTCATTTTGAAAAATCAGATGAATTATTTTTTTCCCATGGGGATATCCCAATGGAGGGTGTATAAGGTCCTTTTAGCTCCTTTGGAATAAAGCACCTTTCCGCTGAAGCCCAAGTCCTTGCTAGATTTTCTTGTTCTGGATGCTTGTTAGCAATCACCATAGATGTATTAACAGCTTACCGCAGTTCTTGTACACCCTGTATGTCACAACTGTTGGACCTGGGGCTGAGCCTTCTTGATGATTGTTCTTACCTCATCAAGCTTGAAATTTGACTAGTCAAACGGTTTTGATGATGAATCTGGTGGGATGTCAATTGGAAAATTATCCAATGGCATCTCTCGATCTGGGTCACTCTGTGCTGCCAAAGTATTTGCTTCTGCTTGATCCTTCGTACATGCCATATGGGCACTCTTTGGTTCCCTAACAAGTTTGATGTGAGCCTATAGAGATTTTCAAAGAATGTCTTTCTGGTCCTACGCTTCTCTTTTCCTGAGTGTTTCTATCTTTGGAAGAAGAATCTTTGGATGACTAAGATAAAGTAATCTCTTAAGAAGCATCTGTTGGAGCTCTCTGATCTTTTCACTAGATAATTCCTTCACTCCTTGTCCTCGCATCTGGGATGGGAATTGTTCTAACTTGGACAAGAGGTAGCATAGTGAAGAGGCTGGGCTCTGCCTCCCACTTCTATTTGGTGCATAACTGCATACCACCCTCTTGTCTTGATAGGTCTTGGATTTTTAAGCTGATGAGATATTTTAGTCGGTCTTCAGGGTTCTCACTAGGCTTTTAGGCACCGGAGATGTCTTAAAACCCTCTTGCTCCAGAGTCTAATAGCTCTTCCGGAGTCTAAAGTGTTTTTTCCGGAGTCTAATCTTACATTTTTGTCACATTATTTGTGGTAAAACTCTTGATAAAATTCATAAAACTGGATACAAACAAGGAATAGGAAGTCAGAAACCTTTTAGAAATAAATATTGAGATTAACATAGCAAGATAATCTTAAGAAGTATGTTGAAAAGTATACTTATAGGATCAGAAATGGGGGAGAAGTAGTCACAATACCGCTAAAAATCCGGGTCTAAAAATTTCCTGGTGAGAACCCTCGTCTTCTGAAGGTACTGTGAGCTCATTGAAGATGATGGTCCTACTGTGTTTTGACATCAGCACTGAGTTTCTGGAAGAGGTCAGTTGAGAGTCCAGTCGGATGTCTTGGATAAAACATTGGACTGAGGTAGAGGCTTAATACATATTGAGTTAATTATATAGCTTTAACAACTAAATACTATGGGTACCCATTTCAATTCATTGCCTATCCTAAAATGATATGGGGATATGTGGTCATTCATATCTGTTTAGTACTTAGTCCAAAAGCGATACAGATTATAATATCTTTGGCTGAAATTTAAATGTCTGCCAAACAGACCAACAAGAACTCCTGAACAAGCTAGGATTAAAGGACATCACTTGGCTACTTTCTAAAAGTCAATAGCTATATTTTACACCCGGGGGGTTCACTGTATATAAACCTTGACAGGGGGTACCTCTTTTAACATTTGGTATGGCAATGGATCCAAATTTTAGGATCTGGAATGGGAGTGTCCCAAAATTATGACTTTTGAGATATGACAATGGTCGGATTTTTCTACTTCATGGTAGTGTTGTCGCGATGTGCCATAATCGTACATCGATGCATCGGCAATTTTCAGTAGTAAACATTGATGCACATCGCGATGTACATCGAGAAAAAGTCCGAGAAAAATGCACTGAAATACCGAACGCTAATGCATTAAAATACCGAACAAAACAAATTAATAAGAGTACGCTAGTACATCCGGGAACTTCTAGTAACGGTGAAATGAAAGTAAATTAAATTGTTTGAGATTAATGGTTCATTTCGACTAACTAAATCAGTTTTAAAGCGAAAGAATATCAGAAAACATCAGAAAATGAAATAAGACATGAGAAAGGTAAGCGATTTGGGTCAAAATAAGATAAGGGTGATTTTTAGCAAATGAATTTTTTTTAAAAAACATCGATGTTTTGTTTCAGACATCGATGCATCGCCAGAAACAGCTTTGGCGATGTACATCGCGATGTATCGATTAATCGCGACAACACTACTTCATGGTACAAGAATGGTTATGGAGAATATGTTACCTCTCACTTGTAGTATGGGATTGGTCTAGTTTCTACAAATGTCCTTAAAGGGTTCCGATTAGCATCCCGTATAAAAACAATATGGCGGCTCCAGGCGAATCAACTGGATCAGTCCATTTTTAAGAAATAAGGGGAGTTCTGTAAAATCCAGTTTATTGAAATTGTCTTTGAGATAAAGTAATCCGTTTATAATGATTTTGAAAACGTTATCCAAAGAGTGATTGCGTTCAAAGAATACATGTACAACAGACAATTATTAGAGACCGTTTGTCTTTCTTTGTTTCATTTGTAGGATATTTCATATGCCAAGCTTTGTGCAATTACGTTATGGGGAAATTTAGATGCCAATTTTTCCTTATTATATACACAAATAGAAGATCCTGAAAATTCACCCATAAATGTGGAATTGATTTGTCAAAATAAAAATCACCCTTTTATAAATGTGTGACGATCTGTAATATACTTATGTTATATAACAGTTAGAGGTGTTGACACAACGACCTCGAACCTGTGAACCCTTGAGTATTATTCCGGGATCGGGCCTTTTATACTAAACGGTGAGCAACACCAGAAACGAGCGTTCGATTTGCTAAACGATATGCGTCACCCTTTAATTTGAGGTTGTTTTTGGATCATTTTCCTAAAAGTTCTGCCTTCTAGGGGCTTTAGACATTTTGCATTCTCTTGGTCTTATATTTTTGGGATATTTGGAATGGCATTAGTCCTATATTTGGACATTTGGTATAGCATTGGTCTTATATTTTTTGATATTTGGTATGGCTTTTGGGCGTTATTTGGTTGGTATGGGAACACATTGAAATTCGACAGATGATATCTGAGGGCTCAGCCTAGGACCCCTACAGAATTGTGTATTCAGTGAACCCCTGGGTATTTTACAGATGATACATTGACTATATAATAGCATTACAGATTTTCAACAAGATCCACGCCCCTTTTCAGAACAATAATCATTTGAAAGGTCATACCTTAATTTCTGACAATGTTTTTCTAAAACTTTCAATGCAAATATGTTCAAACTTTCAATTGCAAATATGTTCAAAATGAATGTATTATGAGAGACCAAGACTGGTCACTCAGAGGAAAAGGCAATATGCATTACCGTTGAAAAGGGGCAAAAATAATGATTGATGATGTCATATTTTATGTATATATGGTAATTTACATTATTATCGTATCTTATAATGTAGGATATTGTGATACCTTCAGTTTGGTACCATTAACAGCTTTCAACTCTCAAAACTGTGGAAGTTATTGTACTTTGAAATGATTAACATCAATTCTCTCACAAGAAGTGCCACGCCCCTTTTCAGTAACATAATCATGTGTCTGACAATGTTTTTTCAAAACTTTCAATTGCATATATGTTCAAAATTAATGTACCTATATATTTAAATTCATTTATGTTCATGAATGACTAAGACTGATCACTCAGGCAAAAAGGTATAATGCCATGTAAAGAGGCAAGAATTATGATTGATGATGTCACATTTTATGCAAATGAGACAGTTTGCATAATTATTGCATCTGATAATATAGGATACTATAATAGCTTCATTTTGGTACCACTTACAGCTTTCAATTCTCAAAACGGTGGAAGTTATTGTACTTTGAGATAATTAACATCAACTTTTTCAAAAATTCAAGATGGCCGACAAGATGGCCGCCAATGAATACCATGGGACAATATTTCATTCTGGGAACATGCAAAAATCTTTAGTATGGACCTTTAGGATTACAAAAATGTACATTAAAAAAATACATCTTTCGGGTGCACGGGGACCATACCTTCCTACTAGACTAAAACGTCCTCCATTTGCAACTTCCCTGTAGCCTGTACTTCTTTTAAAGGAATACAGGATACAGTATGGGGGTATAGTAGTGTGACTGAGTTTAGTTTTTTCAAATACACAAGTTTTTGTGAATTTGTTCCATCGTAAAGACATATAAATCCCCCCTCCATCCAATATTATTAATTTATTTCGATTATTTTTGTAGTAATAGAAATCAAGATAAGTAAAAGAGACCGACTTGGGCTATGGCATTATTTTTGCTTCTTTAATCATTAATTTCAAATATATTCGATATATGAAACATTTATATTCACTAAATCATTTTTCCCTTCGGTAAAAACGTTTATATGTTTGTTACAGCAAATTAAGTTTTCAAAATAGCCAATCACTTAATACAATGTGCATTAAATTACATATTTCATTCGTTAAATGATATTTTTGCGTAAATTGTTATGGTATTCCTTAAGAGTAACACATTATATGCACAATATTGAATTTCTATTTGAACCCTACCGAAATAAGTTTGCCTATATTTACCAAATGGTTTATTTTCTATGACATAGTTAATCCATTTTACCGAAAGCTAATTTGCTATTTACCGAATGCAATAAAGTAATATTCGATAATTTGTGTTGTTGTTCGATATTTTGTCACGTGACTTCGAGATTTGCAAAATGGCCACGCAGCTATTCTACATCGTACAAATATATCACGTGACTGAAAGTCTCGTAAATTATCGAAAAATAACGAAATTTATCGAATGTGGCATTCGGTATTTACCTAATATAAATACCGAATGTACAAATAATTAATTGAATTATACGTGCGTTAAGGAAAACAAATTGATTCGCTGCATCACACAAATACATGTATAAATATCAAATGTGAATGTCAATACAAAGAACAAGTGAAACTATTTAGCGAATATAAATTGTATAGATTATTACATTTGATAGAATAAAAAAAAATTCGATAGATTGGGTAAAGGTTTGGTAAATTGTTTGTTTTATTTGGTATTTATGGAATATAAATGCACCGAATAAAGAAGCAGTTTAAACACCATATTGCGCGAGGCTACTTTGGCACTTGTACATACATATTTTTGATGCCGTGAGTATACAAATGTTGATTTTTAGATGGCAAATCCAAAGATTATGACTCAAGGCTCGCCGGCGGTGACGAAAATTATGGTCGTGTTGAGGTGTATTACAATGGATCGTGGGGTCGGGTCTGTAACCGGGAATGGGATATTACAGATGCGAGGGTTGTGTGTAAACAACTTGGATTTGATCCGGCCGAAACCACAATACCAGCACTGAGAGGTTAATGAATTATATCACAGCCATATGCCCAAGTCTTCAAATTTAGGTCAAGGAGAATTGACTCCCAGAGTGCAACATCGATAGTCTGTCCCGTCTTTGGGCATGTCATGATACAAAGTTCTAATTCAAACAGCCGCCATTTCAACATTTGAATCGTGAATTTTGGTTTTATTTGCTTACAAAAACTCACAAGAAATGATGAGATATTGGTTCAAATCTTTTGAACTGTTTAATCTTGAATTTAGTCTGGAATTGTCGCATCCTCCGACCACTTCGTTTGTTTTCCACAATCTAAAGTGGTCGTAGGATTCGATAAATCTGGAACTGGAAACGTCATGTCTTTGTATCAGTAAGCCAGACTTCCGGTAGACAAATTTGATATGATTTTTTTATGGATTTTTTCTTTTCTCGATTATACAATGTTATATCACCATAATCACTGGTCCTAACCCAAGTAAAAAAAGGGAAAATATTAACAATAAATAGCTAATACTCTGTTAATTCTCAACTATTATCACACAAATAAGAGAGAATTACATTGATAAATAGGTGTCAATAAAAATGTGTTTTTACCATTCAATGCTCATGTAGAATATTGACTGATTATTAAATGAAAATTACATTGTAACAACAAGGTAAAATTAGAAATCTAATATTCATGTATTGATAATCTTCCAATAATATGCTATTTGTTAACAGAATATTACCTAAATAGTGTACATATTTATTGTGGTAATATTCTTTTATTTGCATGATGATTTTGCATGATGAGAATTAACAGAGTATAACCTATTTATTAGCTATTTAAAACCTATTTGTTGCATTACTCTTATCCAAGATGCATTTTGGTCAACCTGAGAATTTTCTCTAGGCTACTACACAAACCAAATATTATGTAAAATTACAAAGCATTAACATGACAAAATGTCACTACTTCTAGCACACGTTGTCAATATGAGTTGACGATTACAATTTGAAGTCAAAGTCATAGTCTAACCAACTCACTTTGAACTCAGATCGATTAAATGTAAAGTATAGGAGTTTTTGCCAAAAAAATTTTCTGGGAGAAGAAAATATTTTCATAGTTGATCGCCACTTTTTACACAGTTGACCTTTGTTAGTATCTCCACCATTTCTAACCTTGAGTTAATGGATCAATTGAGCTCAAACAAGTTCAAGGTGACTATCCAGGCCCCGTATATCGCGAGTAAGTTCCCGCTGACATCGCGAGCAATGAGCTCATGTTAGAAGCGGGGCCTTGAGAGATTTGGTAAAATAGAGTTATAGTTGAAGAACGCTGTTGCCATGCAATCGAGATGGCCATTGTACGATAATATAAAGTTGTACTGAGTTTCACTTACTGAAGTTTCATGGAACATTCTATATTTCAATTTTATCTTATCTCTCAAATTAGACCCGCTTCTAACATGAGCTCATTGCTCGCGATGTCAGCGGGGCCTGAATAAACCCCGTCAATCAATATTCGCTTAAATGTGAGATCGCGTTTCCAAAGGAAAAATTAAAAATACAAAATATACGTCCAAGTCGATGGAATATAACTTTAATTAAAGATGATCATCTTCGCTGGTATAATTTTCACTTGCCGGATGAGAACTATCCCCAATATGGAAAAGGATCTGGAAATTTCACCTTAAACAGGGTCGATTGTAACGGTACAGAAGATCACATCTCACATTGCAAACATTATCCTTTGGGTCTAGACTGTAAAGAAAGGGTAAGTACTTCTAGTATCTCACAGTTATGATCAATATAAAGTAATTACCGTAGGTCCGAGATATCACGAGTTGTCAGTACCGTCAGTTGTCACCGTCGAAAGAAAACAGGGGCGGATCTGGGTACCAACAAGGAGGGCCCAAATCTCAGGTTAGAGAAAAAATTGTTGGCCCCTAAAACCCCAAAGGGGTCCCAAATTTTGAAATTTTGAGGCCCATTATCTTCAAAATGTGGCCTGAAATTAAACGGCCCTTTAAGTAATGACCAAAAAGGCCCACTTTTTTGGCCCCCAGCCCCCCCCCCCCTCAGATCCGCCAGTGCTATACTATAGCTAGCACATAAATAAAATTGACATATAAAGGACAAGTCTATTATATCAATCACCTCATTACATTTGGAATATTCATTCTTTAATATATCTTTCCAATGCTCCAACAGGACTATAAAGATGCAATTGCCACGTGCAAGACGATCGTCCGCCTCAGATGGAAAAATACCAAATCGTCAGGAAGGTTGGAAATCAAGATACAGGGCAAATGGAGATCTGTTTGTTATTCTTCCACGCTAGACCAGAGAGCCGCTAAATATTTTTGTAATCTGTTGGGTATCAAATCTAAAAATCCGTTTGTATTTGGTAATAGCTATTTGGGATCAATCCAAAAGGAAATGGAAACATGGTGGGTTTCTTGGGCCTGTGATGATGGCTACTGTAGCATTGATAGGCCTCATATTACCAAAAGCCGGAAAACTTACCTACCTTGCACAACAAACCAATATGCCAGTCTGAAGTGCTTTAATAAACCTAAAGGTAAGATGCAGACAACTTGAAACATCTAGATTTTATCAAATCATGATACTTGTATTAATCAATGTTGTTCAAGGTCCCCTTGGTTGAAATTGTTTCGATTTAAGAATATTTTAGCTTACCATTCTTGTCATGGTTATTTTCTAAAAAAAACATCGTAAGTCTTTAAGTGCAAACCATATATTAGGAAAACTTAAATTACTTCATCATTTGCGGGTAACCTTCACTTCTGTTAAAGTCCACTAACGCTAGAGTAAAGCTATTGAAAGCGGCGCCAGAGTATCATACTCTCAAATGTCACTGGTCAGTATCAAGCGAAGGTAACGGCCGTAGCCTTTGCATCAAAGATGGCGATCGGTAAGTGTCAATTTCGATAATTTAGTATTCATCGAATTAAACTACTTTATAGTCGACGTAATGCTTTGATATTTGAACTAAATCAGGCACATATGACATGGAAACTCTGGAATATGATATATATGATAATTTGTTCATTTACCATGCGTAGGTATCACAGTTCAACGATATCTTCCACCGCCAACACATGATATATGAACAAATTATCATACTCCAGAGTTTCCATGTCATTAAGCCTGATTTGGTTCAAATATCAAAGCATAACGTCAACTATAAAGTAGTTTAATTTGATGAAAACTAAAAAAAATATGCAATCGACAATTAGCACCCACCATCTAAGTTACGAAGGTTACGGCCGTTACCTTCGCTTGATACAGACCAGTGAAATGTAGCATTTCTTTTTATATTTTCAATGGCACGATAATAAATTTTTACTCATGTTTTCAGCATAAATCTAATGAGATCTAGATGTAGTGGATCTTTTCATTAATTTTTTATAAAAATTAAAGAATGTTTACATGTTTTGTCCGCTAAATATGCATGACGGTACAGTTTCACATCCACTTTGGGTTTTATATGCAGATTTTTGAATTTGCCACTTGGAAGGTATTTAAGAGGTATGACATTTCGCGGTGCATTGGCATAAGCTTGATGTTTTGCCGTGCAAAGAGATCGTCAGATGGAAGAGTCTGGCTTTAACAAACCTATTACATATTACAGTATTATCACAGGCTGGTATCGAAAGATTTGTCCGCTGTAACGGAGCATGCTATTTTTCATTCTAAGAATACTTCACGATTTATTTTTTACATTTTTTGTCCGCTGTGACGGAGCAGTTTCACAGTTCACATTTGCAACTGCTCCATCACAGCAGACAAAAAATGTAAACATTATTTTTTTACAAAAGAATTAAAAAGACCTAATCAATGTCTCAGTATTACCTCCATAGTTCTGCTGAAAACATATGTAAATATTATCGTGCCATTAAAAAGTTAAACAAGAAATGGTACATTTTGGAGTATGATACTCCGGCGCCATTTTCAATAGGTTTTTCTCCTAGCGTTATTGGACTTCAAACAGAAGTGAAAGTTACCCGCTTTTTGCATGGAGTAAGTAATTTTCTTTGGTACAACGAAACGTATGAGTTAAAAATAAATTGTGTGATTTTCTTTATGTTTTTACGAAAAATAACATGCTCCGTCACAGCGGACAAAGCCGATTATACATAAGTTTACAAATGGCTTCTCACATTTTCAGGTGCTATCCCAAAATTATATCTTTCTGAAGGACCACAGCATTCTGGCATTTTGCAAATGAAGAGATTTGGCGTATGGGGCAGTGTATCATTCGCAAGTCAATACTACAGTTTTGGGGAATTGTGGAGAACTAACAGAGCTGCTAAAATTGTTTGTCGACAATTGGGATTTGAAGGAAATGAATTTGCATACGAAACTATTAACAATCCACAAAGACAAAGGCCTACCGCTTTAACTTGGTTTTTTGATGTGTTTTGCTACGGAAATGAGAGCGACATTACAGCGTGTGATCACATAAAATGGGGAGAACCCATTCATGACGAAGTGAATCCGAATCCTGTCTTTGTCACATGTAAGACCCCGCTGCAACTGAGGTATAAGACAAATTCTTACACTGGACAACTCTTTATCTTTTTGGATAGTTGGAGGCGAATGTGTCTAAAAGATTGGAACACACCTACATTGATGGTGGCTTGTAGAAGTCTCGGCTTGGAATGGCGATACCCAGATGTAATAGCTTCAGAATCAGATCCAACTCATTCAAGTGGTGAGAGATGGTATATAGAAGGCAAACGATGTCAGGGTCACGAAGAGACATTATCCCAGTGTGTATCAGCGCCAATTGATTCCTGTGCTTCTGTAACGTTGGATTTGCTAACCTGTCGAAATAAGAAAGGTAAAAAACTTCATTTTGAAAATGACACATTGTAAATCGGGTGAATGGTGCAATTCAACAGTGTATACCTTGGTCTCTGCATCTCGATTGACTATGCCCTATATACGATAGTTCATTATTGCAGAAGGGCTTAAAAAGCTGAGCGTACGGCTTCAACGATTCACCCATGGGGTAATGACCCTACAGATAGGAAATGATTGGCTACCTATGTGTAATAGTAACTGGAATGAAGGAGGCGCAATGGTGATATGTCGACAATTGGGATTCAATCCCAAAAATGGGCAAAACTTTGGATCTTATTTGGCTCGTCGGTATGACTTTTCTAGTGTCAATGATGACAGACAGGATTATAGAAGAGTCATAATAACAGACATGAATTGTACAGGGAAGGAGGGGAATCTAAATGAATGCACCTTTACGGAATGGAAAATTGTATCTATTGAAGGTGATGCAAATATATGCAGATCGGTACAAAATGGCGTGGATATGGGATGCACAGATAAATCAACAAAGGCACGTTTGGTAGGAGGCCATGACAAGTATTCAGGGCGTGTAGAAATAAAGATTAGAAATGAATGGAAAAAAGTATGTGAACGTTTTCTGGTATATAACAGGTATGAGCCGGATTCTGAGCAGGAATCTCAAGCGATTTGTGAAGATATCGGACGCCCACGACAATATGCAAGATATTACAAATACAATCATTTCGAGAAAGGCACGCCCGCTACAGGAGTAAAAATATTTTGTAATCGAGGTGAAAAGCTAGACGTTTGTACGTTTCATGTGGCCGTATGTTCCAACGATGAATATTATGATTTTGGTGTTGCTTGCTTTGACCACGACCCAGGTAAATAATGCGACTACAATATTCTTAACTAGCAATCTACCCGTTAGAATGGAACAAAGGATCCCAAATGTGACCTTGCACTCAGGTCAACTAATCATGAGGGTCACAGGGTTCTGGGGTCACAGCAGCCCCAAAGGGTAATTACTTCAATTCAGATCATTTCAATATATATTACTAGTATTATTATTAAGTTTTTTTAACTTATATTCAGGATTACACGAATTTCTGCAGCCTGAAGCATTTGGCTACGATTTCAAAGACACCAATCATAAAAGAAATGGCCTTGTTACACTGAATGGCAGAAAAGAGGACACGATATGTGGAGATACATGGACTAGGAATGAAGCTCAAGTTGTATGCAGACAATTGGGTGAATATCAACATTATGTATTGTATGTATACGACATCAGTTTTAGCTAATCATCACACAATATAAGATATCCAATTTTGATACAGTTTAACACCATACAAAAACAGTGACCCCCCAGAACATGTAGAAAGTCATATCACCGTGCATCCGTGGATATTGTTTTATAGTCACATCGATGTGCAGACGAACAAATAATTACTTCGCGCGCTATTTAAATTCGCGCATTTCGCGTCTCTAACTATTTTGTGGACGGTGTCGGCGGTCGGCGTCTGTAACAAATGGCAGGTGGTAAGATTTTGCTTGTTTATGTCTTGTTAGCCTTTAATATGAACATTTGTTGAAAATCACTTGGCCTAGTGCTTACTAATACGATAGTATCATGAATGTTGCGTTACATGCATTTTCACAGGATACGACCCAATCGACGCAACCGTTGACAAATTCCCATTTCTGCAGTGTTATGGCGAGGATGAGATTATAATTAGCGATGTCAATTGTACTGGAGAGGAACGGAGTCTAGCAGAGTGTCATTTCAACCATGGTGATAACGTATCGTGTCCTGGTATGCGTTTTATTAATTTCAATAAGTCTAAACCATCCCCAAACGACTCCTTCATCTTATTACTATTGTTATATTTATAACAAATTATTAGACAGAATTAAATTTTCCTCAATAATTGTCCAAATACTGTAGTTACAACGTCCTGTTTCAGACGGTTCGAGAGCCGGTGTTATTTGTGGAAAACTACCGATAATGTTAGAAGAAAATGGTAGGAAGTCCAAGTTTAAGGGTAAAGTAATGGTTCACCATTTGGTAGACAGGTGGCCGACATATTCTGTATGTGGATCCGGGTGGGATGAGAAAGATGCAAGAGTGGCGTGTCGTCAGTTGGGATTACAGTATGCTTACGTCTACATCGATGAGCACTATAGTGACGATTCTGGAAATGGTGCAATGATAACCAATGTTAATTGTAGTGGCGAGGAAACGCATCTCGGAAAATGTGATTTTGATCTGGACTTTTCTCTATTAGAATCCAAAGGTGAATATCATCATATTTATGGTTACTGCACTCGATCGGAGTTCTTTGGAAGCCGTATTGACTTTGACATGGATTTCAATTTCTGTCACAACAGTGGTAGTGCTGGTGTTATTTGCAAATAGTTAACTGGACGATGCAGGCGTCAATGAAACAATAAAACTAAAAAATCGTTATTATTTTGACTATTCAACATGAGGAAAATAAATAAATGCAACTAGAAAATGAGTTTTCTATTTAATAAAACCCGATTTGTGAGATCCAATATTAAAATTCTTCTAAGAAAAGTGTAAAGGGTATAGGAACGGATATAATCTACATGACAAGCCGTAGCCAGGGGGTCGTTGCTCGACCCCCACCCCCCCCCCCACCCGGTCAAACGTCGCTTAGAATCACTCTGAAAATTTTTGATCTCATAGAAACATCTTTTTATGCAACAAAAATTTGAAGGAAAACAATTGTTGGGAACACCATGGCATAAATATGTCTGCATATATAGATTTTATATTAACATGTATACAAATTCAAATAGCCTATATAAAAATCCACACTAACAACTGAATGCCATACATGCCATCCTTCAACTGGAATATTATTAAAGAATCAATCATCATTTTGAAGAGACAGTCATCAAGGGTACTGAGTACTGACATATGTCGTTATCGGAGCCCATGCTCCGTGTATCCATTAGAGTACCAACAAATATATGTCGGCACTTTAGCCCCTCCTTGTAGGGTACACTAGAGAACCAAGTGTCGGCACTGTAGCCACTCCTAATATAGGATCTGATAGAGAGCCGACTAAAATGTTATAGACGTAATGTGAAGATGACACGTAAACAATAGTTTACATATTCCTAGCGATAGTGTGCTCAACGCCTATACAAGAATGAATACCAACACCAAGTGATATAACTTAACACAAATAAGTTGATAACTTTCCCATTGTATACCTATCAAAATAAAACATACTTTACCATGAAGATGAGACAACATTCAAAACAACCAAAGCAAATTTCAACAACGATCTAACCAAAATATGATGTATTATTTATTTTTTATCTATTTTAATCTTATTATAGTGTCATGGGTTAAAATACAATTACATATTAAAGAAGACAACGTTACACTATCAAAATCACCACAGGCCCTCTATGGGCCTATAACTGTATAAGACACTTTTGTAAAAACGTATAAATCATGTTTTGTAAATAAAATGTTCCCGTCGTTTTAGCATCCGGTCACAGACTTTTGCAGTGAAGGGACAAATTCACCAATTGATACATATTCACCATCCCTATAAAACACAAATACTGGAAAATATATCTAAGCTAACACATGGAGTATACAAACAAGTCAAAAACTCTACTAATAGACACCACCATCATAAAACACCTCAAAAGAGAGCCATAACATAGATCATATCTCAAAAGGGAGTCCTAAGATATATCATACCTCAAATTAGAGCCATAAGATAGGCCAAACCTCAAAAGAGAGCCATAAGATAGATCATATCTCAGAAGAGAGTCCTGAAATAGATCATACCTCAAAAGAGAGCCATAAGATAGATCATACCTCAAAAGAGAGCCATAAGATAGATCAAACCTCAAATGAGAGCCATAAGGTAGCCTAGATCATACCTCAAAAGAGAGTCATAAGATAGATCATACCTCAAAAGAGAGCCATAAGATAGATCATACCACAAAAGAGAGCCATAAGATAGACCATACCTCAAAAGAGAGCCATAAGATAGACCATACCTCAAAAGAGAGCCATAAGATAAATCATACCTAAAATGAGAGCAATAAGATAGGACATACCTCAAAAGAGAGCCATAAGATAGATCATATCTCAAAAGAGAGTCATATGATTGGCCATACCTCAAAAGAGAGCCATAAGATAGATCATACCTCAAAAGAGAGCTATAAGATTGACCATACCTCAAAAGAGAGCCATAAAATAGATCATACCTCAAATGAGAGCCATTAGATCATACCTCACATGAGAGCCATAAGGTAGATCATACCTCAAAAGAGAGCCATAAGATAGAACATATGTCAAATGAGAGTCATAAGATAGATTATACCTAAAAGGAGAGCCATAAGATCATACCTCAAAAGAAGGCCGTAAGATAGATCATACCTCAAATGAGAGCCTTTAGATAGATCATACCTCACATGAGAGCCATAAGATAGATCATACCTCAAATGAGAGCCATAAGATAGGCCATACCTCAAAAGAGGGCCATAAGATAGATCATACCTCAAAAGAGAGCCATAAGATAGATCATACCTCAAAAGAGAGCCATAAGATAGATCACACCTCAAAAGAGAGCCATAAGATAGATCATACCTCAAATGAGAGCCATAAGATAGGTCAAACCTCACATGAGAGCCGTAAGATAGATCATACCTCAAAAGAGAGCCATAAGATAGATCATACCTCAAAAGAGAGCCATAAGATAGATCAAACCTCAAATGAGAGCCATAAGGTAGCCTAGATCATACCTCAAAAGAGAGTCATAAGATAGATCATACCTCAAAAGAGAGCCATAAGATAGATCATACCACAAAAGAGAGCCATAAGATAGACCATACCTCAAAAGAGAGCCATAAGATAGATCAAACCTCAAATGAGAGCCATAAGGTAGCCTAGATCGTACCTCAAAAGAGAGTCATAAGATAGATCATACCTCAAAAGAGAGCCATAAGATAGATCATACCACAAAAGAGAGCCATAAGATAGACCATACCTCAAAAGAGAGCCATAAGATAGACCATACCTCAAAAGAGAGCCATAAGATAAATCATACCTAAAATGAGAGCAATAAGATAGGACATACCTCAAAAGAGAGCCATAAGATAGATCATATCTCAAAAGAGAGCCATATGATTGGCCATACCTCAAAAGAGAGCCATAAGATAGATCATACCTCAAAAGAGAGCTATAAGATTGACCATACCTCAAAAGAGAGCCATAAAATAGATCATACCTCAAATGAGAGCCATTAGATCATACCTCACATGAGAGCCATAAGGTAGATCATACCTCAAAAGAGAGCCATAAGATAGAACATATGTCAAATGAGAGTCATAAGATAGATTATACCTAAAAGGAGAGCCATAAGATCATACCTCAAAAGAAGGCCGTAAGATAGATCATACCTCAAATGAGAGCCTTTAGATAGATCATACCTCACATGAGAGCCATAAGATAGATCATACCTCAAATGAGAGCCATAAGATAGGCCATACCTCAAAAGAGGGCCATAAGATAGATCATACCTCAAAAGAGAGCCATAAGATAGATCATACCTCAAAAGAGAGCCATAAGATAGATCACACCTCAAAAGAGAGCCATAAGATAGATCATACCTCAAATGAGAGCCATAAGATAGATCAAACCTCACATGAGAGCCATAAGATAGATCATACCTCAAAAGAGAGCCATAAGATAGATCATACCTCACATGAGAGCCATTAGATAGGCCATACCTCACATGAGAGCCATAAGATAGAACATACCTCAAAAGAGAGCCATAAGATAGATCATACCTCAAAAGAGAGCCATAAGATTATCTCAAAAGGGAGTCCTAAAATAGATCATACCTCAAATGAGAGCCATAAGATAGATCATACCTCACATGAGAGCCATAAGATAGATCATACCTCAAAAGAGAGCCATAAGATAGATCATACCTCAAAAGAGAGCCATAAGATTATCTCAAAAGGGAGTCCTAAAATAGATCATACCTCACATGAGAGCCATAAGATAGATCATACGTCAAAAGAGAGCAATAAGATAGATCATACCTCACATGAGAGTCATAAGATAGGCCATACCTCACATGAGAGCCATAAGAAAGATCATACCTCAAAAGATGTCATACAGTACTAATGAACCAAACAACCCAACACCAACCAAGCGAAGGCTTCGTCTTTATACCTGCATATTGCTGATTCAATAAACAATCATTGAGCTTTTAATATAACACTTTCTGAATAAATATAGAAATAAAATAGTTCTCTATATCTGGCCCATCGAGGTGAGGATAGAGTGACAACGTTTGTTGGTACGCCACGAAATAGACGCTGGGCAGGCTCCAGAACCGATTTGGTACGGGAGATACTCCGTAAAATTGATGATTTCCATCTCATCTTGTATCTTCTCCTTCAGGAGAGCATGTGACAAATACAGTAAAATATTAATCTTAGTTTTTCAAAACCCAATTTTTATTTCTTCTTTTCAGCTGATTTGATTTTTTAGGAAATCTTTTTTTCTTCATCCAAGTGAGAATGTTTTGATGACATATGCCAGTTAAGGGAATTTCTCTGTGCGAATTTCTCTCCACAATGTTCACAGATGTAAGGCTTATGCCCAGTATGTACTCGAACATGCTGGGCCATATTTTTGCGGTCAAGTTTCTTACCACAATATGCACAAGGAATGATAGAAGGGTGCTTTCTAGCTATATGTGATTTTCTCAGTTTATATGACTGAAATGTGTCACCACATATTTTGCAGACCCATGATGTACCCAATCTATGGGTTTCCCTTACATGGGCTCGCATTTTGTAAGGAGTTTCACAGGTGAAATTGCATGATTTGCATTGTCGAATCTTCCAACGGTGATGTGTATTTACAATGTGAGTGTTCAAATGACTTAAAGCAGAAGAAGTATGATCACAAAATGCACAATTATAACTATGTTGTATTTTGTGTTTTTTATGAAGATGTCTCTCCATTTCAGTCGCTGAATTGTTAGGTTTAGGTGTTCTTGCTTTTCTACTGGCTAATTTTTCCTTACATATGAAACACTGTGTAACTGATAAGTCATGCTTAGATGAAAGATGCTTCTTAAAATCTGTATTGGGTATCCATGTTTCGCATTGTATACATAACTTTGTAGAACCTCGTGTCTTCATATGTCCAGGTTGAAGTATATGCAGAAAGAAAATATGTTTTGAGGTTAATTTAAGGTCACACATTTCGCAATAGAATTCTCCGGTTGATGAATCAGAGTTCTTGAAACCTGAAAGTATAAGAGTTGTACTATTTCATTCTGGAAATATATATCTTAATTCTGCCAGAATTTGAGTTATTTGATATTATGAATAGACTTTTGGGAACAATTGTGAAAGAAACTAAATTTAAGAGTTAAGATAACATTCAACTTTTGTGTAGGGTAACTACGTATATCATGTTCTAAACCTACTGTAATGTGATTGCCTTTGTGGATCTCTTTCCTCATTGGTGTTGAAGTGTAAATTACATTTAACTTTTGTGAACGGTCACATTAAATTTGAACTATCATGAGCTTGTCTGTGTAGATCTCTTTCGATCCCCATTGGTGTTGAAGTGTAAATTACATTTTACTTCTGTGAGGGGTCACATTAAACTAGAACTTACTGTAATGAGCTGGTCTATGTAGATCTCTTTCCCCATTGGTGTTGAAGTGTAAATTACATTTTACTTCTGTGAGGGGTCACATTAAACTAGAACTTACTGTAATGAGCTTGTCTGTGTAGATCTCTTTCCTTATTGGTGTTGAAGCACTGGTCACATAATGGGCACATGAACTGGTTATGTTTGGCCTCAACATGTTCTCTCAGCTTGAACTTTGTCTCTAGAATATTCTGGCAGTTAGGGCATTTGAATTCTCCAATGGCTTGATCAACTGAAAACAGAAATATTCACACTTTTTCGGAACTCAGCAGGTCTTTTGTAATTGAGCTGACCTATATCTGAATAAAAAAATCAATTTGTTTACCTTTTGAAGGTCAACTAAAAGGTAAATCTAAAATCGAAGGTCAGAATTGAACAGCTGAGTACCCTTAAACGATTTAAAAAAGAATTTGGTGAAGAAAGTTAAGAAATTCAAAATGGCCAATACAGTATATGAAAGGATTCAAAATGGTCAAAATGGTTTATGCCAGCATATCAAAAACCTAATCAGATGATGCCACTAGTTCGGTTTTACATCTGTAAAGTTGAACAGGGGTTTACAAGTATTTGTAGAGGTGTGAATTAGTTAGTCCATTGTTCGATGTAGAATTTACTTAAAACTTGCATTTCGCAAAGTTACATAATAAAGATGTCACGTGCAATGTTTACGTAACTGTATTCACTTATTGTTAGTCTTCTTGCATTTGTCTTCCTTAAATTCATTTTGGTTTGACATCCATTTGAATCTAACTACATAATCAGGGCTTTACCATTGATAACATGGACTATATTCACTCACATGCTCAAATGTTCTCACATTAATAAGGTATCATTGAAACTGCAATAAATGCCCCACCTGACAATGGAATATGGGAATAAGAATCATGACTTCACATGGCTTACTGCCCGTAAACTTACTAAAAAGTTATAATCTTTTGAAAATGCAATTTACAATCCGAACTTTTTTTTGAAACCTACTAAATCAGTAAAGTTATTCATTAGTATTTTTACTAATTTTCGAGAAATATGTAGACCCCTGGTTGGGTTTTCCTGGAATTTTGATGACAATAATTGATTCATGTGGTGACGGCCTGTCTGTCTGCAATCCATCAGAACAACACAGTGACATTAAAGTATTTTTCAAAGTGCAATAAACAATTGAGACAAAAAATCTAAAAGCCCCTCACCATATGAATCTACCCTGAATCCTTTGAATATCTATATCAAGTAGCAATCAGATTCAAAGCAATTAAACAGTTTGTCTGAAAAGGAAGGCATAAAATACAACTTACTGTATTTTTCACGCCATGTTTTACGAGGCTTCGATTTAGATCGTTCCTTATTTCCATTGGTGGTAGCTTTACTAGGCTTTGATTGAGATTGTTCCTTATTTCCATTGGTCGTAGCTTTACTAGGGTTTGATTTAGATTGTTCCTTATTTTCATTGGTGGTAGTTTTTGTCTTCTTGACATGCCTTATTGTACTAGTGCTACTGTCACTCGGATCAACTGGAGAAGCTTCATCATTTTGTGCAGATTTTTGTGTTTGCTTGTTCCTAGTTTTAATGGAACTAGAGGTTTGCTCAAAGTCTGGTGTCCAGTCCAAGTCCTTTTTGTCATCTCGGAAGGTGTAGTCACTCCCTGAATCAGTAGATAGAATATCACTATCAGAATCATCTTCCTCAACATTATACTCATCATATTCATCATCATATTCGTCATCGTACTCCTCTGCTGAGACATTGCAGTCGATGACTTCAGTCTTTATTTCATGTCCCTTTGACTCATCACCTATATTGCTGGTATCATATGGATTTGGTTTAATATCAACAACACTGGTACCATTCATGGCTTTGGTATTCACATGGGTGGACTCCGCTTCGTATTCCTGAATCTCCATGGTTTCATCTTGCAATTCAGTGGGTGTCTTTTCCTCATATCGTTCAATAATTACTGTTTGATTATCATCCTTGCCTTTGACATTTCCATGAGTTGGCTTCGAAATAAAGTTTTCCCCAGTGCTAGTTTCCTTGTATGATGTGACTATCAGAGTTTCAAAAGCACCATAGGCTTCAAAGTTAGCATTGTCATTAAAAACATCTATGCTTTCCTGTTTTATAACACCATTATCACAGATGTCTTCAGAAGTGTCAGATTCATTTGTATCCATTTGCTTATTCAAAGATTCAACATTCTTAGTTTCCTGTTTTACTTGTGATCTTTCATCTATTTCAGGGGTAGCTATTTTATGTTGTGCTGATTTAAGTGTGGCGATCACTTTATCTGCCTCGAGCACTTCAGCAACATGTAATATATCATTAAAGTTTTCAGTTGTCAATGGCACTTCAAGGCCATATACTAAATCAAGGAAACCATCGAGACCACATTGTGTGGCATCACTGAGTATTGGATTAATACACTTTCTAACATCATTTTCTTGCAATGCTTTACTAAATAGAGAAAGTATTGTTTTGTGAGCAGTTACTTCAGCACCATCTTTAATCAGGAAAATCATGTCTGCATATTTTGTGTCTTTTCTCAGGGCTGATGAAATGTTGTTACTGTTGCTAAATCTTACAGCATATTTTTCTGATTTCTGTGGTTCACAACACTGCTTCCTGAAAAACATAAATAAATGACTTTAGCAAACATATTTTTTTATACAGCAGTAATATTAAAGTTACTTTTGGTTTCTTTTTCTCTCAGTTAATTTTCTATACACATGATTCTCTAAAATAATTTCACCAAAACATACATACATAGCTCAAAAAGAAAAAAGTTCTTAAAGTAGAATCTGATGTATAGGTTGCGAGAAAGTTGCGAGCTACATAGCTGTGCAATTTACTGACCAATCTATTCTTTACAAGTTACAATCTCAAATACTATATCTCCTAGAGGATCCAAAATATGTTAATTATGTTATAACATGGAAGTCTATGGCAGGGAACATTTGGAGATGGGTACAGGGTGTCTCGAGATTAGATTGCTAATTTCTCTATCCTGGCCCTTACATCATCAATGTCTCTTGGTAATGTTGTGTAGACTTAATCCTTGAGATAACCCCAAAGGAAAGGAAGAAGTTGCAGGGTTCAAAACCATCCTGGCATAGGCATTTTAATTTCTCATTGTTAAGACATTTATGAAAGAAAAAGTGGCTCAAACCCATTCCTAACATAGTCACTTTAATCCCTTAGAACTCAGTCTTCCATGAAGGAAAATAGAAAACTTTGGTAGAAAGAGGATATCATAACCTATCAGACGATAGCTGTGAAATCTTTCTATTATTATTCATATTTGAGAAATAAGCGGTTAAATCCTGGTTTCCTTTTTTGAGACACCCTGTACAATAAAGTAAGCAGGTTAATCCAGTATTTCAGTTTCAGCCATCATGATTGGCTAATGCCTGTTGGTCGCCAAAGCTGTTATATCGAACAGTGCAGCATTTAAAATAGGTAAGCGTTCAGTATTTGGGTGTTCTACAATATCTTACTTGAAGAAGCAGCCAAAAAGTCCTACCTTGATAAATCATACTCCATTCCCATTGGAATGTTCCATTCAGCTATTGGTGCAGGGTCAAACTCTTGAGATGTTACTGGTTCTACTATTTCCCCCCACTTTTCATAACTGAAATATCAATAATGATCAAGGTATTTTTGTATTTTTTCTTTTCTCATATTAACTATATTTCTGTCATTTTCATGGCAAAACACGTCCACATGTGGTAAACAAAATATATGCTATATATTCATTCAAACATAATTTAAAAACACCTTTAACACCAGGGCGCATTCTTTGCAATAATTAATAAACTTAATTTCCAGAAGAAGTCTGTTTTACATTCAATTTTTTCAGAAGAGGTACTGAAAGTAAAATGGGTGTGCAAGACATTATATAAAAAATAGAAGCTACCTGCAGAAGTGGCAAAAACGGTACAGCAACTCAAAAAAGGTAACACATGTATAAGACAGATCTTAGGTGAAGTGAACAGAAAAACCGGATGATACTTTTCTTAACTTTGTCAAACCTTATTATTTGTATGATTGCTTGTATTCTATATATGAAATAAATGATAATTAAAAAGAGAGTTACCATTTACCTGTTTCCAGGTTTACTAAAAGCCTAGAGACAACATATTGATACTTTCTTAAAAAAGCATAGATGACGGCAAGATTGTTTGGAAGTAGAATCAGTAGCTCATTAAATATTCCTTCAGATGAGACACCGAAGAAAATTTCAAATTTTAAAATGATGATTGTGCAGTCAATTCAGAAAATTATTAGACAAATCATAGCTCATTTGAAGCATCTTGTTATCCTCTACCCTTTTTATCACTAATGAGCGCTATACAAACAATCTTGTGTTGATAAGAGGCCAAAATATGGATTAAATGCTCTAGTCTGAAATTTTTTTGAAATTAGGAATGAAAATATTCAGATGCATTTTTGAAAAAAGACATGATCAAATGCAGGATTCTGTCTGGTACAACTGTAGCAATGTTAATGAATTCTGCAGGAAAAGTGCAACCGTGGCATATTATAATTTTCTGGCACAACCATATGTATGAACTAGACAATGTTACAATATGTCACAATGTTACAGACAGTGTAACACTCTTTACCATTGCAACAATTGTACAAGCAAGTGTTACATTGAATAAACATTGCTGATATTGTTACATATAGTGTTACATTATTTAACACTATCAAGAAAACTATGTTACATTTCGTATTAGAATTTTATAATTGATATGGTTGTACCAGACATTGTTACATTATTTAACATTGTATGTGTTGTTACAAAACATGTTACAGTTTTCAACATAACACAGTTATACCAGACATTGTTACATTATTGAACATTGTATCCATTGTTACAAAACGTGTTACAATTTTTAACATACCACCAGACATTGTTACATTATTTAACATTGTATGTGTTGTTACAGAACATGTTACAACTTGTAACATTGTAACGATTGTACCAGACATTTTTACATTACTGAACACCATATCTGTTTTTACAAAACTTGTTACAATTTTTAACATTGTCCCGGTTGTATCACACATTGTTACATTATTTAACATTGTTTATGTTGTTACAGAACGTGTTACAAGTTGTAACATTGTAACGGTTGTACCAGACATTTTTACATTATTAAAGATTGTCACAGTTGCACCAAACATTGTTATATTATTGAAAAGTATATCTGTTGTTACAAAACGTGATACAGTTTTTAAAATTGTCACGGTTGTACTACCGGACATTGTTACATTATTTAACATTGTCATGGTTATACCAGACATTGTTACATTATTCAATTATTCACTTCTTGGTGATGACATAAAAAGCAAGGAAATTCATACCTTCGTTTCAATCAAATTCTACTCACTCACATATATGTGACGTCATTGATACAAAGTTGCCATGGGAATAAAGGTATGTAATACATCAGTTATGTCACTATGACTTGAAATATGCCTTCATTCTTGCCCAAATATAGTCTCCCAAGGTTGACCTGTATTCAGGCATATTTCACGTCATAACCTCTAAGAATTGCATGATTCTGTATGGAGGAAATACAGTACCTTGATTTGTTAGATGAAAGTTCATCAGAACTTAGTGGCTGGAATTTCATTGGTCGACGGCTTATAGTTAGCGTTGACATTGGTAACCCCGAATTTAGACCTGCCATAGGTGTTGTCGATAGGTTTGTCCCTGAACTCAGACCTGCTATAGGTGTTGTGGATAGGTTAGTCCAGTCACATGTCACTGCTACCTCAGATTCAACAAACCTTTGAAAGTTAACAAAAAATGTACATGTAAGCTTTGGGCCACAGCTTTCTTCAGATAGCAGCTTTGATGTGCTATATGTCTAAGTAGATGATGATTAGATCTCCCACAAATATATAAAAGCAAGGAAGCGAAGATAATCAAGACCCTATCTGTTGCAAGACTGATATGACCGTGACAATGGTTATATTAACTGACATTTAGTAGCATGAGAATAGTGTAATGAAAGATGTCATTGTTTATCTACCTTAAATATGTAAATCTAGACTATTACTACTACTACTTTAGCTCATAATTATTTTCCACAAACTATAATTCTAATATCAGTCAAGAACGTGAACACTGTCACGGTCATATCTTACTCGAGTCTCTAGCCAATACGATACAGTGGCCTTAGAAGAAGGTAAGTCATATCAGACTTTAACATTACCACAGTCATGACAGGCCTTACAACCATTGCCACTGCAGTCAAAGGCCGCAGATCTCATTATTCATGTTTTAAAGGTCACTATTGTTCAGCTGTCCAAGTGCGCCTTAATGTGAAAGCTAATCCACATAGCTTTCGCAGGAAGTAAGTTAAGGCCTGATATGACCGTGACAATGCTTTTATATTGCAAGGTCTGTCATGACCGTGGTAATGACTGTGGCAATGGTTGCAAGCACGGACCTCTGCCAGATAAGCTCCTCTGTGTCTAGGCTCAATAAATATACTCAAGGACAAGACACGCGATCTTCGGAAGATTTATTTTTCCTTGATTTTGGAGTCAGTTTATCAATAAATATCACATGTCATACCTCAAACGATGCGTACTGTTGTTAGCTTCAACTCCAATCACTAAAGCCGCACACATCCAAGAAAGCGTCTGTTGATAAAAGCATAAAATAAGCGAGCTATATTATACAATAGACCTATGGTTTACAACTCATTTTAAAATGTACACTGAAATCATGAAACACTTCTCCACTTAAGGAGGCATCTTCCAAAGGTCGATGCTCCCATTCGTAGAAAAGTAGGAGATGTGGGATGAAAAGTTCCCGGGCATGGGGCCTATGCATGTAAAATTTTACAGTTTTATATTATCTCAAAAAAAGTCCGTACTTATCAAGCAATTTCTTGGTGAATTCAACATTGGATACGAGCGCCAATCGATCCTTTAGATCAAACCAACGTTTCATCTGGTTTCCGATGTATACATTTCTGTTTGATCTTAGTCTATCCCGTTCTTTTCGACGTTTTGTTCTCTCCTCGTCACTCAACTTTTTTCTCGGCATTTTTCCTTTTTGGTGCACTGAACGAAATAGATCTTAATTGTTTAGTTCAACTTGACCGGGATGGAGTCCAAGAAAAAAAGAGGTAGACCCTCATTTCTTACCGATAGCACTAAAAAGAGAAGAATTGAAGAGAGCAAAACTAAACACAACAAATCAAGGATATTTATAGGTTCAGAAATCGACCGCTGGATGAGTTTGAAAACTACAATTGGCGTAAAAAACCACGTTTCTGTTGCAAAATATTTACTGGATTTGTAAGTTTTTTTTGTGTTTTTTTGTAACAGAGTTCAAAGGAATTGTCTGTATCTAATATTTTTTTGTCCCATGGGGTTCATTTGGTGTTCTCACCCCGGCATTTTCACCCGACAATCAAATGCAGGATTCAGTCTCGTGACGATGCAAAAACGACTTACTCTAGACTACCGAGCTGACAGTAAAGCTAAGTTCACACCAACGGCACTTTGATGGCGCTCTAAACCGGGGTGCAAAGCCCATCAAGATCTGACACGCTTTGTTACGTTTCATGAAGGACTCTCAATCTTTCCCACGAATAGGTGCATTCATGCACCCTCTGGGTCTGAGGATCGTGTATCCCACGAATTGAGACGCTTTGATCAAGGATTGACACGCTTTGTTACGCTTGCCAAGCTTCCTCACGCTCTTTTATTCTTTCCTATGCTTTTCGTGTTCTGGAGTCAAAGATGCAATAGTTTTATGGATCTGCTGCATCTTTGTATAGGCTCTTGATCAAAATCGGCATGAAATTGGCGATATCGGCATTTCCAATGCGTAACAGAGCCCCAAAGAGAGTAACAATGCACGACAGGCCTCATTATTGCATCAAAGCGTAATAAAGCTTATCAAAGGGTGTATAAGCGTAACAAAGCCTGATCAAAGCGGGATCAAAGCGTAAGCATCCTCATTTTATCGACCTTATCATTGCTAATTCTGAGCATGTGTTGCTCTTGTAGCTCTTTTTGTTTGAAAAAACAAAACAAAACTACCAGATTTTCAAATTAGGTTAATTGACAGGTTTGCAAATTCCCCTCTTATGTCTTACAATGACAATCATAATCACATCGAATGACGTTTGAGGCTCTGTATGTCAATCTGTACGTCCGTCCAAGCAATAACTCAAATATCTTTGGATGATTATCGTTTATATATTTCATATACACCGGTACATGGCCCATGGGAGTACAAGTTCTTCTCAAAAGCTGATTTTCAAAATGGCCACCAGTTTCAAAATGGCTTCCATTTTAGTGTCAATGTTACAGCAATGTTACAGCATTTCTAATTCAAGTACAACGTTTAAAACTGTTACACAGCATATTGATTAAGTTGAAAATTTAAATATTTGGTGACCATCTTGAAAAATGGTGGCCTTAACATTACAACTCAAAAACCAAAAAGCATACAGATGCATAAAAAATGATGAAATTGCAATTCAAAGAAGCAGAATTAGTTCTGTTAAGAATGACCTGGCTCAAATTGAAAGAAAATCTAAATATATCAAATTAGGAAATGAAAGTTAAATGTACGATACAGATTAATAGAGGGAGAATGTCCATAATCCAACACAGCCATCTTCAGATAGTGAAATTGATGTGTTCAAAGCTTGACACATGCAAAGAGTTTCCTTGAAAATATATTCAATTGAAGTGATTTTGAATCTTAAATGATATCCTATAAAATATTTTGCTTTGTGTGAAAAGTATTTGATTCTATTTGCCTTTTGTCAGTTTGTGGCTGATTCATTCCACTCAGGCATTGTTTCCTAAACTTAGCACTACGCATTTGTGCAAAGTTTGGAACAACACCTTTTGTGGAATGATAATCACAATGCACTGATGCCAGGGTTAAATCCTTAGAAATCGATGCACATTCCAAATACCTAAAGGATTGGTATCGATATGGAGAACTGAATTCAACAATGTTTTTCTCTTAAACCAATCATTGAAAACATTCTGTAACAAACATGGTATTTTATGTAATGTTGACTGATTGACAACAATTTAATGCGAAAATTATTTAGAAATATTTTATTTAACTGTTTTTTTGTTAACATTTTTTGTTTTTTAGTGCAATTGTTTTTGCTCCTTTCTACCAATTCTTGAGAATGAAATAGAATGTCGTTCCGAACCTTGTTGGAACAAAATAGCATATACAACATGTTTTATACCTCTCAATATTATATAGTTATACAAAGGATTTTTTGGTTGATTTTAAAAAAGTATTCAAAAAATTAAAACAACCCCCCCCCTTTTATTTCAAATTTATTTTAAATGATATCCTATAAAATATTTTGCTTTAGGTACTGTAGCAAGGCAGCAAGCAAGACAACGGGCCAAGATGAATTCAAAGACAGTGACAGTGACAAAGCCATGAGTTCTACAAGGTAGCCTATACAAAAGTTACAATCAAAAAGACATTTAAGTACTTAAAGAATATAAAAGTGTGCTTTAACCTTTTCAATTGGTTTCCATAGCAACCAAGGCATCTTCAGCTAAATTCGGTATCATAAAATCAGGATTTCTATTTAGATAATTCAGGTTTTAAAGGGCAGGGCTATAAATAACTGATGATTCAAGACACGCCTGACCATCGACAAGGTACAGTCACGTGACTTTGACAAAATATACCGTAGTACACTTTTGATGTACCATGTCATTTCCGCCATTTTAGATCGCCATTTTCTAGAATGAGGAAGCGAGGAAGGAACTAGCATTGATTTCATCAATATTGTGTCAGTTCATCATCAGGTAGTTGTTGCATTCGATTTGTAATTAAGTTGCAAATATGCATATCTACTTTAAATGATCCTCTGCAACTTCAATATCTTGTTATAGATCTACCCAGCACGTCGGGGATCTCTAAATCTTGACTGAATTTCTCAAAATTCTCTCTAATTTTTGTTTTGCTATGCAAATAACAGCCAAACTACGACTAACACAACTTAAGATAAGTATACAAATATACATTCAAAGTTAATGCAAAACCGCTTTTTACTTTGGATGCTACTACGAAAAATAGATAATGTATGTTGTCAACTCGAATGTATGTTGTCACATTGGCCTTACAGATCTCAATTCACAGTTAATTTTACAGTGAATAAAATGCTATAATGTACGTGTAATAGAAGGAACATATTTGATAATAACGTAATAATATTTAATAGGCATATCAGATATATTTACCCTAATATTTTTTCCGTTAATCCATAAAATTGTCATTGATATGATTAAATGTCAATGTTACTAATTCTTTTTTTGTGTTCCATACCTGGCTTTTGAACTTCTGCACTTTCCAGATATACAGTGTCCCAAAGTATGCCCCCCTCCCTAGGCAGACATATACCAATGCAGGCCTGTCAACTGTCCCGCAATTTGCGTATTTGTCACGCATTTGCTGAAGAATTTGAAGTCACGCCAGTTTTTTTTGCGTGACACAAAATGTCACGCAAATACGCATTTTACCTGGTAATTGTCACCATAGGAGACAGGTTACCTGAAAAGGAAGATAGATATCATTATCAAGGACTGAAACTGAGGCAAGTCTACCCTGGCTGAAATCAGCTCTGAAATAACAATTACTGCATGTCAAGCCGTCATTCAATGCTGATTTTGTAGAAAACAGATCTGTCAATCCTTCTACATGTGAGTTTTTCCCATAAAGATGCTTGATTTAGTAGAAATTCATCAAATTATACCCCTAGAATATCAAAGTTCAACTGTACATCAATCGCGTGAGGAAAAAAAACAAATCCATTCTTCACCTTCTGTTCACAAACCCTTCTTCTTCTTCTTGGAAAAGTTGTCCCTCATTTGACTAACAGCAAATGTGTATGTTTATGCAGCGATATATGTTAGTTTAGAAAATGATTAATTACAATCTTACCTGTACTTCACAGAAACATCCTAAGTATGAAAATATTTCACTAAAAATACATGCTTCCATTTTGTCACATGTTCATAATAATTTACATATTGACCATGTGATGTTGACAGGGAGTGTAAACGCACCTAGCGTACAGGAAATATGTTATGATATTTATTAAGAAATTAGGTATGGTAATCATTATTACTTATTGTATTAAGCCCCCAACCCACTTCACAAAGTTCATGAAGTACCAAGGAAAGACCAAATATTAAATAAATTAGAAAAATTTGAATTTCCCAAAAAATCAAGTGGGCGATAATAGAGTCTCTGAAACATTAAATTTTTCCTTCATTAACTTATTACATACATTATTTTTAGATAATATTAGTTTGATATGGTGTGGAAAGCACACAATGATAGATAATTATCGGGAGTGCATTGAAAATTACAAAATATGTCACTTTTGCCATGTTTCAGAGGCTCTATTATCGCCCACTTGATTTTTTGGGAAATTCAAATTTTTCTAATTTATTTAATATTTGGTCTTTCCTTGGTACTTCATGAACTTTGTGAAGTGGGTTGGGGGCTTAATACAATAAGTAATAATGATTACCATACCTAATTTCTTAATAAATATCATAACATATTTCCTGTACGCTAGGTGCGTTTACACTCCCTGTCAACATCACATGGTCAATATGTAAATTATTATGAACATGTGACAAAATGGAAGCATGTATTTTTAGTGAAATATTTTCATACTTAGGATGTTTCTGTGAAGTACAGGTAAGATTGTAATTAATCATTTTCTAAACTAACATATATTGCTGCATAAACATACACATTTGCTGTTAGTCAAATGAGGGACAACTTTTCCAAGAAGAAGAAGAAGGGTTTGTGAACAGAAGGTGAAGAATGGATTTGTTTTTTTTCCTCACGCGATTGATGTACAGTTGAACTTTGATATTCTAGGGGTATAATTTGATGAATTTCTACTTAATCAAGCATCTTTATGGGAAAAACTCACATGTAGAAGGATTGACAGATCTGTTTTCTACAAAATCAGCATTGAATGACGGCTTGACATGCAGTAATTGTTATTTCAGAGCTGATTTCAGCCAGGGTAGACTTGCCTCAGTTTCAGTCCTTGATAATGATATCTATCTTCCTTTTCAGGTAACCTGTCTCCTATGATTGTCACGCAAATATGTTTCTGTAAAAAAATTTTCAAAATATATTTATGATACGGTAAAAATACGAACGTCGGAAAAAAACGAACGCAATTTGTTCGGATTTGTCACGCGAATCCCGTATATGTCACGCATGTTCATTGGAAATTTTCGTACCTACCCCCCCCCCCCCCCCCGTTGACGAAATCGCGAGCGATTCGAGCGCGAAAATTTGAGGTTATAAAAGTTTAGCAAAGGTGCTCAAACTTTGGCCAAAGGTGTTTAAAAGTTGGCCAAAGGTGTTCAAAATTTGGACAAAAGAGTAGTAATAGTCCGAGTAAATGATAATGCAATTTTAGGCACCAAATCAGGCACGAACTTTGACCCCAGACGATTACCGAACGTTACGCCTACGTACGCCTACGCCTTACCCACGGTTTAAACGTAAAGAGGCCGCATGGAGACTGGAGACTGGAACCTACAGTTTAGTGACGTCATGATACAGTTTCGTAAAAGTAAAACGATTCTCGAACGTTTAGACGATATCCAAACGTCTTTTTGACGTCAGTGTTCCGTGGATGATTGATACTCTCCGATCGTTCGGTTGACTTTCGGAGACAATTGATAAGATAATAAAACCAAATGACAAATGATTTATCTGTTACCTATTACCTCTATAAAAAGTGACCATATAGCCTAGATTATAAAATACAAAATGGATAGAGGTTTGGCACTCATTACAATGAATATGGAAATAGATAGAAACGTTGTTACTACATATTTGTTCTTTGTTTGCCTAGTATGGGAATACCATCACAGCAAGAAATCTGTATGTCACATATCAACATCCTACCAACGTTTCTCAAACGTATTCTCCGACGCCGGGTGAAATACAAGATTTCCTACACCCCCACAGTTCCAACGCCCCCATCCCTGGTCATATAGGACCTACTGGATGATAATGTTCAACGTTTCTCGAACGTATTCTCCAATGCTGGATGAAATACGAGATTTCCTACACCCCCACACGTCCGTATTAACCCCGACAAACTATGGACTTTACTTTCTACATGCCAAAATTAGGCAATGGAACAAAGTCGTAAAGCTAGGCATGCGAAATTCTCTGTCATTTTTAAAGACATAATAGAATACTTTTGCTTTGATTTTGAATAGGCAAATCGTTTGAAATGCGTTTCAGAGTATTCGATTCCTCATATTCTCTAAACCAACATGAACTATTTGATCATTCTCGACATATATATTTTAATATTAATTACTCAAATGTAACTATTTATTGCCCAGTTCTCAGTTTAGTCAGACAACAAAATCATTAAAATAAGTATATTCTTACAACTAAGGGGCAACAATGTGTCATAAAGTTTTAAAAAGGACATTTTATAAAAAATAAAGAATTCTTAAGGAAGTGGCGAGACAATTCTTTCACAGATGACTACTTTAAGATGTATTGTTGTTAAGTCTCGACAAAATGGAAGATACTTACTAAACTTCTACAAGCAAAAGTCAGCGTTTCTACGTGAAATGCAGTGAAATCCCTAAAGTGAAATGGATATTTCTACATTAAACGACACGGGAAATGACAGCAAGATATTGAAAATATAGATAGTTCTACGTGTACATGTATACACTAAATATTCGTCTTTTGTTTTTTCTTAGCGTAGTACGGGGAATACCATCACAACAGGAAATCCAGAGGTCAAAGTAACCCTCGTAAACATAATACGACAGCCTACGTCACTCAATGTCTATCCTGGCTGTTTACGGGTTAGATAAATAGTTTTGCCTGTACATATTTTACGATATGAGAATACTTCATTTTGTTTTAACAATTTTTTTACCCTTGCAAACATTTCAATTTTACATTTCAGTTTTCACTTATTTCAGCATATTTAGTCCATATATAGACTTTATGATGTCAGCGCACTACATATGTGTCCAACCTTGCAACGATTTTCAATTATATTTTTCATTTATTTCAGCATCCTTAACCCATATAAAGACTATAAGATGTCCATACACTTCATTTTTGTATCATAATTTTTTACCATCGCAAAAAGTTTCAATTTTACTTTTCATTTTTCAATTATTTCAGCATCCTTAACCCATATGAATACTATACGATGTCAACACACTTCATTTTTGTATAATAAAATTTTTACCTTTGCAAATATTTTCAATTTTATTGTTTCATTTTCACTTATTTCAGCATCTTTAGTCGATCTTAAGACCATAAGATGTCAGAGCACTTCATTTTTGCACAGCAAACTGTTTACCCTTTCAAAAATTTTCAATTGTATTTCTAATTTTGAACTAGCATGTTCACTATTGTACA